GTCATGCGCAGGCAGACGTGTTTCTGGCACCCCAGATCTATGCAGGATTAGCGCGCTTCCAAATTGACATGGTATTATATGTTGCATAAGTTTTTTTGCTTTAATAAAATATTGAAATTTTTTATCAAAGTTAATGGAAATCCATCAGATCTCCTCATCCTCTTCTTCCTTTTGCTTTCCGGCATTACATTTAACCTTATTCAATCTATCTGCCCGGTTTTGAAACCATTTATATGTCATTTTTTGCATAACAGACAAGAACTACCGCTTAAGCAACATAACTTACATGATCCAATAACTCAAATCTCAGATTTTGTCGAACTTGGCTCAGATTTTGTGGAACTTGGTTTCACAGTCCCATAGGTGAAAGCCTGTTTTTAACCAAAAACATCCTTCTATAAATCTTTTTGGCATGACGAAGAGACATCAGAGGTGAAAAACTAATGGGATGAGTCCTGAAATATGAATCCCAAGCACTCTTTCCTGAATAACTTTCGAAATTGAATTCAGTATTTTTCTTTTCGGCTGAAAGCTGCTTCATAGCTTACATGTTCATCCATCTGACTCTTTATATCTTCTCTTTATCATGAATGCAGTCTCTTTACCCTACACTAGCCAGATTGAACGATGCATACAACGAACTGCCTGCCTTCCAAGCTGCCCTCCCACAGCGGCAGCCCGATGCGCCTTCTCCATCCTAAGGATCTCTCTGTTGCTGGATTTACTTTGGAAGGAGATAAAGTATGAAAATAAAGCTACTTATAATGTTGCTTCCTCTGCTGTGTTTGATACATTACTCCAATTGCTCCTGGTTGTGTAATCAACTACGCCTGGAACATTTGTAAGTTAAGAGTTTACATGAGAAGGAACACACAAAGTAGTATCAAAATGTGAAGTTTACCTCTGATTTAACCAGGTTTAGATACAGCTATAAAATGCTTGAGTTCTAAGTAATGTTTGAAAATTACTGATTAATGCTAAACTTTGACATATAACATCTGACATCTGACAACCTCACAATTCAAAGAAGAGGAAATGGAAAAAATGATTGTTTGAGTTGTAGCCATAGTTATTTGAATGGAATTGATCATTGAACCTTGTAATTGTACTGCAGGTTCAGTTATAATAAATTATATTTTCTTTTCTTGTTCTTCCTGTCAGTCTCTACTCCCCTCTTTACTCCAAACTTCTCTTTCCTATTCTCTTTCTAATTCCTTTCATTTCCTTCGCCTCTTCTCCCTCTTCCTATTCTTTCTTTTTGCTCTGATAACTATGAATGATAAGTTGCTAACATTAGGCAGATTAACAGCAACAATTGCCAATTGTTCCTACGCTTAGCTTAGTTTATTTGGAGTTGTGTTAGGAGTTATCAAAATCCATAAATGATAACAAAGAGATGAAATGAAAACCTTATAAATTAATTTTCTCAGTTCCAAAATACCCATCGAAGTCATTGCTATCATCAGCTGAGTGAAACTCGAGATATAAAATACTCTCGAGCTCTGGAGGACATTTTGTGCCAATCTAATGGCAAGTCAAGCATGCAAAACAGAATTCCAAGTTGAAATAAGAACTACACCAAATTTATTTTTTCAGAACAAAGATCTTAGTCACTGGTACTAACAATTTATGAAACACGGTTAATTCCATGACCATAATGGTAAAGATCAACAGAATTGGATTTATCGGGTAGGTGGAGCAAGGTAGCCCTTTGCTATCAGGCTCTCGAGAGTCTTTTATTGCATTTTCTATCGGTCTGAAGACGAGGCCGAGGTCGAGCAGCTTCTTTGCTGCATCTTTGAGTGCTACAAGTCCTGGCTGAGTTTCTTCTGTAAACCTGGTAACGGGATATTAGCAATCAGTGCATATACAGAAAAAGAAGGAACAAATCAAATTTACAGAGGGTTAAGTTCTTCTAAAACACTATAACCAAATACAAGTCCGAGTGCAGGGCATAAAAAGGATAATGTAGAGGCTGATAAATGCAACATGACTTTTGAAAAGAGATGAAGCCAAACCAAACTATGGCCCAGATACCAGAATGCCAGTTTGATAGATTGCAGTTTACAAGCTACCTTGATAAACAATTAGAAGGAAAGAGAGCAGTAAAAGAATAAGACAGAAGTGCAGAAATAAATGTCTGACAAGAGATTGATGTGCATCATCAAACTGTCAAGCATTTATCTGAAATAAATAACGAAAACAAAAACGTAAGGGGGCAAAATCCACAGTAAAGGAAAACTTGAACAATAAGATAAAACAACAAAAATCAAATGTGTAAATAAAACCATGAAACTAATGATTTCAGCCATTACGATTACCACTGGTAAATCGTAAAAGTTATGGAACAGGAACACTTGGTAATGGGTTTAGTTCAGAAACATGAGATGAATCTTGATTCCAGTGATTCTGCTAGCAAAAGCAAGACTGTGTACCAATTTCTATTGGGACTGGCTGGATTCAGATGGGGAAGTGTGATCAACAAGGTGGTGGATACATGATCCTGAACACCACATTGAATGCATATATTCAATGGTGTATCAAAGTGACTGCACATCCAGCGGCGGCTCTTATGGCCTACTGTGGCACACTGAGAAATGGGAAAGGCCTTTATCGCAGAAGTTTCCATCCTAAAACATTCCCATCATTCTGTGATCTAGAGGTAATCTGGTCAATTGGTTTTGCTTCCCTGTATTTTCTCCAACATTTTTTGTCGCCCCCAGAAGAAACAGGTACTGACTGTTGTGATGCACAATTTGTCTAGTGCTTCTCAAAGGATTCGAGAGAGAGATCACATGATCCATTAAAGTAGTCAATGCCTGAAGCTTAAGAGGATTCTTACTACTGCTTCTGGTATCACGGATTTCGATACAATGCCGCATTAGTGAGAGACACAAGTTGATGGCATCGGATTTAACTCCTACCTGTAAATTATAAAAACACATTTATATGTACTAAAATAACCAACATGTGAATGATGTAGGAGGGGGATAGTCACACCTTAATTCATGTGATCCTCTAGATAACTTGAACCATGGTCACCTACACCACAAAAGAGCAACCTCATCATGATACTGATGATGTAAATAGGTTTTCAAAAGGTCATTTGAGTCATATTTCAAATCAAACCAGCCTAGTCCAGAAATGTCCTACCTATAATTACTTACTTAGTCTTATTAGTTTTTAACTTTTTATGATGATTTTGTTATGCTGTTAAAAGGTGATTGAAAGTCATCTTCTGAGACAATAGTGTCAACTAGTTTTAGGGTCATTATGAGTCCAATCCTTTAACACTGAAGTATAAGTGACCTTTATGTAGATGTCTACAAGAAACAAATAAATTTGTGAGTAAAAGTCGATGAATTCTTAAATATCCTTGGTTGAGGATTCCCTCTTCCCTTCTTGTTGATCTCTTCTCTTTTCTTGCTCTTAGAACTTTCGACTTTTTCTACTCTAAACTGGTCTATCATCTTAGGACTATGTCACCATAAATGACCATAATTCAAGTCATCAATTAATTGTATCATCCAGTGTTGGAAAATTCAGACATACTTTTGCACCACCCTCAGACCCCCTATGAGATTGCAATGATATTCACCCTCAGATACAATAGCAATCTTGGAGATAACTAAACCAGCTTATTCCAGATCGACTACAGAACCAATATATTTTAACATAATCAAGAATAAAAACAGATCTCAATATAAAATGAAAAACAGAAAAATAACCACAGGATGACATGTTCCTGGTGAAGATCAGATCTTAAAAGAATAGTAGCAGAACTTAAAGTAAGATTTGTTGTGGGGTCAGGTAACTCATAGTTTTACACCCATAATTGGAACCCCAATAAGAAACACTATAACATCCCAATGAAGGTTCTTCTAACGATACCTAAACTTCTGCACTTTCACAGATTTTTCCAACAGCAAAACACAAATATCTTCAGAAAATGAATCAAATTTGTAAAAGGTCAATGGCACACCAGGGACCATGGTCTCTGGGAACTGATGCAAAGGCATAAGGCATAAAACACATTTCTAAGGGAAATGATCATGCTTAAATGAGAATCTACCAAACAAAGAAATTCTCAAGATGTTGATGACCAAGATTTATTTGCCATTTCCACATCCTAGCAAGGATGCTTTTGACAGGGTGGCTTACAAACAACCCGATACGATAAACCCTCATATTGGAATTTATATTTTCCAATTCAAGTCCAAATTGAGTCGAAAGTGGACGGAGGATTCTCTGATTTTTTATTGTTCAATTTGGTACGTTCAGCAGGCAAAGGATAGTTGCAAAGGATCTGTATATTCAGATGGTGTACTTCATCTATAACTAGCAGATGGTCTGCAAGGAATTACAAAGTAAAAGCAGCAAAAAGAAAGAGGTATGATCTGAATATTTTAAGGATCTTCCAAATGTTTTACTGAGCTCTACGACCACATCTACCATCAGTACTGGAACAAGAAGGGTGGGTCAACAGAAAACACCTGAAACACATACTCACCAACAAATTAAGAGAAATAAACTCTAGATCTCCCGTGATCATACATGCACAATTATTCAGTTATGGCATGTAACCCACATCAAGTAGCTTAATGTTTCTTGATTGAAAAAGGGTGACTCAATACGCAAGTCAATGTACACAACCTTATCACTAAAACCAAAGAAGCAATATCACCAATGTTCCAAGGCTCACTCTTTGGAATTTTCTTGATGGTACTCTAAAACTAAATAACATTTCCTGAAAGACATTACTTTGGACATACTATTGATTTCATGTTGAATGGTAATACAAGTTATTACATGAACAAAATCCAACAAGCATGTTGGTTTTCTTAAAAGTGTGGTATCACACAGAAACATATGTTATAATTTGGTGACTTATCAGAGACCCAGATATTGAGTAAATGTGAAATCTATACAAAAGATAATATTCACATCCAACATATTCTTTCCAATGACAAATGAAACTGGCCACCATATTTACCAAAAACTAACCACCGATAAAATTTAATATTACTCGTTAAGTCATAACCACAAGGATCAGATCAGACAACCTTCAGAGCTCAAACGCTCATTCCAGTCATACATTTGAAAGTCCACTTGAAGAACCAATTCATCCAAAAGACAACATTTCGTCTCGAATTACTCTTGAACTTATCATTTCTGGTTGCCCTCTGATTGCAGCATTAGCTACAGACAAATCAGGCACCAAACAAACACAACATGGCAGCTCAAGAAACGAAGTCGACGTAAACAAAATCCACGATCGATCAATAAGAATCACCTAAAACCTAAAAAGACAAGAAAATCCTGGTCAGTGAATCAAATTCGAAAAGAATCGATATTAAGAGCTATCAACAAACCAATAAACAACAAATCTCTCGCACAAAACCGGATCTTTAGGAAACGGAAGGGAAGAAAGCGAGGGGACCTTCAAGGAATCAGTGGGAATCGAGCATCATCCACGGGTTCCACGATCAGTGGTGGGTGGTGGGGTGATCATCAGGGCGGCGGAAGTGGTTGTAGGCGGCCTCGCCGGCGAGGTAGATGCCGAAGGCGACAAGGGCGATGCCAAGGCCCGGAGTGGCGTGGCGGAGGTTGTTGGCGAGCATCGGGTGCTTCCGCCACTCATCCCTCCGCCGGAAGAACTCCCCCGTCGATCCCAACGGTTTCGCCATCCCCTCTTCTCCGCTCTCCGCTCTCTCTCCTCTCTCCTTCCCTCGACACCGATCCTCTTTGCCGACCCCCTCCACCTCTTCCAATTGGGTTAACCTTCGCCCATAAGCGGACCTATATACAGTCGAACTTCTTAAAGCCTATATTTATATATCATTTTAATATATGTATATATATATATATATATAGGTTTATGTCAAATCCCCATAAGCGAATCCAACCTTACCCACTCATGAATTCCGTGGTCGTGGCCGAAGTCGTAGGCAAAGTCGTCGATTTGCTGCTATCGAGTTGACGTTGCTGAAACATATCTTTTAACCAATACATCGGCCGGCGTGAGCGAGTCTTCGTGTCTCCTCCGAATCATCGTCAGTCATCATCATCGTCCCTCTCTATCTCTGTCTCGCGTTTCTTTGGTTGATCTTTTAGGAGATGGCGGAGCCGGCGAAGCTCACGCTGTATTCCTACTGGCGGAGCTCGTGCTCGCAGCGGGTCCGCATCGCCCTTAATATCAAAGGTTCTTCCTTCAAGGGTTTCTAGCGTGACGCGTCGATCGCGCTGAAATCTTAACTGTTGTTTTATTCTTTGGTTGTTGAATTCGACGCCGTCGGTCTCGTTTTCTGATTTATGTGTAATGAAAGGGTTGGAGTACGAGTACAAGGCTGTGAATCTTTTGAAGGGCGATCATTTCGATCCAGGTCGGAGAGCGAATACCTTCTTTGGATTCGGCAACAATTATTGCGTAACCAAAATTGCTTATTTATTCTTTCCCCCGCGCTTCTTGCACTGATTGTTCTTGTTGAATCCAGAATTTGAGAAGCTCAACCCGATGAAGTATGTTCCGGCGCTTGTAGACGGGGACACGGTAATTGGTGACTCGTTTGCAATCATATTGGTGAGCAAAAGATGTTTTTTCCCGTTATTTGTTTTATGGCTGAACCCGTTGGAGCCTGATTCTTGGGTGATGTTTGTTTTGGTCCTCGCATCTGCTAATTGAAGGTGTTGCATTGGTTTGTGCAGTATTTGGAAGACAAGTACCCTCAGCATCCCCTGCTCCCTCAAGACCCAAAAAAGAAAGCACTCAATCTCCAGGTGAACTTCCTAGGTAGATGATACCCTTTCGTGGTGCGGTTAGGTGTCTAGTTGGTATATGTTACCCTTTCCCACTGTATTCTAGTGAGATATCCTATACTTACAAAATAAAATTTTGCAGTTCATGTTGAATACTAGATATTAATGGTTTGTTTGAGTTATAGTATCATAACATATAGCTTAGAGGAACTTAGTATAATCCTTCTTATTATTCTTCTGTTTCATTCTTTCATGATTTCCAATTTCATATGGAATCTCTTTATGCACATCTCATTACACAATCCTTGTTTCGACAGGATGACATTAGTTTTGTACTTCACATTCATCATCTTGGTATATCTCATGTGCATTTTTTCTGTGAAAGATTAGCCTCGGTCCTGGCCCCATGAACTCTTCAGACACAAAAACAGTTTGGATTATCTTCTGCTCTTAGTTATTGTTCAAAGTTACATTATTTTCAGTTCTAGCAAATCTCAATGGCTATTGCGGCCATTTGTTTTTACAGGCAGCAAGTATAGTCGGCTCGAGTATTCAACCTCTTCAGAATCTTCCTGTACTGGTAAATGAAAAGCTGTTCCTACTTTTTCAAAATTTCATTGTTTTGTAAGATATATGCTATTCATCTTCGAAAACTCTAATAATAATACTTGTTGTTTCCTGCTTGTGAATTTGCAGCAATTTATTGAGAACAAATTTAACGCTGATGAGAAACTTACATGGGCACAAAATCATATTAATAAAGGATTTGCAGGTTGTTTTTTACTCCGCAATTAATGCCTTCCGTATTAGATAATAGGTTTTATTACTGGTGGTTTCCTAGAATATGTTAATCTGTTTATGGACTATCTTTGCAAACCAATGCTAGTTACCAGTCGCTGTGGTGCTTTGCACAACCAAATGGTCAGTCAGCTACATGCAAAGAACCAATGGAAATGAGAAATCATAATCAAAAGTTAAGCCCATGCCTTAAGCCGACTGGTCAGACGCTCTCTCACTCACTCGATTGATAGCCCTAAGCCCTAACACTTGTGCCCCGCTGCCGGCTTGCCTCCCTGCTTATCAAACTAATACCCCTCTTCCACCTCTTCTTCATCCTCCTGCACTTCTCCTCTGCCTCTTCCTTTGCCTCCTCTTCTCTTTCTCCTCCTCTCCTTCTCCTGCTTTATCTCCTCCTCATCTTCTTCTTCTCCTTCTCCTTCTCCCACCCTTCTCAGTACCACGACATGTACAGGCATCCAATGTTTTGGCATGATGGTACAAACCTGACCTGTATCAATCCAGCCGGTGGCTAGTCTGGGTCTAGGACACGAGACTTCAAACCATGCCTCTCCCACTATCCCATTCATCAGTGAGATATAACCAATATATCATTAAATCGATACATTGTGCTATACGTAATGCCTACAAAGTCATGTTTTCAATCAGTTGTTCATTTGCTTCCCTAAAATTGGTCATTACCAGTCACCGCTTAAACTATTTTGCATTCCCCACTCTCATCTATTACTGCCTCCCTCAAATCTAATTCACGTGATGAACCTGATCTAACACATTAAAGGACCTGTGAAAGATGACCCTCATGTTATACACCAAAAAATCAGTGTTCATCCTAGCAGGTTTCAACAAGCTGTTATACACAAGGATCATATCGTAGAGGTTTTACTACTCTTTAAAAGACTTTGTCCATGTATGAATTTTCTTGATCTCATCATTAAAGATGCCTCCCCATAATCTCAAATAGAAATCCCAAAACCATTGTAAAACTTTCTAGATGGTGGATATCACAAGTCTATAATAAGTGTCCCAAATTGTTTCAAGAGGGATGCGATTGAAATTGAATTTCACCAAAATATGCTAGATCAGTATCCATCTTCTTCTCTTATAAAGAGGCATTGTGGACCCTGCATTATTTTAGTGCCTATAGGGTCAATATCACTGATATTTGATGTTTGTCTACTATTGAATAAGTTGAGGAAACACCTAGTGCCTCTTAGGGGATGAGATTGGTTGCCTTATACTAGTGCTGCTACCTACCCTAGGAGCATTACAACTGCATTCATACTAGTGTCTGACTCATCAGCCCCACCAATTGCAATTATTGCCACTCAAACACCTAATGCTTGATGTTCCTGCAGTCGCATGATAATGAAAGTGTCAGTTAGTTGAATTTTTATTCTGACAGTGTTCTTAGTTTCTCTGTAAACTATTCTTAAGTTTGATTGTTTGTTCGTCTTCAGCACTTGAGAAACTCTTAAAGGAGCATGCTGGCAAATATGCTACCGGGGATGAGGTCCAGCTGGTTAGTCCAACAGTAGCCTTGCGATAAAAATAATTATAGCCAATTAATTTGCTGCTTTATGTGTTGTCATTTTGGTGTTTTGTTCCATGTTTTTAGTAATTTTCTGGAATCTTTTTAGGTTTTAAGTGAATTTTCTTTTCTTGCTTTTATGTTTAAAATGCATACATGGAAGCATAAAAATGCATTCTGAGCAACTACTTTTTGTGCTATACTTGTTCCTTTTCTTCGTAAGTGTCTGCATTGTGTTCACTAATGATTGTCAATTGTCGAGTCCATGTGGTTGGAAGTTAGAACCAGCTGAGTTCTTCTACAGCGGTTGGCATAGATCTGCTTGCCTGATCATAAGCAATAGTGATGTTTTGACGATTTATGTCCTTATGTCCCTAGCATATCTGAATCCAGAGACAAGCCGTTCTTTGTCCTGTAATTTAGCATATTGCAGGGTTGAATCACGGTTCATGTGCTTGCAACTGTAATTGTTCTCAGGTTTTCCAAATTAAACTAAAGTAATTTCACTTTATTGTTGTCATGCGCAGGCAGACGTGTTTCTGGCACCCCAGATCTATGCAGGATTAGTGCGCTTCCAAATTGACATGGTATTATATGTTGCATAAGTTCTTTTGCTTTAATAAAATATTGAAATTTTTTATCAAAGTTAATGGAAATCCATCAGATCTCCTCATCCTCTTCTTCCTTTTGCTTTCAGGCATTACATTTAACCTTATTCAATCTAACTGCGAGGTTTTGAAACCATTTATATGTCCTTTTTTTCATAACAGACAAGAACTACCACCTAAGCAACAAAATTTGCATGATCCAATAACTCAAATCTCAGATTTTGTCCAACTTGGCTCATAACATTTCCTCTCAAGTCTCTCTCTTGGTTTCACAGTCCCGTAGGTTAAAATGAGTTTTTAACCAAAAACATCCTTCTATAAATCTTTTTGGCATGACAAAGAGACATCAGAGGTGAAAAACTAATGGGATGAGTCCTGAAATATGAATCTCAAGCACTCTCTTCCTGAATAACTTTCGACATTGAATTCAGTATTTTTCTTTTCGGCTGAAAGCTGCTTCATAGCTTACATGTTCATCCATCGACTCTTTATATCTTCTCTTTATCATGAATGCAGTCTCTTTACCCTACACTAGCCAGATTGAACGATGCATACAACGAACTGCCTGCCTTCCAAGCTGCCCTCCCTCAGCGGCAGCCCGATGCGCCTTCTCCATCCTAAGGATCTCTCTGTTGCTGGATTTACTTTGGAAGGAGAACAAGTATGAAAATAAAGCTACTTATAATGTTGCATCCTCTGCTGTGTTTGATACATTACTGCAAGTGCTCCTGGTTGTGTAATCTACTACGCCTGGAACATTGGTAAGCTGAGTTTACTTGAGAAGGAACACACAAAGTAGTATCAAAATGTGAAGTTTACCTCTGATTTAACCAAGTTTAGATACAGCTATAAAATGCTTGAGTTCTAAGCAATGCTTGAAAATTACTGATGAATGCTAAACCTTGACATATAACTTCTGACAACCTCAGAATTCAAAGAAGAGGAAATGGAAAAAATGATTGCTTGAGTTGTACCCATAGTTATTTGAATGGAATTGATCATCGAAGCTTGTAATTTTACTGCAGGTTCAGTTATAATAAATTATATTTTCTTGTTTTTTTACTTCTGTCAGTCTCTACTCCCCTCTTTACTCCAAACTTCTCTTTCCTATTCTCTTTCTAATTCCTTTCATTTCCTTCGCCTCTTCTCCCTCTCCCTATTCTTTCTTTTTGCTCTGATAACTCTGAACAATAAGTTGCTTACATTAGGCAGATTAACAGAAACAATTGCCAATTGTTCCTACGCTTAGCTTAGTTTATTTGGAGTTGTGTTAGGAGTTATCAAAATCCAAAAAATGATAACAAAGAGATGAAATGAAAACCTTTTAAATTAATTTTCTCCAGATTTCCCACTTCACATCACCTCACAAGCAAATAACCATCCTTCTCAGTTCCAAAATACCCTTCCAAGTCATTGCTATCATCAGCTGAGTGAAACTCAGATACAAAATACTCTCGAGCTTTGGAGGACATTTTGTGCCAATCCAATGGCAAGTCAAGCATGCAAAACAGAATTCCAAGTTGAAATAAGAACTACACCAAATTTATTTTTTAGAACAAAGATCTTAGTCACTGGTATTAACAATTTATGAAACAAGGTTAATTCCATGACCATAATGGAAAAGATCAACAGCATTGGATTTATTGGGTAGGTGGAGCAAGGTAGCCCTTTGCTATCAGGCTCTCTTGAGAGTCTTTTATTGCATTTTCTATCGGTCTGAAGACGAGGCCTAGCTCGAGCAGCTTCTTTGCTGCATCTTTGAGTGCTACAAGTCCTGGCTGAGTTTCTTCTGTAAACCTGGTAACGGGATATTAGCAATCAGTGCATATACAGTAAAAGAAGAAACAAATCAAATTTACAGAGGGTTATGTTCTTCTAAAACACTATAACCAAATACAAGTCCGAGTGCAGGGCATAAAAAGGATAATGTAGAGGCTGCATACGTCACACTGATAAATGCAACATGAATTTTGAAAAGAGATGAAGCCAAACCAAACTATGGCCCAGATACCAGAATGCCAGTTTGATAAATTGCAGTTTACAAGCTACCTTGATAAACAATTAGAAGGAAAGAGAGCAGTAGAAGAATAAGACAGAAGTGCAGAAATAAGTGTCTAACAAGAGATTGATGTGCAGCATCAAACTGTGCATGAAATGTTATCCAGATCTTGCTGGTCACTTGGATACTCTGCTTGTCTCTCATGATCAGCTGAGTTGTCACGAAATCCACGACTTTGACACAAGGGTACACCTCAATTTGTTTGGAAGACCAAGGAGAAACAGACAAAAGCTGAATATATTTTTGACATTTATGGTCTGACACAGATCTGTTACAAAGCAGCACAGACCACTAAAAGAACTAGGCAACATGTAGGAACTTTGAAGAATTTCAGCTGTAAGAATAACATCAGAGCATTAAAATGATGTCAACATTTTTAATTATTTATCTTATTGTTTGTTTGTCTAGTAATTCAATCGATCCAATGTTCAGCAAAATGAACTAGAAAATAAACCATCACTAGACGATAAGAAAGCTTAAAGACTGTACAAGGTAAACAGACAAATGAAAGAAACTTCCTTAGGAGAGATACTATAAAAGCTTAAAGACTATACAAGGTAAATGGACAAATGACAGAAACTTCCTTAGGAGAGGAATGTCACTGGCAAATGCAACTTTCCTGAAATGCAAGAGCTTCAAAAAGAGTCAACAAGTGCACAACATTCAGTGCACAAACAAGAATCACAAGTGAAATAAATATAAGCACAATAGCATGCCTGCCAATGTAAGATTCAAGGCAATTAACTAGTAGAACCCTACCAGAAAGAAGACAAAATAACAAAAGATTGTACTTTTTGTTTATGCTTCAAAATTTTGTAATAAACAGTGACAAAAACTCCAACTATATCTTATTCTAACTATTTGTCATTTACGCTATCTTTGCATGGATCTATTCCAACCTTGTAAACTTAAAGCTTCTAGTTCGAGAAACAAGAAAAACAATTGCAAAATCTCATTCTTCAAAATTTTAGAGAAGATTTTTTTGATAGGAAAAGAAATTGATCCACTAAACAAATGAAGTAATCAGGTTGTTTGATTTATTAACAAACTCACTTTAGTTTCTGATTGACCCCTTCAAACTGGTGAAACAAAATGAACCAAACGGGATTAAGTCATATGCTATGTGATGAAATGATAATGACTGAAAATGAATATATTGACCTACTATGATTTAGAAACAAATCTGGTGAAACAAAATGATTCAAGTGAGATTAACTCATATGCTATGCAATGAAATCATTATTACTGACAAATCAAGATACTGACATACTAAATATTTTTTTAAAGAGCACATTTAGGACAGGAAATTAACTCCATTAAGTAATTTTTAAAGTATCTAACAGTACTATTGTTTGCTTTTTGTGCAATGAAACACTACATGTTTTTTATGTTGATTCATTTATTATTCTTTTTCTGAATCCAGGAAACAGAAACAAAGGAAAAGCACTTGTCAAGTGTGGTTACCTGTGTACATTATATCCAGGACATAGCTTATCAACAGTTTCAGCAAAGTCCTTAAACTGATATATGCCATTAGTGCATAGATGACGACCAGATGCACTTGGTGTCTCTAAGAGCAAGATATGAGCATCAGCAACATCACACACATGCACACAACCCAGCCAGTGATACTCCTGGCTGTCTTTTGACCCTGCTCAGAAACAGAAGTAATAATTAACATACTACAAGAATAAAGTCATTATCAAAATTTTAATCAAGCAAACCTTGTAAGAGTTGTTGGAGCACAGCAGAGCTAGCATTGAGAGTCGGCTGCAAGAGTGGACCAAGGCATGTAGATGGATTAATGGTCACAATATCCAACCCATGCTTTTGTGCATATTCCCATGCCACCTTTTCTGCCGTTGTCTTAGACACTGGGTACCATTTCTGTAAGAAAATGATTCAAATGAAAGGAGAAACAAAGAATAAATTCACAGCAAGTGCAGTGGCTTCACTTTAGTCATCACTCATGGCATTGCTGACTAGCAACTTAGCAAATTTATGAAATATGATGGTTTAAGGCAAATGGAAACACATGCCCAAGAATAGAGGCAGACTTATATGCATAAAAATCCCCTACCTAGATAGCAAGATGTCTTCTGATGTTACTCAAAAAAAGTACTTATGCATTTGCTCAGATATCTTTTAAGCATGTTGATTAATTGACAACCTAATCACCACCTCATCATCATTTTATCAATTTTCGATCTGCCATTTAGTTTCAAATTTGTAACCTAAACATAAAAAAGCATATATCTTTTCATATGCTAAAAGCAATCTAAATACACTAGTATAGATATAACCAAATGAATTAAATATATAAAAGGGTTTATGAGAGTTCTTTACAACCTAATTCTCTCATTCTGACAAAATTTTCATTGAAGGGGACTGCAATCACACTTCTAATATAAAAGAAATAGCAAAAAAATTCACGTTTTTTATTACCTTTTAAAGGCACGAAACTGTCCAAAAAATAGAGTATAGACACTTAATCCTAAAAATCTTGGAGCAGAGGGAGTGCGGAGCTAACCTGGTGAGCCTTGCAGTAGTCGAGGTCGGTCCAACACTCCTCGTCGACGGGCCTGCCGGGGTGGTCCAAAGCCCACCTCGGGTTCGGCACCATAGAGGAGATGGAGGACGTTATCACCACCCGCGACGCCCCCGCCGCCCGCGCCGCCTCCAGCACGTTGAGTGTCCCCTCCACAGCCGGGGCGACCAGATCCCGCTGCGGGTCCCGCGGGGTTTCCAGGGTGCAGGGCGAGGCCACGTGGATGACGCCAGCGCGGCACCCAGCGACGGCGGCGGCGATGGCTTCAGCATCGAGGAGGTCGGCGGGGCGGACGATGAGGCGCCGGCTGTCGTCGCCGCCGGGGAGGGAGCGGAGGTGGGAGGGGTCGGTGGCCGGGTGATAGGTAGCGGTGACGGTGTACCCCTTAGCGAGGAGGCCATGCACGATCCATGAGCCGATGAAGCCGTTGCCGCCGGTCACGCAAACCCTTCGCTCCGCTGCCGTCACATCGCTTTCGGCCATTTCTTTCGCTCTCATGTCTTCCGATCGAAAGCAAACCTGCATTTATAGTGTCGCACGTATTTCGGTTATTATTAAGATAAAATTATACATATAATAATTAACTAAATAATAATAATAATAATTCGTGTAGTAATCCTAAATAATTAAAATATAATAATTTGTCATCGTTATTAAGATAATTGAAACATTGTTATGCTTAATTACGGCAATGCTTATAATTAGATTAACATTATGGCCACATCGTTATGGTAGTTTTGATGGATAAAGCATAAATCTCCTACCAAACAAATAGATAGAAGACAAACCGTCGAGACGACGCCCTAAATCTTGGAGCCTCCTCTCTTTGTGTTGTTTGGATTTGGTGATTTGGGGGGATGGAGGCGGAATCCGGATTGCCAGTTTGCTGTTGGGTTTGCTGATTGGAGGGCTTGGATTCGCCTCCTGCTTTCTGGGACTTCGTTTTACCTATCTCTATCTCTCTATCTCTAGTTTAGATTTGCTGATTTAGAGGAATGGAGGCGTAATTCTGTCGGCCTCTCCTCTTCCGCTGCCTCATTCATGGCTGATGTATGTTGCAGGGTCGCCTGTGAGCAGGGTAACCCTCCCCCGCCAGAACCTTTGGCAGCAACGTCATCCTTTGGTTGGACCACCCTGCCCCTGATTCCTTGACCACTTGATGTCGAAGTATCGGTGCTTATGCTCATCATTGGTGATTCCAGCTTCTGAAAATTTTCATTTTTTTTTGTGCGTAGGCATCGTATGGTTCTGGAGTTGGGTTTTAGGGCTCCCTTTTCGTTCATTTATATATTTGAAGAAATGGTTGTGTATCAATTCTGAAACATATCTGATTAGATTGTGCAATTTCCAGTTGATATTTCAGGTTTAAAAGGATATGAGAATTGGAATGGCCCGTGCTCAAGCCTTGAAAGGTGTCAACAAAGAAGGAAAGCCTGATGTCACTATTAAATTCAAGAGCAAGGAGTCTGTGGATACAACAGATGCATCTGGAATCTTATCTATGAACGTTGGCGAAAAAATGTGTTTTATGTTTTTGTTCTGAAATCAGAGATCAGGGGGTTGGTGGGTGCCAAGGATATGTCTGGATTGATCTGTGCTAACAATTGCCAAGATCGTGTCTTCTGAAGGTGGTCGATGAGGTCATGGATGAGGAAGCTGATATTGCTAATTGCCCTGGCAGCATTGTATTTAAGATGGAGAAAGATGAGGACCTGGATGCTGCCATATATTCAAGCTCCTTTGGGAACACCTTCTCTGGATCAGACAATAGTCAGCCGAATCAGGATCATGGAGACATGGTCACCCTTTGTTCCTTCAAATGTTGACCCTGCTGCTATGGATGGACTTAACGGGGTTTTTAAGTAAGTTCCATGTCTCATAAATTTGTTAATTTTGTTTGAGAAGTTACCTTTCCTTTATATTGTTAGCACCATTGGATCTGCTTGGTTTCAAAGGCAGTGATAGTTCTCTTGAACAGATTCTTTTGAACATTGTAGTTGAAAACTCATCTTGACAATGTGATCTGCAGAAATGCAAAAGATATATCTTCTATTGGCAAATTATTTCCGCGAGATCAGCCTGCCAGATATACTTATAATGTTAGTGCTCTAAAAATAATGGGTTGTTAGGTAGTCCGCCCCACCATGTATCTGGATATGAGATACAGGATGTAGTGATGCTGCTGATCTTGATATAATTGAAAGCACAGTAGGCCTGTTGTCTGGTGATGGAGCCCTGAATCAGCATCAAATTAGCGACTTATGTAAAGATGCATGACTAATGGATTGATTAATTATTTAATATGAACTTTTAATTGTTGTGATTGTCCCTATATCTCGGTAGAACTCTGAAATGTTTCTTAGTAGAACTTCTATTTTGTTGTTAAGCTATTTTATCTTTTGAAGCAACTACCTTAGGTCATCTGCCTTACTGATGTGAATGATGAAACTTGGGGAGTATTAACTTATACTGACCCGAGAAAGTGCAGTAGTGCTGGAACCCATGTTTTTGTATTTTGGCATTATGAACCAGTAATCAGAGTTAAGTAGATAGTGTTATCTCCAGAATCAAGAGTGATATTCCGGCTTCATTATGTGCTCAGTTGAGCTATGTTCGTTTGTTGCCATATGAAAATAATATTGCTTTAATTACATGGTAGGCCTGCTACTTTCTAGTGTTTTATCAAGGAAATGATTTTTTATTCTGTTGATCGCGATCCGCTCATAATTGCTCAAAAATCTTGCTTGTGTTGCAGTGTCGATGACAATTGTGGATAGATAATCAAGTAGCCGAAGATGGGTATCAGTACTTTCAGAAAGTCAGCCAAGCAACAGAGAAACTTCAAAGGATGATAAAGACACAAGCTGAGACCCATTCTGGAGATGCGAGCAGTGCCCCTGAGGTCCCATTGCCAAAACCAGTTCCAGGAACAGAAATAGTGTCTATGCCACAGCAACCGGTTCTGAAGCCCTGCTACATAGGAAAAAAAATAGAGGGAAAAAGCCCAGTAAGAAACGATGCCAGAGTGAGAGGCTTAAGAAATGAAGATTGTCCAGCAAAACAACTTAACAAACTCAAGTATGTGTTCGACATGTATCCTATCTAGCTAATTTTGATCACATTTTGGTGGTTTGATTCCTCTTTCACAGTCATATCATGATAAGTATAAGATTAAACTTGTACATCTGGCTGTTGGTGGTCTAAAGCCTTTCTCTCAAGTTGACAACTGTTGTTCACAGTCATGCCTGAAAAATGTAACTTGGACCGGGCTAATTGATCAGTCTGAATTGATGAACTAAGTGATGGCAATTACTGTTGTCTGTGGTGGTCTGTCTAAATAGGGCATATGTTGGATCTGTTCTTATTGTTTTCAGCTAGCTATTTGTTGGGGAATTTTCAGGAAGGGCACCACATGCTGCAGATTGTGATCATTATTTTGAGGAGGAATCAGCAAAAATTCCTATCAGCTCGTGGAGGATCTTTATATTTCTCGGTGACGAATGAAATAGCAGAGAGCTTCAACTGATGTCCAACTCAACGGAGTGCCTGTATTCTTTAAAGGAAAAATGTATAATCCCACCACGAATATAATAACATCGGCTCGGTAACCAAACTACAAAACAGACGCAGCAAAGCCAAATAATTTTCACTGAATTAATAATATGTCACAGCTTGTCAGGAACTCACATATATCCAACGCTAAGCAATCGTTGACTCGAACTAATGTAGTCATTTGAGGGCATGGTGAGGACATTAACGTGCATCTTTTTTATTTTTATTTTTTCTGGAACCAATCTTCAAGCACTATCGGAGTCTTTTGCAGACTTTACGGCTTCAAAGACAGCTGAGAAATCAAGGTCCCCTAATCCCAAGCTCCTGGCCTTCTTGAATGCCTGCACGATCACAATATGAGACCAGTTTTTATCTTATCATAGCTACGATAATAATGTATCTTCATGAATTTTTTTCCACCACTGAGCTAATCCTAGCTAAGGTTTTATATCTGATTGGAACGTTTTACCGGTGTACCAGATGGTATATTAATCTGTACCGTCCAATATCACATTACTAGTCATCATTGACCTATATGATCCAAATATTAATTCTCGGTCGGAATGATAAATGTGCAAGAGATAGATGGTTGGTGTGGAGGAACAGTGGTAAGCGTTACCTCATTGGATGCTGCAGCAATAGGCATCGAGACAGCATTTTCATCACCAAGGGCGAGAGCCAACCTCATATCTTTCTGCTGATGCTTGAGGGGGAATGCAGGTGGGTAGCTGCCTTTGATCATCGCAGGGCCTTTGAGCTTGAACATGGGATTAGCAATTGCGCCCAGATCCTGCCAGAATAACCGGGAAAACAAGAACAATTAGCTAACTGTTATTTCGGAGAATTGTGGAGCCTTCCATGGGTGAGATGTGAGAAACAAATACCAAAACGTCTAGAAGCGTTTGCTGGCTCAGCCCACTTCTGTCAGCCAAGCAGAGTCCTTCCGATAACGCATTCATCATGCTGCAGAGCGCGAAAAAGAAATGAATGGAGGAATCAGATGTCAAAGTTCTGTCAACCTGGAACACCAACTTGTAACATCATGTATCATTAAATGAAATTATAAAAATATTATGATGAACTATTATGTAGTGGTAGCAAGCTGTAAGTTTCGATACTAATACTTGATAGAATCAATAAATGCTGACAGGGACTTACCGGTTTTAACTGATGTTCAAAACTTTGGATAAGACTCTATGTCAATTATATATTATTACCAAGTTGTTCTAGCATGAAATAAGATATGCATAATTAAAAGAAGACATCATAAACGATGCAAATCTTAGCAGCACCAAAATCAATTGTTGCATCAGAGATGCACCAATGTCCTCATGAGATGCTCCAATGTTAACAGATGCCTTGATGCAGTTAATAAACTAGTCAACTACGAATACTAAGAAGAGAGTTCATAGGAATCATTTATAAGGTGAAATCAATTCAGCAAAATGGTGCACTGTTTTTTCATAAATCCTCATGAGGATCAACCAGTACTAAATTTACACTTTACTGAAACATCCTTCAAAAAGGTATGCCAAAGTCTTGGATTTTATAACGTACCTGCCCATGATCATGTTCACCACAAGTTTGAATTTGGCTCCATTTCCAACCTCCCCTAGAAAGAATGATTTTTTCCCCAGTACATCAAATGCAGGAACCATTTCGTCGTACAATGCCTGCATTAGGATCCAATACAAAGTTATAGTAATTAGTAATGTTGCAGAATGAAAGGCAGGTAACTCATACAATGTTTCTAGCATCTTAATCTTCATTTAAAAGCCAGCAAATCATCTAATTTAAGGCCCATCTACCATAAGCCCATTGATGTAATAACCAGGTGCCTTCTACGTGCATAATAGAACAAAATATATCATTGTCTGTTCCATGAGATGGTCAATATACGTGAATCTCCCTTTAATATTTAAGCAATCTGCAAATAGATTATCATCTGTATATAACCCTAACAAATGCTCATCCTAGGTGTATGATATATATTTAAGAACAAAAATTATTGTTTGTAAAACCACAGTTATTCAATAACTCTAGACAACTAAATATTGAAGTAGAACAAAGCTCTCTTCCATCCTCAGCCAAGATCTTATCCACAAATGCTAATATCTACAAAGAAAACAGCGGAGACTACATGATCTATCAAAATATTTCAAAAGTTCATGCTATTTGTCTGTACGAGCTCACAGGAAATCCAATCAGTTAGGCCAACTTAGTATTGATTATATTGGATAAATTTTTAACAAAGAAGATGGACCAGAATTCTATTACTAAGAGCTCCCCCAGACCAACCAGTATGAAGCATAACTGAATAGAAGTTCCCAACAAATTGTGTAAAATACCAACAGATGCTTGGGATTTATTAGATTACCTTCTCTCCAGCTGCTAGGATTACCAACTGGCCATCTTCAGCCGGCTTTTTGCTGCCAGAGACTGGAGCTTCAAGAAAGTGCCCGCCCTTCTTTGTAATTGCCTGAAAAAGTATACAAGCATCTTTTATGTGGATGGATCAATGATGCAGAAATGATGATGCTATTTACATAAATTTATAAAGCTAGATTTGTCAGATTGAAAATTTAGTCAATAACAATCAATGCCAAGTTGCCATCCCTAGTGCATTACAGCATTCGCCGAAAGCACAAACTAAGTCGAAACCAAGTTGCATTAACATGAAATATTAAAGAAAATCAATTGTAGGCTTATTCTACAATGAGAAATTTTACTTGTTTCAGCTCAATTTTCTGTATTGGTCCTGTGCTTTACAGCTCAAGTTTTATCAAATACAATAACATAATATTCTTTGATTTATTCAGTCAAAATTCAGCTGTCTTATTTTCCTCGGAAAATATTTAGCAATTTTATTTGTCATCAGAAGCATAAGTATTTAAGTATACTCATTTATCATACATGGTGTTTCCCATCAATATGGGACCAGCTATTCCAACAACTCAAAACCTAGAAGATCATGCCCCATGGTAAGGCCTTCCTCACTTGCAAACCTAGTCAACATTCACAATGTTATTATGGCTATTTCTTTCCCTTTCTTCCCAGATAGCTTGTCAAGAGCAGGTCACTCTATCTGACTTTTTCAATTTGTTGAATTAGAGATGGGCATCTAGTGGTGGAAGTGTAAAACAATATAAAATGTTTATGAAGCTCCATAAGGAAACTAATAGAACTCTCATGCAGTTGTCAGTTTGGTTTACTGGTTTCAAAAGGATAACTCCTGTCTTGGTGATCACTAATTTTGATGAATTTACAACTATAATCTCTTTTTGTGATGTATTAGTCTTGTTGCCATCTTGAATAACCTACTATCCTTTCTGCTTTATTTTTTTTATTTTTATTTGTTTTTGTTTTATTTTCCTTTTTTATTGTTCTTGTTGCATGTTATTGATGAAATAAGTTAGTGAACTTGCTGCTTTGCCTTAATTAAACTGAGATGAATATGCTGAAAATTTGGCAAGATTACCTCATCAGCCAGTAATTTAAGGTTAACCTAACAATTGACTGCAAGTTCCAACCAAATTTAGACAAGAAAAAATTACTGGTGAAACAGGTACAGTACCTCCATATAGGGTGGTATACCATATGTACTGCCGGATATCATCAAAGAAAAATAATTAAAAATTTAAATAATAATCAATACTGGCATATGGTCCAATACTGGCCTTTGATTGGACCAAAAAATATCAGTTCATACATATCAGTCCAACTGATATTTGAAACCTTAGTTTAAACTCAAGGAACATGGATCGACATCAACCATCCAATTCCTCTAGGAATCAAAAAGATATAAGAATACGAACTCAAGAGTCTTTAAATTCTTGCCCTTCATCAGTGGTTGCACGTGACAATTGACTTTTTATATGATCACAAGATTAATCACATAAGAAAAAACCTCATTAGCATCCGTGAATCAAATTCTATCAATTAGCAGGTATAGACATCATTTCATGTTTAAAATTTCAAGTAAGAGAATTTTCAAAAGAGATCATTTTTTCATGCATAAAAAGAAACAAAATTATTGATGCTAAATTAACAATAATCACAATACGAATCTCCCAACCAAAGACAAAGACAGAAGGTATTGCAAGTAGCCAGACTATATACGCCATTAGAACAGACCTCACTGATCTTAGATGAAGTTTCTGCATCAACCGTTGACATATCTACGTAGCCTTTTCCACTGCAGATTTGCTCAAGCACTCCATCTTTGTCAAAAACTACCTGAACATGATCTGAACAAATTGGTAACAATGAAGTTTTAAGATGGTGTCCATAGCTGATTTTAGTTATTTTCTAACCGAGAGGGCTGCACTTGGATCAGATAGCATAGCTATGGTGTACTTGCACTTATTGATAACAGCTGCAGGTGTTTCTCCAACAGATGCACCTTGCTCCACTAGCTCTTGACACTGCAGTTATTAGATTAGTTAACTGAAAACTGTTTCCAATAGTGGAAGCTCAAGTATCTTTCTTGAAAAATAGCAATAAGTTTTGCATGAAAAAGCCATCTTAAAACTACAGAAATACCTGGGTAAAAGCATATTAACACAAAAAGATATTGGCATCAACAAAAGACGGTGTCAAAGCTATGACGAGAATACAAAAGGAAGATATAATCACAATCAAAACTATGATTGTGTATAATGTGTCCAAAATCCATATGACCTACCTATGTTAAGACCAACATAGGAATCAATCACAACTGAAGATGATATATTTGTAATAAAGCCATGAGCACATGACCCAAACATAAGGGTTGCAGTTTACGTGGGCAAGTGGAGTCTGAGTCAGGCTGATTTTCAGTCGACTAAAAATTGCTCACTAGAATCTAAGCATTTTTTTTATTTGGCGATTGGCAGAATGTATCAACCAGAATCTGTAAATAATCTACAAGTACTACCATAAAATTACCAAGGCAATGGTACTATCCTCATCACATTATCTTAGCTATCAGATATTTATGCCTTTACCATGGCAATAGTCTGCTCTATGGTTGGTTTTCCGATACAGCATAAAAACTTGAAGGTACATTAAGTAGACATAGATCAGAAAGGAATGAGTGGTAATGGGAAGCACATGTGCTGGGCGAACAAGGAAGAAGGCCAGAAACCTACATCTATGTTCTTCCACCCATTATCTATATTTCTGAAGTGAGTGGATGTGGATGGCTCTATTGGGCATTCCGAACATTGTGACAAAATAATTCCGTTCAGCAGGGGCTGACCGAGTAGTTTCAATAATTAAGTTATAATCTATTATGCCTAATAGTTCTGGATAGAAAATCAACCCAAGAATCAAGTGTCTTTCCCAAACCCAATCCAGTTGAGCAGGTTACAGGTGAGGTTTTTCTCCCAAATTAAGGCACCAAAGTTTTCTCCTACTTCCTCTTGACTATTGAAGTAATTAAACTTGATACAAAAGTTCAAATTCATGCAGAATTATCAGATTGCACTAGATTCCAGACGATAGATATCAGTATGATATCGACTTTTCCCACCTGCCAAGATTATTTGGCTATGCATAAGGCAACAACTCTCAACTTAAAACTAAGAGTAGCAGTCCATCCAAGTATGTTACACATGGACATCATCAGATTGGGTCCGATTCCAGACGATAGATATCACAATGGGTCCGGTTCCAGACAATTCATATGACCCCATAAGTATGAGCAATCCATATCGATAAATCAAATCGAACTTGTCCCTCCAAAGGCAACAATCGAGCACATGAATAAATTGTTACTCCATCCATCTTAAAAATCAAATCTTTATAGACATTCGCTTTCTAATCGCGTGCCTACCACAGAGATACCACGGGCAATAGTGTCTATCCATCATATACACCAAATGAAGCAAAATCGAACAATCCTCGAACAAAAGAAAACAAAAGCGTGATATAGGTGAAAAGAAGAGAGAAGACCTTGGAGAGGGTCCGATTCCAGACGGTCACACCGAATCCGTGGCGGAGAAGATTGACTGCCATGGCTTTCCCCATGATGCCCAGACCCAAGAATCCCACCTCCATCTTTTCCCCTCCTCTCTCTCACACTCTCTCTCTCTCTCTCTCTTCTACTTCGCGTCCTACTTCAGCTTCGTCTTCCACTTCTTCTGGAGCAGATCAATGAGCCGACCGATTAGAAACCTACCAATGTTTCTAATCTTGTTTATTGCGCCGGCGAATGGACTCTAGCTATACTGTGTTCTTCCATTAACCAGTGGATGCTTCCCACGTGGTAATTGGGACGGCCGCTGATCGCAGATATGATACAGACTACTTTAAACCATCGGATGTTGCCACGTAGTCGTTGAGATTGCCGTTGACGACGATTACACCACACTGCACTATGTAAGTATAATATGCAAGTGCGGCTCGCGTGTCTCACTCGAGCCAGGATCTAGGGAAAAGAGGGATGAATACCACCTGTTGGATGACAAATCACACAGTGGGACCAATAAAAACTGCCTCGCGCTCTCACCCTTTTCCTGAACCCTGTCCTAGATGTGCTGCTGAGCCGCCAGCCACAACCGAAGAGGGCCAATACGCGCGGGTCCCGCGACACCGGTCTCGGAGCGAACCAATAGGAGCGTGCCAAGTCGTCGTTCTCGACTCTGCTCTTGGTTCGCTAAGAGCAATGCATCGAAGCATAGTTATCATAATCCAACCACATCGACAGGTCTGATCGAGTGTAAAGAAAAGCCGAATCAATCCATCAAATTATAATGAATCGATCGGTTTTTCAATATGTGCGAAATAATAATATTATTATTCTTTTTTCAATATGGGTGAATTGATTAAATCATTTTCATTAAAAATCAATATCATAATATCGTTTCGGCTCATATAGTTATTATCCTATGTTTTTAGAATTCAATACTACACTATCATATAAAAAAAGGTTTCTTAGGTACATCTTTCGAAGCTAAGCTGAACAAAGGTTTTAACTTAAATTTCTCTTTGTCTGACACCACATCACTTAGAGATACACACAGCAAGATCTCGATTAGATTAAAATCAACAATCATATTGAACGAACAAAATATGAATTAATAGTAGTAAAATAAATTATTTATTTATGCATAATTGTTAGAGTTGACACCTAGTGTAGGATGGTAAGGGACTCTTGGTAAGACAGTAAACAGTTTAAAAAAGAAATTATTTCCGTAGAATAATGCGAGCGAAGTTATTTTTTTCAAAAATAGTTTCAAAAGAAATTCAAAATATAATGAGTGAATTCCAGGCTAATATTAAGAATTTTTGGTAAGATGTCTGACTTTAAATTTCTCACGTAATGTTTTTTTATATAAATATTCATTTTTCCCATGGCTCTTGTCGGACTCGTCGTTACCTCCATCCTACATCTCCCTTGCATTGCTTTCCTTGTGTTCACCCGCAGCCCTTACGCGAGGAAGGAAGGGGGTGAGGCTCATCATCTCATTCGTGAATCCTATCGACCCCCATAGGATTCACCCCTATATGCGTAAAGGCAATGACAAGTTCGACAGGAGTAACTGGGTTTGTAGAGATAGTAGCAACTCGCCTTTTTCGTGTGAAGGCCATGAGAGAGTAAAGAGAGGGAGCAAGGGTTATTGTCTCATCCGCAGACCCCATCGACCCTCACAGGATTTGCTCCTATGCGCATGGAGGCAATGACAAATTCAACCAAAACTAATAGATCCTTAGACGAGGACCATGGGGGAGTGATGAGAGTCGATGAGCGAGATGAAGGTGAGGCAATCGAGCTCCGGTTTATGATTTAAATATTTATATTTAAATCAAATATAAATATATATTTGATTTAAAAGCAGAATTACAAAATCATTCTTTAGAAGAATGATTTTTTTTTTATATTTATCCCTCCGAACTAACGTTTTCTAGTGTTATTATATTTAACAATGTATTTGGGTAATTTTGTTAATTTGAAACTTTGTAGGTATAGACATGTAATTTGGGGTCTCTGGTTCGAATGGTCCGTTCTCGAGCAGTTCATTCGTTTCCTGATGCCGACTATAAATACTCTGGATGAGAAGCTGTTGCCATCGTAACAAATTCTTGGCGCCAAGCCCAAGCCGAAGGAAGGCGACGAAGAAGAGAGAGAGTCGCGATCGGTTCCCTCGACGTCGAAGAGACATGTTCCGCCGACTCCTCACGCAGAGTCCACGCCGCAGCGCAGCCACCGGCCTCGTCGCCCTCACCGCGCTTTATGGCGGAGCCGCCCTTGCTCCCTCCTCGTCCGCCACGCTCGACGGCCCCTTCCGTCCCGCCAGTAACCTTCTCTCGCCCTTTTCCTTTCTTTCTCCGTCTTACCTATTCATCTCAACATTCTTGTAGCTTGTCACATCTTAATTCTATTGTCTTCCCCATCCGCGGCTGATGTAGTCATTTCGATCTCGGCTCCGTTGCGGCAGTTCCTCTCCTCGACGTCGGATCTGTTCTTGCGAGACTTCACTCTTTCATATCTCTTCTCAACCCCTTCCGGAGGTTTAAATTTCAAGCCAATATTTCCTTCTTTTACATTTCTTCGGAAATGACTGATTCTTGATTCTAAATCTAGGGTATCCTACGTCGCGTTCTTCCACCGTGAGAACTATTCCGCTGTCGGGTTCAAGGAAGGAGACTTCCAGAGAGAACCGGGATGATGGGCCGAGCTCCCCTGGTTGTATGCAGAGCGACACTATTGCCAAGGCGGCTGCTGCTGCCTGCCCTGCTTTGGTGCATGTATCTGTCGCTCAAGGTGAGGATGCCTCTTGATTTAGGTTATGTCGATCTTGGGTTTTTTGTTTGTATGGTTTTGTTGGTGAGTTCTTGCAAAACATTTCTGTAGGTCCGTATGGATCCGGCACAATAATTGATCCAGATGGAACGATCTTAACCAGCGCGAGCTGCGTGGCAGAATCCCTCAACTCGAGAAAGGTTTCTAAAAGCAAGGTCGGTGCATAGTCGGAGACTAATTGTTCATTTTATTTCATTAGATCTGCCCTAGAAATGTTAGAGACTTTGGAAAGCTTAGCTCTAATAGTCAGTTTCATGAAGCAGCTCTGGTGTTATTGATTATAAGACAATGTCAGTAATACTAGATGGTCTCTGAGAATCTAAAATTTCATTTAGCATCTGTTTGAATGTTTGTAGATACATTTGCAAGCAACTAAAATTAGAGCCTGTAGAGTCGATGCATACCAGATAAGAATTACTTAACCATGATAGATAAGTAGCAATGATAACAAGGTGGTTAGGCTCTGCTGCATGCACTAATTTGAGGTATTGCCTTTCTTGTACATATCTCATATTAGCTTGATAGATTCATGTTTTACTCATTCATATGTAGTGTTACCAATACTGTTATAAAATGATAACAAGGTGGCTAGGCTCTGCTTTATGCGCTAATGTAAGGTATTTCCTTTATTCTACATATCTCATTCTGGCTTGATGGATTCAGGTTTTACTCATTCATTTTTAGTGTTACAAATACTGTTATAAGGAGATTTTAGTTGTTTGAACAAAGCAAATCGTCTACATGTATGATAACTTTTGTGTAAGTTCTAGAAGGAAAAGATGTTTGAACTTTCTTTGAGAAAGGAGTCACTGACAAGATAGGCTTGAATGGTAAGTCTCTTTATCTATTGTTGGAGGCCATTTCTTGAGTGCTTAGTTGAAATCTTTGTTCGTAAAATCTGCATACTTTTACAGTTTATTAGAACTAGCTCGGTCCTCGTCAGGGCAGGGTCTTTTGGGACCTGGGACTGCGCGGGGCCATTATGAAGCCAGCTGCCATTGGCACTCTGGCAATGATCAGACACATTTTAATTTTATTTGAAACCCTAATATTTGCCTAAGAAGAAAAACAAGAGAATAATTTGTTTGCTGCCATCCTGGTCTCTTTTTAGTTGTTAATCCAAGAAAATATCTGACTTGTTTTCAAATTTTACTGATTATTCTTTTGACAAATAAAATAGATTGGTGTAACTTTACAAGATGGCCGTGAATTTGAGGGCACAGTGGTCATTGCTGATTTCCTTTCAGACATCGCCATTGTGAAGATACAATCTGAAACTCCACTGCCAACGGCTAGAATTGGATCGTCATCTAAGATTCGTCCAGGCGACCAGGTTATTGCCTTGGGAACCCCACAAGCTCTGCAAAATACAATCACATCAGGCATTGTAAGGTGTGTTAACGTAGAAATTAACATGCTTCTCGATCAATTTCTACTTAATTATAACATATTCTTGATTTAATACAAGTTATTCGAAGAATATTATAAGAATTTTATTCAAATTATTTATTATGGTTTTGATCTGGAGTTATTATGAGTTTATGCTTGCAACATGTCAGAAGCACAGAGAGTTTCTTCTTTTTTTGCTACACCTTTTCTTTAAAGGTTGTTTTCATCTTTCCCGTTTATATGTAGCTGCACTGATCGGGATAGCAATGACTTGGGGCTTGGAAGCGTTCGAAGGGAGCATCTGCCAACAGATTGTGCAATTAATACGGCAAGCTTACTTTCATTCTTTTCCTTGAAATAATAAACTATAAGAACGTATCGTTCATTCCCAGATCTTCTTGTATCCTTATGGTTCTCTGGGTTGTATATGCAGATGTATCAGTTTTTCATTGTTACAATGCAAATGTTTATTGTTATTCGTTGTTACAATATATTCTGAACTACAATTTTGCTAGGAATTTTTCTTTCCGAAAAATGAAATTATTTGGTGGACTTTTTTAGCTTATGCTCATTAGATGGTTAGGTTCCTTAATGCAGTGCATGCATGACTTTTATGTCTTGGCTAGATAGATAACTGGCAAAAGAAGAAAATAGAGAACACAGTTCATAATATACACATCAAATTGCAGTCGATGGAACTTGTAAGGTTTAAAGATTTGCAACATATTTGATTGTCTAACCTTTTTAGTTCAGCTTTTTCTAGCATAACCATGGAATAGTTTATGATCATTTTATTTGCCGATTGTTTCTTTTTTATAGGGAAGTCTTGGAGGACCCCTTGTGAACCTTGATGGCGAGGTTGTGGGTGTCAACACAGCAGATGGAATGAGCTTTGCAGTGCCAATTGATATAGTCATGAAAAGTATTGAGCAATTCGAAAAGAATGAGTATGTTCTGTATTGGTTCGGCTGCTCTTATCTCATTTTGCTTTTAACATCACTTTGGCTCTTCACGTTGGATTTGTTCTAATATCTCCCTTAGTTATCAACTTTTTACTGGCATCCTTAATAAGGTCCTACTGATAGAAATTCTGGTATTTTGTTCGAGGACACAAGCAACAAAATTCTATCATTTTACTGGCATTATTTATTGACATCCTAAATAATGTCCTATTGATTGAATATTTTTTAGCCTTTTGCTTCACCCATCGATAACTATAGCAGAGTTGATGGTGGAGCTATTGGTAGGAGCTTACGTTGCTAAAGGCGAAAGTGTGGAGATGTAGGAAGTGGCAACCTTGGAGAAATAAAGTGATTGGAGATGAGCTTAATAGGGTGCTGGTGGAGCGAGTAGGTCAACAATAGGATGTGGGAAAGAGTAGGCGTATTTAAATATTTGAGCGAGTGGGTCATTTAAGATTTTTCTAGTTATTGCAAAGGTAGTGGAATATTCAGAATATCCTTGTGCAAAACATTTTTTTTTCTATTTACTTGATGGAGAGTTTCCCTAGTTTAAAATATTAAGTGAAACTGAGTTTCATCTATCTAGTTTTAAGAATTTAATCATTTAAATAGTTCTCTGTTGATGGCATCTAAATTAATTATATATTCAAAATTTTAGCTATTTTTGGAGTATCTATTGTCTTATTTGCTTTTTAATGTTGTGGACCATAGTTAGTATCCCACACATAAATTTTTTACTACAAATGTTGTTTTGGTGTCATTTTGATTTAAATTAGACATGGTGTAATATAGGATCTCTTCTCACACTTTGTCTTGGGTTCTCTATCCTATAGAAAAGTAATAAAATTTTCAAATATGCTAATCCTATTACTATAATAAATATCAATATCTTATAAGTAGCTATCCTATAAAGAAATAATAAGACTATTATATTCATTATATATAATCAACCTAATAAAATATAGAATTATAATGAAATGAATAATGAAATAAATTTTCTAATGATTTCATTTTCATTTTTGAAAATGAAAATTTTCAGTTTTCATATGGGGGCAATATATTCAGGGTTTTCTAGAATATTTTATATGTTCGAAGTAATTTTTTTAAAATAAAATCTTGATAGTAGATCATTGCTGCTACTGATATGGGACGCAATGTATTCGCACTTATTTCATGATATTTGTTTGTAATTTGTCTTACATATTATTATATATGTGGAAATTCCAGTACTTGTTTCAGTAATGAAAGGTCGAAAGTTTCGATACTGGTTGATTACTTTATTTATATAATTTTTTTTTTATTCTGGCATTATATATTTTTAATATATTCAGTAACGGTGTGTGGTTTGTGCAGAAGGGTAGTCCGACCACGGCTTGGAATGAAGGTGCGTGATCTTAATAAAAGGAAAATTGCACATTTTAAGAAAAAAGATGCTTCCTTTCCGGACGTAATCAAAGGTGTGCAAGTACTCGTGGTAAGTTTCGTCTAGTGGTAGTATGGTATAGGATAATGAAGATGCTTTTTATATTAGGTTACTCTATAGTGCTTGATGTTGGTATAGGATAATGGAGATGCTTTTTATATTAGGTTACTCTATAGTGCTTGATGTTGGTCGCGCCAGGGAGTTAAATAGATTTGAAAATTGTGGTTTGGTTTTGGTTACGTTAAAGAAAATTTTAAGAATATTTTAAACAATATTATGTTCATCTTTTAATTAAACGATTTGCTTATTAAACAATATTTCAATTAAAAGAAAAAAAAAGGAGAAAGTGGATTATGCATTGGCAGGCTCATTTGTTGTATTATTCATCTTTATTGTTATGTTCTCATGTTGTATTCCTGCAAGGCAATCTAAAAAATGATGCATTCATTCACATAATGTCCACCAGGTAAACCCGGGATCACCAGCTCATCATGCTGGATTTCGGCCAGGTGATGTGGTCATCGAGTTTGACAAGAAACCCGTTGGAACCGCTAAAGAGGTACGTACTTCCACAGATTTACTAGAAACCAACACACTATGACCTACATCCTTAAATATATTAACTTACTAGTCAGGAGAATTCATATAAAATTAGTTCTCTTTCAAGTTCCAAATCCTTTCCTTTCCATCCTCTCTTGAAAAGTTTCATATAATCGCTTTTAGATTCTATTATTTAATTTTGATAAAATTATTAACCAACTTTTTTTCGTTTTCATGTTTTAATATATAAATCAAATACCTTCAAGCAATGCCTGATGAAACAATTAGTGTAATATCACATAGAGCCTCGAGACATTCCAGTACTCCATAACTATATAAATTATGTGTTCAAAATACATAAAAATTGATTATTCCTTTAATTTTTAAAGAAAAGTATCATAATAATAATTGTTATTTTAATTTTTTTTTACATAATTGTTATCTTTTTATAGATCATAGACATCATGGAGGATCAGGTTGGGAAGACTTTGGAAGTGCTCATAAAACGAGCAGACAATACATCCATGACGTTGACTGTAATGCCCAAGGAAGCCAAAACTATGATTGACCTACCTCAAGAAATGTTAGAGGATTTCTCCACTAAAACTGTCTTAAGGTAAATATCGTACGAGTTTGACAATTGTAAGATTTGATGTAAAACGGTTCATGAGTTGTAGGAAAGATAATAGACTCAAAATTGATGTGCGATTGATTTAGCTACATCTGTTACAGTGGTATGACAATTAGCTAAGAACTAAGATGTTGTGGGGGCTCTTCGACTTGAGGACGAACAAGGATCAATTTGTATCAAGCCTTGCATTGTGCTTCTACTTGGGCTATTTCAAGTTCACTGTCTGCAGGATGTTCAAGTTCGATTTCCTCTATGTTATTGTTGTCTACCAACTTTTGCCCTTCAATATGATAACTCACAGGAAAATGTAGAACAACGAAATGTTATCTGCAAAGGCCGGTACAAATTATGCCTATCGCTGAGAAATATCAGGACTTGTTTCAAGATCAATTCTTTGTTCACGGGACCTTCGTTTACCGTTGTTCTGATTAGATTAGATATCAATTGTTGTTCAAGAAAAGGAACGCAGTAATAAGTTACTCGTGCAGTCTAATTGTCGGTCACCTTCTAAGAGGAGTATTGGTGATTGTGGGCGATGATAAGAGCATGACAGAATATTCGTATGTCGAGATCATTTGCATGTTTGCATGGATGATGCAAGAGGTTACCATCACCAGTCCTCTTCGACAACAATGTTCTGTTGAAGTCATAATCCATCCTGCACCTTCTACAAACTGATCTTTTCATTATAGGCTAACAGCAACTTCAGTGGAGTAGAGTCCGAAAGACTCTTCTAACTTGAAAAAACATCGAAATGGTTGTGATATGTAGTTTACTCAACGCCAGTCCATAAGCGGAGAAATCAAATGTGTTTGTTTGGATCAAGAACTCATCGATACAAGCATAAGGATGCAAACCACTCTGCACTCACGCAAGTCATAACCTTGCCGCTCAAGATTTGGAAGCAGAAGGTCGAGGAGAACAAGAAATCATTTAATTATCAGACAAGAAATAGTTAAAGTTCTTCTTATAATCTATGTTTCAGATCATGCAAAATAACGATTTAAGATGCCACAGAAGATGTTTTTCTATTCTTGTCTCGATGAACTAAAGCAATTTCTTCCACTTTCTCTAGTCCGAGGAATTCTTCTGGCACGATCATTTGTTCCACGAGATCGAAAGCAGTATAGTTTCCATATCAATTACGTAACGTAGGCACAGAAACCAAGCAAATATGAACCGTCTTCTTACATTTTTCAGAGGTGGTATCATGTGCAGCAGAGTAGCAACATATATAATTTTAGCTCAAAATAGTTTCTGAATCTACAAATACTCTTATCTCGCGAGAACCGAAAATTCGCAACATAGTTACAAGTAAGAGGAGGCAATGTTTCTTATATCTGGGGGCATGAAAGCCAGGATCATCAGTAAGGCAAGTATGCCTAGAGGAAGTAATAGCAACATGGAAGGTGGAGGCGGCAGTGGAGGCAATACAAGGGGAAGTATCAGCAGAGACATGGTGAGGAAGATGAGCATAAGGAATGACTCCATGCTGAAATAGTTGGAAGCTGAGCTTCCTTGGTCTGGCTCTTGCGGCGGAAGGATTCTCTTGTCCGTACTCGAACCGCTCATCGATCTTTTCCTCCTCCCTCTGCCTTCCGTCGATCCAGGCCGAAAAGATCTTGTATCGCTCCGATCCTTTTGCATTCTTGCCAACAAGGCTTACCGAGCAGATGAATTTATTCCACGAGCAGATTTTTCTTCAATAATGGTTTCGAGATCGATGTGCTACTCTTCCCCTTCGTATTGAAAACCAGCTTCTTAAATGAAGTCCGAGGCTCGAGAGATCTCCAAACCAAACAGTCTTCGTACGAGTCCGACAAATCGAGCTATGGAAGAGAGAGAAGAGAATCCGGTCTCCTATGTTTTGGTTTTCGTCAATCGTGAGTGATGCTTCAAAACCATAAATCTAGTGGCACTCTCGGAAGCTTGGTTTCCTGACACAGTAAGAGAGGCAGGCATCAACTCCTTTTTAGTTACGCGGTAAGGTTAAGAAAACTGGTGATCAGATAAAGATTCAGTGTTTTGTGATGGAACTATGATCTTGATCCAGCAAAAAAGTTACAATGCAAACTCCAGGACTCCTAATTCACACCGGATGACAATAAGAAACACTATAATCAATCTTCTTCATGTCAAAAACATCATTTAATGATCGAGGCGACGAAAGAATTACCTCTCTGGTCTGCTCTTGGCAACTCTTAGAAACAACCGTGTGAGGTCCTCTCCCTGAATGGTTCTTCACTTTAAGATCCATTAGGAAGAAGAAGAAGAAGAAGAATTGCATGAACACATGTCAGTGCATGTTTCCTCTCTCGCTCTTCTCCTGCAATTCAAGTTAAACGAGATGCAATCAGGACAGGAAAAGTTTGTTGAGACGTATGCTTCGAAGGAGGAAGGCAGCTTCTGCGAAGTTAAGATGGATGGACTGGTGCTGCTCTTGTTACTGTGTGTGTTCGGTAGCCAGCTACCTGCTCTCATCTATCTATCTATCTATCTGTCTGTGGGAGGATGAGAGGGCAAGGAAGATGTTGGAGAGCCGAGGGCTGGATACACTGCATCCCATGAACAAGTCGGAGGTATTGTTCACCCCATGCAAAGCGGTGGGGGATGGTGATGCTGTTCGTGGGGCACATTTCTTTGCCTTGTGGAGAAGGATAGCCAAGTTTGATGTTTAAGGTTCCTCTCCCCTGGCCAAGTTTCATTTTCCCCTCATCCCCCTGTCTCTTTCCAGCTCCCATCACCAGCCAAACTAAGGTCTCCATTTCCTTGTCCTTGTGCCTCTCTGACATGGTCCATGCTGGTTTTACAATCATTTTTCTTTTTCTTTTTCTTTTTTACTTTATTACTAAGAATGTAGATTCTTTCTTTCAAAATATACTTTTCTTTTTTTACTCTCATCATTATAAATTCTTTCTAATGATGATATCTAAATACAGAGAAATTATTTCGATAACTCGAATCTTAATTTTTTAAGATCGTAAAGGAGTAATTTTTTTTTTAACTTTATAGATTCTTTCTATCAAAATGTATCTTTTTTTTTTTAACTCTCTTCATCATATATTCTTTTCTATGATGATATCTAAATATAGAGAGATTATTTTGATAACTTAAATCTTAATTTTTTAGATCGTAAAGGAGTAATCCCATCATCTCTCTTTATCAAATAATAATAATAAATAAATAAATAATAAAATTTTAAGATAGAAATTATAAAAGAGTTATATGTTTGTTTACCTCTTTCTCTCTTTTTATTTTTATTTGTATGATAAACAAAGAAGATGAGATTCGAGCTTAGGATCTTACGATAAATTATTAAAGCTTTCTAACTAGCACTCTTGAAACATGTCGAATAAGATTTCAATGAACATTCAATAATCTTTGTAAATAAATCTACCAAATTAATGTTCTTAGATAGATAAGTTGAAATTTTCTTTTGCTTAGATCAACTCCAAAGTATATATATTATTTTTGGATATTTCTCTACCGGTGTTGATTATCCATTTAAGAATCCTATCAGTAATCTTTGAGGAAAAAATATATATAAGAGTTGAAAGCTAATTTGTGGCTGTTGCATGCTCAATGAGACAGAGAAACAATGAATGGAATAACCTATTATAATATTGCCACATGAAATTGTCCACTGTGGATGTAAAATGCAGGCTGAGTTGATCTGTTTGCAGTTGCAAGTCAGTCACACATCAAATGAATCTAATATTGCAAATGGGAGATCTAAATCATTATTCTGGGATCCACTCTCAGAATGCTCCACATATCTTTTCAGCCATTCTTTTCTTCAACTTATGATTCCCTCCACAGATTTCTTTCTCCTCTTCCCTTACAAAGTACCAACTTGGCTGACACAAATCCCAAACTTCTTAGCTGTAGTCTTCTGTTCAAGTTGGAAGAATCAACAACATCATAAAGAGAGCATACTTTTTGACTGGGCATTGATGGAGAAATGAATCCTCCAAAGGCTTTCACACTTAGAATTTTGTGAAGCACTAATTTTAGATTCAGAAATGATTAATTTACAGAACTTTATTCCCGCAAACAAAGATGATATCTTTATATCTCAAACACATCACTCAACACTAGAATAAATTTGCGCTGGATCAAACAAGAGAGAGCTTCTCTCCCAATGGAATTTGGCATCAGTGAACTCTCATTAGAAAGAAGCCAAAGCAGGAGATGGACATGTGGGGGGTGCTCATCTGGAAAGTTAGAAGAACCAGTAGCGGCTGCTTCAGTACTTGGAAATCTCAGCTTCCTTGTATCAACTTGCACTTTGTTTTAGAGTGGATGATGACTTCAAAGGTTTCAAGTTCTTCTCAAGTAGCCGCCACCTTAATCTTCTATTCTGTACTCTGCTCTTTTTTCTGTCCTCCAACATGAGCTGAAGACTGCCTTTTTAGCATTGTTCAAAAGAATAAAAAACATCACATGATAACTTTGTTTTTTGTAGATCTCTCAATATATATAGAGCGCGTATATATATATTTGAATTTATTAGTTCCTTGTTCTTGCATTTGGTAACCTTAATACTTTTGTAATGAACCAGCAATTAATGCTTAATACAAATTGCCAACACAAAAGAACTGAGAGATGTCATGCTTGTCATGTATCATCACATGGAACAATTGATGGAATTCTTCAAGCTCAGCTCATGTAATTATAGCAAGCAGGATATTTAGGTCAGAAAATATTTCTTGGTTCAGCAAAGGTTCTCTCCTCAGAGGATGTTGTCAACCATGGATTAAAACTGGTCTGTCTATTCTACCACCTCAAAAGAGATGTTTCCTTGTCTTTTTGCCTTGAATTCCATTCAACCAACTTCTTGCTTCAACTAAAGGGGCAGACTTTGTTGAACATACAACAGTAGCAGCTCAAAATTTTAGGTCAATTCCAGCTTCATTCAAAACTCTTTAGTAGAAAGTCTAGTTTGGTGTTTTATCTCTTTTGACTTTGAACCTCAAGAAGGCAAAATGTTTTCATGTACATCCATTCAACACCACAATTGCTTGTATAACACTTTAAGCCTACAAAAGTTGGAGACTACACATAATGGTCTTGCAACACTAAGCAAAGAACTCTTCCTTCCACTCCTTGTTGTGGAGGTCAAACTTTGTTCAGGACATGGCCAAAGTTGGACACAATTTTAAGAATTACAAATTTTATTAGATTTGTATTGTTTTTAATTGGTCCATGTAAAGTTTTTCCACCTTCCCATATTTCTAACTTGGATTCATAATTGACTTCTTATTTGCCGACAATAAGGACCTCTGCTGATAATATAGAATCCAACTTGGTCTTGGGAAGCTTTAGATAAGGATTAGTTCTAGCATTTGGTACTAATAAGATAAGAGATGCATGAAATTTCCTTGTTCAAGAAAGCTGTTGTCCACTTTGTCAGAAAATAAAGTCTATCATTTTGAACATGATGCTATGAATATGTAATTGACATGAACATTATAGGTCATCACAGAAAATAGAGAAACAGTATTAGATGGAACTCACAATATGAAAGTTAATACTAAACACCACTTTGGAGGAACCTTAACATAACCATCATTATAATGCATCAGTACCAACTTGAGACAAAAGTACATCAAAGTCAAACTTCATTATAGTCTTCTTTTTCTTTTGAACAGAAAGATGGTGATAGATCCTGTGCAAATTTAATCAAACATCTTATGTTGATCCATCAGCATCTTAACAGAAAGGTGTCTCAAAATAAGGATAGCATCCTCTGCAATGTAATCAATAAGTTCATTAATGAAAGCAATTTTGGTCTGATTAGGTTCATGAACTCATGTATCAGAAAGGAAGTCAATTGTTTTCAGATGCCAATCACCCTTCATGAATCAGAGGCCAACAAGCCGGATTTGTGCGAGACAATTACAGAACACAGTACAATCAATGTGGATGATACAACAATATGGTCCCCAAGTCTGTCCATGAGATGAATCTGGACCAAAAGTCCAAGCAGCAACTATTCACTGGCAAACTCCACTTAGGTTTGCTGTGTGCTAAGCATTTGTCAGCTCTACAGATTGGTATGTTGGAAATCTGAGGAGGCCAATTTGTCCAACATTAAAGATTTGGTTACACATACGTTGTCATGGCTTGTCATAGTAATGGAATAGCAGCAATATCAACCAACCTCACATGACATCTTGCTATGCTAATATGATATCAAATGCAACAAACCATCCAGGAGGTTCAAAACCCAAACTAGCAGATCCATTGAACTCATCATTTCCACCAGTTTTATGGGCATTTTTTGGATGACATGAGCCAGCATTTCTGGCTAAACCACCCACTTAAGAGATCGAGCTACAACATTCCAGCACAAACTTGTTAGAACAAAAAAAAAAAAAAAATGCTGATTGATTTGGTAATTTGGCCAACCACACTGAATTCATGCAACCTTCTGAACATGCATACTCTTCTATCTAAAATTATTATTTTCTTACAGAAAAATGCTTCAACAAGCAGGCTACTGACTACTTCTGAATTGTCTCACTAGTTTGAAATGGAGGAGAAGGATTACACTTCAGATGATAACTTTGAAACTGTTTTATATTCTCTCTCACCAATTTTTTACAAAAATAAAGATTTAGACTTCAGATGGAGAGAAGAGTTCATCAAGTAGGATTCTGACTAGCTTTTCTAACTTCCTTTGATATTTACAAGGATGAAGAACAAAGCCCCTCTCTCCTTTTATCTAGATGGAGAAAACACATCAAAGAGTGAAGGTATGTGGGCAGTGACAGAAAATCCACAATGGAAAGCTTATAAAGATCTACATGTGACCTTCAACGGAGACTGGTGGGTTGTTCCTTTTTCTTAATGTTGTCCAGTCATAGTTTAGTGCTATTCAAATAGACCACCTCATTTCATGGTCTACACTCATGCTTGAAGAAGTTGCACCACAAAAAGGTCTTGAAACAGGAAAACCAACCATTAAAAGGGTACATGCATATTCCCTTGTTATTTCTCATACTGGCCTTCAAAGTTCTCCTGTAGCTTCAAGGACAAAATTGCAGCCCACTATTCTGAATTCAATATGTTAAATCACTTTCTTATCATACAGGAAAGGAATATGGCAGGTTGGATAAGACTTGGAACAGTTAAACCAAAATAAACTAGAGGAATCTTGATTCACATTCTTATCCACAACTTGCAGCACAGAAGTACATAAAATACTTCCCACTTGGAAAATTTACGAGGAAACAGAAGCTTGACAGATGAGATTATATGAAAATTTATCTAACAACTACCTTGTTCGAAAACCTAGAAGTATGAAGTGTTGTTGAAAATGGGTCATGTCCTAGGAGGATTAGATTATAAAATATTGATGTTTTATTCCCTATTATTCCTAAGGAGCCTTATATACTGTTACTTTATCAATCAAACCTGAATCATAATACAAAGTATTGTCAGCATGTTGGTGTGGAATGACTTATGATCCTAAACTCAAGTACTGTGGGTTCAGTAGGATAAGAGGGTGCCAAATCTATGATCCTAGCAGTTGAGGTATTAAATCTATGCGAGCATATAAACTGAAGTAATCACAACATAAAGGGTGCCAAATGGAAATTCTGCTGTAAGATTGAAGAAGAATGAGAATGGTATAATGCATGGTGAAAATGTCAAGAGACATGGTGCCAAAAAAAAAACAACTTACAAAGGATTATCATTCAATTTAGATACAATTTTGAAGCCTTCAGCAACCATACTGCCAGCATCAATGTATCATCAGCAATAGGTTGTGCTTTCATTTGAGCACCTCAGTTGTTTCTTCTAACTCATTAACTGTGTCGATACCAAGAATTCTCCTTAGGTACTCTAGTTGCTCAAAGCCCCCTTGAAGTTCCTCCCACTGCAAGGAATCATTGCATCTAGTCTCTTAATAATTGATTTTACAGCTATCATATCACAGGAAACAGGCATGGAGAAAGTAACAGGTTCAGAATTTGAGATACGAAGAATAGAATCAACAATCAAATCATCACAAGAATCAACAAATATAAACCATCACAAGAACAAACAAAAGAAACATTTTTTTCAATAGATGCATCTATAAATCCTTAGCACCTACGTGATAAAGGTTCAAGTCACAAAAATAAACTCTCTATTTGCAATGCTAAGATTGCTTATACAGTCTAGACCCCATATTGGTAGGAACCTCATGCATTCGTGACCTTTTTTCATTGATGTGTCAATTAGAAAGCATATAGGAAAACTTAGTTCTGAATACTAAATGAAACATGATTGTTTTTCCACCTAGCAGGGAAGCATTTCATTATATAAACATTTCATAGTGAAAGAAAGCCAATCATAAACATTACTCATGGAACACATATTCCAAATTCAGCGATCTTCAACTTTACCATTTTAGATGTTAATATTGTAGCATAAACTCCCTGAGTATTGCTGCCAAGGAGTACTTAATCTAGCATATCACTTCCATTAGATGCTCCCATCAACACATCAGTGACAGAAAATAAGGCTTAAAAAACTATATGAACACGATATGAGATGAAGCCAGAATCTTTTTATCATCAATTTATAGGCCAAACGGTTGATGAGAAAATTCTAGCAAGGCTTAGAATATGCTAGTCTTTCCCATATAAGATATATCCGACTTCAAAGTTTTATATTATCAGAAAACTTAATCTTCTAGCATAACACATGGTTCTAAATATCGCATCAACTTTGAAGCCCCAAAAAACAAAAATGAATTAGAGGATCTTGTCAATGCTAACTTTCCAAGTTTCCCTCCCTCACTCTACAAATTTATTCTTTTTGTATTTGCTTCTAAAATTTTAAGATATGCCCACATTATAGAGTTTATGACAAGGCATTCATCTAAATTGTGTAGAAAGGAAATTATTAGATGACCTAAGATGAATTCTTCTCAATACCATAGTTCAAGCATCAGTCAACTTCAATATGATACACGTACTCTTTATTGGTATTGCCAAAGATTGATACAATTTTGATCTATCACTCAGCACTATAGTTAGAAATTGATAGCATTCAGCTATAAAATTGATCAAACTCAGTTGAAGGTGACCAAGATTTGACAAAAAAAAAAAAAACAAAGTTTAAGAGATAGAAGAAGGGGGTGAAAGAGAAAGAGAGGAAAGCCAAAATGGAGGGGAAAAACACTCATGGGTGTGAGTCTATGTAATACAGAAGGAGATACTATTATAATAACTTTGCATGGGATTCAGAATAGATCATAAATCCTATGTGTTCTCTCTTCAAAGAATTTTCTATCACTCTTTGCATTATCATACACTTCACTTTCAGGGTAACTAGAGTGGCATTTAGGTCATGATAAAGCTAATCATCTAAAGAACTGTTTTTGGTACTTTTATATGACACATATGATAGTTATGTACTAAATTAATGTAGTTGATAGAATTAATACTTGTTCACTAAAAAATATATTATATTATTTTCAAGAATTATTCTTCATCATTTTCAGATACATTTATCTTTCATATTTCATTTTTCTACAAAAGTTTATCTTCCAACGTATAATATTTGTATGTTCTCAAAGTTTATATAACCATTTGATAGTAAGCTTTTTTGGGCTGATTCTGATCATGCTGAGGTAACCTGATCAATCTTGCCAATCCCAATTGATTAAGAAAAAGATGATAAAAATAAGATATTAATTTAAAAGATTGTACTCCATTTGATAAATATGGCCATTACTGTTCAGTAAAAGAAGCCAGCTTTGGTCACACCTGAACATAATAATCAACATAATCTTTCTTTCTTTCCTTGTAACCTAATGGATATAAGCATGCATCCTTACCATTTTACTATTTTACTAAATAACCTAAGAAAAGCCTTCCTATAAGTAGCTCTCTATATTTTAATATTTGAACATGGTAGTTGAGCAACTATAAGATATATATAGCATCTCAGCTTAGATTATGCAAAAGCTCACCTCTTGAAGGGAAAGAGAAACTAGATTCCAACCAGCATCAGCAATATATCGTCGTTTCAGTATTGTGTGTCCTAAAGGAGTACCTGTGAAACAAGCAACATCAGTTACTCAAGAGATTATGAACAGCAGCAACATCTAGAGACTGGCAAGGAACAAAAATGTGGTTCACTGGTTAGTGCATGCCTAAATTTCTCGAGAAATGTGTTGGTCCATCGATCTCAAAAGCAAGCTTTTCTTCAACAAGAACCGCATCTAGTGTATATCCATCAACCATGTATTCTTTGACCCAATCAAGGCCTGTACTAACCAAAAGCCGTGCCACCTCCTTTTGGAATGAAGAAGTTGTTTTCTGATTGAACCGCTTAGTCTTCACTGCTCGTGATATCTTCTCCTCTAGATCACTCCTAAGAGATAGACCAAGATGAGGACATTGAAGCTTCAAGCACTGGTTCACCAGATGAACCTGTGAAGCAAACATGATATCTTCCCTATGCTGCTCCGAAATCCTTTCCTCTTCAAACTTGCTGAGAGTAGTCCAAATATGGGAGAAGAATGGACGATTCATTTGTCCAAGCACAGCATAGGACCAAGCTATATTACCAAGTTGATCTCTGTTAAATCTGAACCTAAGGCCATTGAAAGATACATCCAGAATGCTGCTTTCTGTGCTTTCAAAATTTTCATCATTCTCAACCTCGGCATGTGAACTTTCAAGCTGACTTAAGTTTTCTGCATTCATGTAGCATCCAAGACTTACTGAATCCTCAAAAGAATGATCAAGTGAATTAAGCAAAGGATCAGCATGCCCGTTTAGAGATGCAAATGACCACAAGAGTTGAGCAAGCTCTTGCTCCCTGAATGTGTGAATTATTTCTGATGCTCTTTTAGCTAATTCACAGAACAGGTCTGGTGCAGAGTGTTGCATCGAAGCAAATGCACCAGCAATATTCGCAACATTCTGTGAATTGAACTCCTCAACCTTGGTCAGTGCCACCTCAGCAATTCTATCCATCTCTGACAAATAAAGCAGCTCACCACCAACCTTTGACAATGCCCAGGCAATGTTTGAGATGCCCTGAGCAGAGCACTCTGGTAATGCAACCATTGCGATACCTACAAGCATAGACATCTCTCTTTGACGAGAAAATGCCAACCTTTGAGTCCTCGTCATGGAAACCTTTTCCATGTTCTTGGCTATCCGGTGGAGAGCCGTAGCTATATTTAGCGGAGTAAGTGGTGAAGGTTTCAATCCTTTAGCTACAGCTAAAATAGTCTCAGCAGCTACTTCCAAGACCTCAACTGCAGTCTGAGCATCCACGATCGCTTTGTTCAAAGAAATCTCTTTCTTCCTATCTGAGGGTCCCGAGAACTGTGACAATTTCTCGATGAATTCCTCCCTGGCCTTCAGCCTCCTTTCCTCGAACATCCCATCTGCAAACAAATTGATTCTCTTTTTAAGATCACTTGTCCCACCACTTTCCCAGTTCATTTCATCCAAATCAATTTCTTCAGAAACACCATCAACATCATCACCCTCTAAATCTTCCATGTTTTTTCTCTTCGTAATATTTTCTTTCTTGCTCGCCTTAAGCTTTTTCTTCTTATTTTTCTTCTTTGATGTCACCATTTTCTCCACGGAACCTCTCAGTCCCCTGGCTTCGATTGCTCTTAGCGCAACCTTCCTTGCATTCACACACCAATCCATGCTCTCAGTCTCTTCGAGCAGCCTCGATTTTTCCCTAGGCTTCTTATTCTTGGGGATGTCCGACTGAGATGGAGGAACCTCTCCCAAGAACTCCAATTCCCACGAGGAAGCGAGCTCCTTTTGGTCCTCTACTCCCTTCTTATCCACCAAATCACTTCCTAATCTGCAAGAACCGAGCTTTCTACTCAAAGATCCAACCTTGCGGTTGAAGTGATAGAACTGTCGCATAGTCTTCATCGCTGGACATGTCTGCATGTCTTTTGCAGGAAAATGAAGCGGAGGGAGGCATCTTCTTGGCAGGAGAGCGCCGACACATGCTTCCATTGTGACCTTAAAAGGCAGAAGCTTGAAAGCTTCAACGCCCTCGACGAGATGGAATCTTCGGAAGCACAGTGGATTATAGAAGAGAGGTGGCCGATGAAGCTCCGAGCGTCTTCTGATCCGAATGCGCGACGTGGCGAACATCGAGCGGACAGATCGTGACGGTGCGAAGTTTAATGTCCGCCGACACCGTCTGTCGTACACGTTTTCGCGTCGTAAGTCGTTCTATGATCGTAGTGCTCGTTTTGATCGGGTCCGGTCATGGATAAATATCCGCTACCCGTTTATCGACTACCTTCCGGCAGCTGACTCCGTACCTACGACTATAAAAGAGCTCACGCTTGGCGAGAGTAACGCGGGTCCCGCTTCTTCTACAGTAATACGTCAGGTAATTGCTCGGGTACTGTCGGAAGGGCAGGAAGATCGTTGCCCCTCTTATAAGCAAACAATGTATAAATCGGGTCTGGTCCGAGTTAATGACGAGATCCGACCCGGACGAGTTACCGTCCTCCGTTTCCTGTATCTGGCAGTACCCATGGAAGGCATCCCGAGGACGACGGTTCGTCCAAAACCCTTTCGACGTCCTCTTCGCAACCGAGATCCAGAGCTCCAGGCTGCAGGGATCGCGCGGTTCTTCCTCCGATCGAAATCTCTTCAAGCTCGTCGACGAGTTCTGGGTACGATCTACTCTCCGTTTTTCGACGATTTCAAAAAAATGGAGGAATTTTCCCTACATTTTTGTCTGCATTGTCTTCTCATCGACCCCTCAAACCAAACGGAAGCGATTTGCTTGTTTCTGCTCTTCAACATTGGTGTTTTTGCTGAAAGATTTGTGAGGTCTGCATTGCTTGTGGGTTATGATTTGATGTCCATGACGTCAAGATTGATTCCTTTACTGCTTTATTGGGTGAAACGTTTCCATTGTTCTTAATTATTGTAAATCAGTTCTGTTTAAGGTCAAAAAAAGCTGTAAGTTCGAAGTGTTTCTTGATATGTTGAACTCGCCTTTTGTCCTTTTCCTGATTCACTTGAGCCGTACATGACGTTTCATTTGTGATGCAGAACTCTACTGACGAATCGAAGGCAATGGATTCTTCTGTTGCACTTTTCAACCAGCTCAAGGTTCTATGCTGTCATTCTGAATGTTCACATATGTCTGTAATTTTGTTTATTAGCCTCTATCCGGTATATAGGGCTTGCCGCATGCCTTATTCTCGGCTGACGTTATGTGCGGATGGACTAATTCTGTTTGATGAAAGCTACATCAGTGCCGTCTTCTGCTAATCTAGATAAATCTCCAATGAACATTGCAGTGACTTGATGTGACTAGTCAGTGTGGTCTCATTTCCATTTAAAGGTCTTGTGTTAAATGCAATCTAACTTGACCAAGGGCTGTTTGTATTTGATTTGCTTATGTCGAGATAAATCGGTTGGGTTCTTTATCATTAGCGTAAGAGTTATTCAAGTAGAAAATGCAATGCCCAGCCATCTGAATCCAAAAACGCTGGGCTGCTCATATGCATCTGTCTGAAGTATTAGGAACACAGCAGAAGTGACCTAGGCATATCGTTTGACATTAGTAGAAGCCAGCAGATGAGAGCAATCCAGACCATACCGTTATGCATTTGCTAGAGGCAATTTTGGTTTACATTAACTTCCTTCTTTAGTGAGAAAAATGTAAAAATATGTAACTTCAGGAAGGATTCACGGAGGATCAGAGGTCTAATGATGCCTTCTTTTTTAGTTCTTTGAATAAGATTCCATAAGTGTCATATATGTTTGCCTTTCATTTAATAGATGAGGCATCTAATTTTTTTCTTTATTGATTTCTGGTTTACGAACAGGCTGCAGAACCATTTTTCGTACTAGCAGGCCCTAATGTTATTGAATCTGAGGAGCATATACTGAAGATGGCCAAACATATAAAAGCCATCACATCAAGGCAAGCATATAATAATGCATGCAATGCTTATCTAATGGTTTTGCAGTGTGGGTGTCATAATGTAATAGACTTCTGATTAGCATTTTGAATTGTTACTTTCAGGCTCGGTTTGCCCCTAGTGTTCAAGTCAAGTTTTGACAAAGCTAATCGTACTTCATTGAAATCATTCCGAGGTCCTGGTTTGGAGCAAGGCTTGAAGGTAGCATCTAGTCTTCTCTTGATTATTCCAATCATGAACTATATTCGTGAATATTAGCAAATGGCAATGCTTTAGGAACTGAAACGTTGATAATCAAATTGACACAAATTTCACAAGACAATATGATTCTGATACTAGCTCTGAATGTGAATTTCATTTTTCTGGAATCTGTTTGTCATTGAGATAATTCAGCTTTGGAGAACACCCCCTTAATTATTGTCAATGAACATATGTTTAAGGAAAATTTCTAATCTTTTGTCATACTTAGAATTGAAATGTTCAATATTTTCTTAAATTTCTTCTTTTATGAGAGTTCTATCTTATTCCTTGTGGATCAGCGTTGATTTATAGTTAGGGTAGTTACTCAAAGAAATCATGCTTAATTTAGTCAACTAAGAAGATCTGAAATTTGTGGTCATGTTTTATCATAATTAGATCAACAATTTGTATCTTGAATTATAGAGGAATGCCTAAAATGATTTTTACTTATTTAACATATATATCTTGGTTCTTCAGTTATTCCATCTGCTTAATATTGTTACCATTGCTATCTAGAACCTAATGTTAACTGATTTCGTACATTGCTAAGGATTTCAGCATCAGGATGCATACTTTGTTATAAATTGTATCTGATAGAGAAATGGTACACTTCTCTACTTAGTTACTAATAATACAAATTTTATACATGTAAGATAGCATTAGAGCATAGGAATGCATAGACAAGTCTTTTTTTCCCCTGAATAACAGTGACTACCTTATAATGGATTTTCAATGAGTTACACTTTCATTTATTAGTTATTTCTTTTAGTTACAACAATATTGGTTTATGGATAAACACTTACAAGCTCTGTAGATTAACTTGATTGAATGATTGGACAATCAATTCCTAAAACATTGTCCTTCAAGCTTACATTTTCTCGGTACTCCATGTCCTAATCCAGTTATTCTTGCAGTTATATAAAATACTCTTTCTAGGAATTTCCAAATTGATTAGTATTGATCTGAATGGCAGATTCTTGAGAAGGTAAAAGTGGCATATGATCTTCCTATAGTAACTGACGTGCATGAGAGCAGCCAGGTAATCATCAGTTGCTTCTCTAGATGTGTCTGGCTGTATTATGTATGGGTATAATTATATGGTTGATAACTTGGTGTTGTTATTGCAAATATTGAATCTAGTCCCTGTAGCTTCAGTTATGTGATTGTATTACTCGGTCATTCTTGGCTCAAACTTTTCTAAAACCTATGTTTCTTTCTGGACAATGAAAGATAATTCTGCTTAGCATGGATTTAAATGAAAATGCATCAAAATGACCTGATTTTGGCTACTTGATGTCGATGACATAAAATCCATTTGAGTTAAAATATATGCTGACCTGTATCATTCACATGAGAGGTATTATCGAACATTGTGAGGAGATCAAATTTCACAAAACAGATGTGCACATGGTGTAAAATCAACTGCCTACCATCATCATTGAAATTCGTGCAAATTTTTTTAGCTTCATTGAATAAGATTTAATTGGACAAACTTATTGAGACACTGTTCGCTCATATTCATAAAACTTTAGAAATACGTGGTCATCTCCAACTCTATCTCATGTCTTTTCAGTTGCTTTTTCTGATTGTATACTCTAAAGAAAATGTTCAAATTCTTGGTCATGATCCTCAAAGCTCATTTTTATGTTTTTTATATATTTTCTTTTATTTTTTGAGTTACGCACAAAATTTATGATTTATTCCCCATAATTTCCCTATTGAATGTCACCTCTATATCTGGATCCACAGAAAACTTGATTGATTTTCTAATCACAGGATTCATAGTTACGTTAAGGTATAGTTTGGAAGTGAAGCTGTAAGTTCAAATATTGCACAAATTGTATGTCTCTTCTAGGCTTTTTTTTGGTTTTAGGGAACTTTCAGATAGTTATTTCCTGGTTGCACAAAGTCAATTTAACTGCCAGTAAGGTGCTTCTTTTAAACCATAACAAGAACTACTTAAGCACCAGAAAAATTGTAGTCGACTGTCTTGACCATCTATATCAGTGGATCATGAAAATACTGATTGATAACATTTTCTTTAAGTTAGCACCAATGTTTTTCTGCATCTCATCAGTTCTTCTAAAACAGAATTTTGACCTCAAATTGGAGTTTTTTTGTCTCAAATTTTATTCTCACGTACATATTAAATTATAAGCAATCCACTTTGAGTGTATTAACACAATGTCTCAACTTATAGATATGCATCTGACCTAACTACTAAGGATCTATATAACAATCAAGTTTTAACCTTTCTGCAAGAATTCATTGGAGATAGTTGAGACATTTCTCCAATTCTGAGATATCTTTTTTTTCTTTTATGTATAATTCATGTACAGTAATGGATATGTTGCACATAGAGGTTAAAAGTCATATGAGATGCAGTTATGAATTTTTGCGGTGCAAGTAGTTAAAAGAAGCACAAGAATTTTTTTAGATTTAATTCTCTAACCTGATTCAATGAACATAGTGTGAACTTGTTGGAAGAGTTGCAGACATCATTCAAATTCCAGCTTTTCTGTGCCGTCAGGTATAAATCAGCCCATATTTATAATACGAACATCTGTTAATCTGCTATTATATTGTAAATTTTATAAGTCAGCACTTCTGTTAACATGCTGCATTCTATCCTGACAGACTGACCTTCTAGTAGCAGCAGCAAAGACTGGAAAAATAATAAATATTAAGAAAGGCCAGTTTTGTGCCCCTTCAGTAAGTGCATTCTTTTACCTTCTGTATTTTTTGATCTTTTACATTATGTATTTTTTATGTATCTGATAATTGAAACGATAGACAAAATCCTATTTTTTATCTGTTAAAGCAATATTAAACTATAAGGAGGCAGATTTCTAGCAGCTTGAAGTATAGGAACCATGTCAAAATTCTTTGAGAAATATCTGGGATCGGCCTCATGGATTATTTCTCTGGCTTAACCAAATATTGACTTGTAATTCACTTACATAAGTGCTAGAATTATATTTGCTTCTTAGCAAAACATAATTACTTAACATCCATATTAGGAATTAAGCTTTGATATATGTGTGTCAGTTCAAAATCTTTGAGGACGTCAAGGATTTAAACTCATAAAGAAAGAAAAAGAAGGGTTCATTGAACAGCATTTATATGGTCTATATGATCTTTGATCATTTAGCAATGCTCAAAATTACTTTTACGTTCAGGTGAATTTATGATTTTCTTCCATAATCTGATTTAGGCACCTCCAAGAAATGTATTACTTTTTTATTATAAACAAAGGTTTCAATCTTCAACTCTGTAGTACTTGTTACATTTTACTGTAAATTTCTTCTAGCATCAATCAGATACCACTTAAGGATTGCAAAGAAACAAGAAAAGTTCCATATGCTTAACTGCAGTTGTGGTAACACACATTACTTCATTTTTATGTTATGCTAGATCAGTGTCACCAACCTTGTGATAGGAAAAGAGTGTTTTAATACTGAAAATTAGTTCATCTAAGGTAGTTAGCAAAAATGTCAACTGGGAATCCATGTGTTGTGTCTCAGAGTTGGATACAAATTGGACAAGAAGAATGGACACCGGAATATTGGATTTTGGGTCAAATATATATTTGAAATCATACTTCTATATCAACTCTTTAAGATGAAGTCTACTGTGATCTTGAGCTTGTAGTTTTTAGGTGTTAAGAGTTGGCTGTTAATGAATGTATAATTCTTAAGGAAAATCATGTGAATGCCCTAATTTTGTTGGTTTGGCCCTTTATTTTGATGAGAGTTGTCTCTGCTTATGATTCGTTAGCTTAGAATCATTTATTTGAAATTTGAAGTACTTCAATTGCATCTCATGGCTCCATTATTTTTTGCAAAAAAAGAATCTCACCAAATATCATTGGTTATGTCTTTTGCTAGTGCATGATAACTTTTTCTTTTTAATCCCTAGTTGAATCAACAAATGATTATTGCTTGCAGTTATTAAAGTATCTTAGTTTCAGTAGGTTTCAAGGAACCTTTGTTACAGCATTTTGTAGCCACATAGGTCACTAGATATGACTGTTCTGAAAATGGGACATAAAAGTAAACAATTGAAAATCTCAATCTGTGGCTTTTAGCAAGGTTCGCCTTATTAGTCCGTACCAGTGTACTGACCAGCTATCGGTATGATACATACCGAGGCGTACTGATATATTATATATTGGTACGCCGGGGCATACTGATATACGGTGTGCCCAAAATCACCGAAAATAGCTCAAAAAATATTTAAAAAAATAAAAAAATAGAATAAGGTTTTAAAGTTGAAAATAAATATAAATTTAATATATTTTTGCAAAAATAATCTAAACTATGAAAGAATAGTGAAACATCTTTTTCGGACTTTGAGGAGTAGCTTTGTGGTATGTTACGAACCGTCCTTCTTGTCACGGCCTTAGCTGGAATTGCCTAAGGCGTGAGGCACCCTTACGGCAATGACGCGAACTTAGCTTGCGTTGCCTTAAGTCGCGAGGCACCCTTGCGGTAGATACGCAAACTTAGCTGGCGTTGCCTAAGTCGCGCTTCGCCCTTGCGATTTGCGTCCGCAAAGATCAGCCCACTTGCAACCTCTCGCAGGTCTGAAGGACCTGTAAAAAGAGAAAGTTGATTAGTTCGAAGAACGAGCGACGGACAAGTCCCGACATCTCGCGAAAAGGGGAAGCTTTACAAGCAATTCAGCGAGCACCTTGCGTGCACAAGAGAAAAGAGGGAGAGGGGGAAAACAAGGACTTTAGAAGGTTGAATGAACAGCTGCAAGCCCACAAACAGCTGTTCATCGGGTGCCGAGCGCGACAACAAGTTCCCGTCAAGGTAACGTGCGAACTTGTGAAAGATTGTTTAACGCCCAACACTATACCGAAGCCCCATCCAGCCTTGTGCCACCCGGGGGGTTCCAAGGGGCTGAGATGGCTGATGTTTTGTGAGCGGAAGCGGACTGCAGAAAACAGCTCGTGGCATACGAAAACGGAGCTGTTTTGGGGCTGTTTTGCTTGGTTTGGTGAGCGGTCGCTTTGTAGCGCCGTAACTTGTTCGAACTTACATTTTTACAAGCAAAATGATTCAAAACCAAGACAAAACATGTTGCCAAGCAACTGTACATGTAGATGAGAGCAACGAACGGTTCGTTGAATGGAGTTGTTGCGGGTGCGCGACGACCGTTCGTGACATTATATATCGTGCGCAACGACCGTTCGTGACATTATATACCGAGGCGTACCGATATATTATATATCGGTACGTCGGGGCATACCGATATACGGTGTGCCCAAAATCATCGAAAATAGCTCAAAAAATTTAAAAAATAAAAAATAGAATAAGGTTTTAAAGTTGAAAATAAATATAAATTTAATATATTTTTTGTAAAAATAATCTAAATTAGGAAAGAATAGTGAAATATCTTTTTCGGACTTTGAGGAGTAGCTTTGTGGTATGTTTCAAACCGTCCTTCTATTAATATTGAATTATCTACAAAGAAATTATTTAAATTGATAGATTTTTTTTAAACAATTTAAGCTTTAAGGTTCAAATGAATCAAATAATCAATCGATGAATATATCTAATTCTACCACCAAAACGAACCATAGGGCTCCACAAGCAGCAGTGAATCGAGGTCTTCAATTATATGTATCTGTATATCAATTTGATATGTTTGTCGAACCCAATCCTAAAATTGATCACACAACATAGTATACTGATACACTATATACTATTGGTGCATCAATATGGTGATGGTCATAGTCTAATCGTCATAAATCACAGGTTTCTGAGGTGGCTCCTGAGGCAAGAGCGATTGTGATATGTATTGGTGCGGAACATAGAGAATAATATCGAAACTTCTACTTTCGTCATTGATCAGCTGCCCCGTATCGTACTGCTGCTTGGAGAAGTATGACCAATTATCACCGTACTGTTGTTGGCTGTAAGATTCTTCATAATATGACGATTGTAAATACGATGAGTTTCACTCTGTGTTTACGTTGTGTAGGCTCTGTCTTATCTGCTCAAAATCATCCACTGCTTGCCCCTTTCCCTTTTGTGTATAAACTTGACCAGTACCTCATCGAGTTCCATGATCTAAATCTTGGGTGACATGTGGGTTGAAAGAGGTGGGGAGGAAAGGGTTTAAAAATCATTTTCAATGATTCAAATGGTCAATTTGACCATTTGAAATAGGGCAATCTCAGCCCTTGGTTGGTAACGATTGAAATCTAATCGTTACTGACATGTACCGATCAGTAACGGTCAGATTCTGATCGTTACCAACTTGTACAAACCTTGTATCACGCGATACAGGGTCATGTAATGGTACCGCCCAGTATAGGTTAGTCCACGTATCGATCCCCTATTGAATTGGTACGTACCGCCATGCATCGGTACAGCAAACCCTGGTTTTTCAGAGTATCTCACTGTAGGTAACTTGTTTATTAAATAACATGTATTAGTTTAAAATAGATCAGTTTCATTTGTTATTGGTCACAAACTATACTTTTAAGTTGTAACTGAGTCAGATTTTAAAGCTTATCCATGAAGATGATGGTGCCTTGTTTGGTAAAGGAAGTCAGACAATCTGTATTGACTAACATATAGTGTTAATCTTTAGATACCTTGTACAACTGAATTCAAATCTGATAAATGACCAAGGGCAAGTTTTGCTAAAGAACGTGTTTCAGATTTTTTACAGTTCTCTCTTCAACAATGAAGTATTGGATCCATATGTATTAGCAAATGCATGTATTGCCTTAACCTTTTACCACATGAAATAGTTTTCTGCTTTTATAGTGACATGGGTTTTGCAGGTTATGGTGAATTCTGCAGAAAAGGTTAGACTTGCAGGCAACCCAAATGTAATGGTTTGTGAGCGAGGCACCATGTTTGGGTACAGTAAGTTCGCTTTAACATTTTTAGTTTCTTGCTTGCATTTTTTCCTGAGAAACTCATATCTTTCATCATGTGTAAGAAGTGTAGTCTTTTTATAAGCTTCTTTAGAAGAATTGTTGATTGGATGAAGAACCATGTTCCATTGATCAGTTAATGTGGTAGCAGTTTTAAGTTTTTCATATCAAACATAACCAAAGTTTGTTTCCAGGAACCTTCCCGCAAGGTTCTGTTTTTCTTTTTGAAATGTTTTCCTTTTTTTTTTCAAATTCTTAGCATTAGCAACAATATGTAGCCTTTTGGATATCACTGTATCCTGCTATAATTGGGCTATATAGAGAAGAAATTTCAATAATAGGATAAATCCCTCTATGGATATTTGTAATAATATCTTTCTATAATCTAGCCTTTCCTTTCATTCCACAATTCATTTCTTCATTTTTTTATTTCATTTTTCTATGAATTGATCATGTAGAGTGATAATCTTTAGGTGATAGGTCCTTTGTTTCTAGTTACCAAAAATGCTCATGACTCTTAAGTGCACTAGGTTAATATTAAACTTGATTGCAACTCTAAAGAATGCCACCAACTGCCATCAATTATTGCACATATACACCTAATTTTTCCACTATTGCCCTCTACCATCATGATTTCTGGTCGCATTGGAGTAACATGAAACCTTGTGTCCTATGTACCAAGAGATCAATAATTGGGCTTTAGGTGGAAAAGCCACTAGGATTATTGTGGCTACATTTAGAATACTCCTAACCAAGGTTTTGAATACCGATCTGCATCGGTATACCGAGCTCTACTCGGTACGATATATACTGGTATGTATCGTCGGTATGCCATGGTGTACCAATGATACATCTTAAGACCTTAAAAATACCTCCATCTATCATGCCAGGGCATATCGACCGGTACACCTTGATAATGATCGAAATCCAGGGCGATACCAGTCGGTATGCCTCGGTACCGATCAAAACACTAGTATTGGCCAGTAGAGGGTGGTTTGTGTACCTGTACATATCGCCTGTACCACACATCGAAATTGAGAACCTTGCTCCTATCACAATATTCTTATCGCACATGGTTAAGAAAAAGGAAAGATAAACAACTTGCAAAACATACATAAGTGATGATCTGCAGTAGGCTCTGATTTTGACTGGCATAGAATACTTAACCCTTTAGTGTATCCATCATTGGATTGAGCAAATATGACCTTTATATATTATTCAACTTTCAAAAATTCTAGAAATATAAATTTCATTCCTCTATATGTTGCTAATCTCTAAATTTATAATAACAGATGATTTGATCGTTGATCCACGGAATTTGGAATGGATGAGGGAAGCAAATTGCCCTGTTGTAAGTACCTTGATTATTATTATGTTTGCTTCATTGTACTTCTTTCATTCTGATATGTTGATTAAAAGTATGATGTTAAGGTTTAACATACATGCTCCGTACTTGTATTTTATATATGTTGCATGGAGCGTCAGTTTAACTTTTAAAGAATTTCCTTGTTGAGACATCATAGATGTAAATGTCACATCCTATTTCAGGAGGTTCATACTCGTTGTTTGTTTTGTTGGATTTCAATTCCATTCATGTCTTTCTTCATGTACATTCTACTCATTCTATTGTTTGCTAAATTTATCAATCATATTGATCTGTGGTCTTAAGAGATATTTTTCTCTTTCATCTGGTAGAAGACTTGAATACTAGATACAATCACCATAGCCAAACATGCCTTAAGATAGAATTGTTTTGTGCAATTTTCTTATTCAAATAGGAATTTTAAATGGTGCCATTGTAAAGTTGGTTTACCTTGTTTATTAGTTGAGTTCCTCTAGAATGAAGCTCAGCAATGAACAACTTGTCTGTTACAGGTAGCAGATGTTACACATTCACTACAGCAACCTGCAGGGAAGAAGGTACAAATTTGCATTTACTACCTTCACTTATTTGGTAACAAATTATGAGTACTATATGTTTGCTATTTGGAATGTGTATTCTGTTTCCTAATTTTGGATGCTTATTTTAAAATTATGGAAATTCCTAAGCATTTATCTCAAGTAGATAAGAAAATAATGTTAAATAAAGAAATCTTTCATGTGCTGAAAATACATTTTAATGTTAACCGAGCACTGTTTGACCTTTAGTCATATTACTTTAAAAAAATCACTAGAAAATCCAAAAAAGAAAAAAATGAAGCAAATTGATGGGAGACATCCTAAAGTTGTTTGATGGTAAAGGTAAGTACTTTACGAGCACCTCCAAAACATGCTGCAATATTAGTTGATTCATCACATATCTAATGGATCAGGTATCACACCTATAATTAAAATTAAAGTGGTTAGCAACCTTTTTCTGTAAGAAGCTACCAATGCTTGCAAACTACAATTTTGTCCAGGTTCTCAAAATTTTCTTTGCTTGTTGAGAGACTTTAGGTATATAAAGTACCTGAAACCAGTGATTTAAAAAGGCGTTCGGGCGCTCGCCTAGGCGCTCGGGTGAGGCCTGAGCACCTCGTTTAATGGCCAAACAGCATGCTTCAAAGAGACACCACCTAGGCGCTCGCCGGAGCCCAAGCGTCGGCCAAGCACGCGGTTTAAACCAAGCGACCGACTGTAGCAGCGGTAGCGGAGAGAGGCAGCACCCGATTAGTTGGTTCGATTGAACCAACTAATGCACACATCAGCCTCCCCCTCCTCTTGACTTCCCTTAACCCTACGCCCAATTCCGTTGCCTCTCTCTGCCAATACCATTGCCTCTCTGCTGTCGTTGCCTCTCTTTGCTACTGCTGCCGCTGTCGCTACCTCTCTCTGCTACCACTGCTGTTATTGTTGTCACTGTCGCTGCTCTCCGCTGCCTCTCTTCACTGCCACTGCTGTTGCCATTGCCGCTGCTCTCCGTTGTTGTTGCCCACTGTCGCTGCTATTTGCCGTCGTGGCTCTTAGACAACGGTCTCCTGTCTGCGACTCCGTTCTCATCGTGACTCAACTTCTCACCTCGGTCTCCTTCTCACACTCTACTCTTCTCTATTGCTATTAACAGTAGAGAATATTTTAAAATATTAAAAAAAAAATTATTTTAATATTTTAGAGATTTTTGCTTCGCTCGGGTGAGCGCCTCGTGCCTCTAGCGTTTTGGGACCTTAGCGTCTAGCGTTTTTAAATCACTGCTTCAAACTTGGGGCATGCAGGGAATTAGGTTAATGGGCTAATGGTTTGAATGGAGGAAATAGGTTAGGCATTCAGTCTCTGAACAGGTTGATGCTTGAGCCTTGGGGCATGCAGCATACGTTTCTTGGATTTTCATTGAAAGAAGAATGAAAGAAGAAAATGCAAACCCATTAAAAATTACATAAGATAAGACCAGAAAAGAACCTCCTTCCTTTTACTTTTTGTTCTACCACTTGGGCATCCAACTTTGCATGGGTATTAGACACCTTAAATCTATGCAACAACTTGAGCAAGCACACTAGAAGATGGGTTCATTTTAGTGTATATTTCCATGTTCTGGAGTTTGTTTAGGAGCTTTCATATGTTGTCATAGCTAATCCTGATATTACTTTTAGCATGACTAAGGGTTAGCTTGACAAGCCAAAAGGAAGAAAGGATCCAGTAATGATGGGAGCAAAGTGAGAACATTCAGAAGGTTGCCTCTTCTTTTCTACATTGTTCCTTTATTCTTATAGAGCAATGGTCCCTTTGACTAAAGGGGAATGCTTATCAATTAGTGACGCCCATCCCAATTGTCCTTAGAGCCTGAAGTGTTAGATATGCTATTTGATTGTAACAACATGATGCAAAACAATAAGAAATAATTTCATGGATTCCTTTGTATGAGAAAATAACTCAAGCTGAAAGCACAAGAAAGATGTGGAAGTCACATTTATGTTAGTTGGGATATGATGATCAAGCATTGGATTATATAATGACAATGAATCTTAGGTTATTTTTGGAGAGCGTAAGTTCATATTAATTATACCTCTGATGTCTAAGCCTCAAACGTACCTTAAATCCCTGATGATGATCTGTAAGTCATGAAAGGAGGAAAGCTTCAAATGCACCTTTCAAATGACTTTTCTTTTTTAATCTTTGCAGCATGTTGTTCTCTGTTCCCCTTTAATTACCGAAATTGCCTAAAATGAATGACATAGCTATATACCCCTAGCTTGATGAATCATTATCTGTTTTTAGATTAATCTCATCGTGCAACATTGGTACATGCCACACTTCCTAAGGTATAAACTAACATCACAGTATAACCAAATCAATTAAAAAAATCTGTCATGCTGAACATCAAAATGAGGAGAGATGCTTAAGCTGAAGCAAGATATGGCTCTTTTTCTTGTCTTTGTGGTAAATAGTATTGCAGTTCCAAGATATTGCATATCTAGTTGCAGTGTAGTTAACTGACAGATAACATAAGCATACTCTATACTGTAGGCTTGTTAAACGTACAGATTTTAGCAACTAGACTAATAGTTTCCGAATCTTTCTTTCTTTGATAATCTCTCTATTTTAGCTTGACGGCGGTGGTGTTGCAAGTGGGGGACTGCGTGAACTAATACCGTGTATTGCAAGGACTGCAGTTGTTGTTGGTGTGGATGGAATTTTTATGGAGGTAACTACTTTGACAGTTACATGAAAATCTTCATAAATTGTCCATCGCCAATTACATGGAAATGTTCATTTATTTGAAGAACATAAAGCAATATGTTATATGTTTGTCATTTGTTTGGTTAGCATGTCAATAGATGCTGTAGTTGATTTAGTGATCAATGGACATCTTGTCTTGAAAATGGCTCACTTGAAATCACAGAAGCTGAGTATCATTCATGGTTTATGTTGTAGCTTTCCTCACCCTTTATGCTAATGAAATGTACATTAACTCACCCTTTGTTGGGTAATAACTATAGGCATTGGAAGTTGTGAATTATCCAAAGCTCATATGAAATGATCCATTGATTGAGGTTTATTTGGTGTCGAAACACTTTGGCAACCTCAGCGATATCTTCTTCCATGTTGTCATTAGCCTTTTTGTCTCAACTCTCAACCACAAGAACTATTTTAACCTGTCTTTGCAGGTCAGCGGACTGTTTCATGAAACTTTGGTGTTCCGTTATATATCTTCTGAAGGTTTCTGCTGATAATTCTTTGGAGTCTTTTTGTTTTTTCTTGAAGTTAATAGCAATTCTTTCTTGGATGTTAGGTACACGATGATCCCCTTAGTGCACCGGTTGATGGTCCAACCCAATGGGTTCGTATTGCTTTCCAATATTCCCATAAATAGCTTAACTACAGGGAAGAAAATAAACTTCCAATAATCTATTCAAACAATGCAGCCTTTGCGCAATTTGGAGGAGCTACTCGAAGAGCTCATCGCAATCGCTGTATGTCCTTCATCCTTGAATTGTTTGTGCGAATCCTTGTTACATTCAGTTCAGTTCAGTTCAGTTCAGTTCAGTTGCTGACGTATGCATGTTGTTTCTTGTGCTTGTGAAGAGGGTCACCAAGGGGAAAAAGGCATTCAAAATTGATCTTACACCTTTCCGCGATTGAAGTGATGATACCGGCAGAACACGAAGGCATAAATCATTTATTTAGCTGCAGTTTATCCATCCACTCACTCTCAAGGGAATAACCAGACTTTGGTGCGTTTGTGCATTTGTTTGTTCGGCCTAGTACAAGAACCATGTCTTATCAAATGTAACATTTTGCTCATCAATTTGTTGTTTCCTATTTTTTAAGGAGTACTTAAAGATTTTAGATATCCGCTGGATGTAGATTTTGGCAACATATTGGACCAGTACGAATATTGTAGAATAATAATAATAGAATAAAAAAAATTGGAATATTATGTCTTTTGTTATCCATCTAGATTACTTGTTATCCATATCAGTCAGTATATACTGGGTGGTATATGACTGACTATATGTATCCGTATCAGTACATATCAGTAGGACACCTTATTTGAGTTGGTGGCATGGACCGAGTCAGCAACACATGCCTTTCAACATATACTGGGTGGTAATATGTACTTACGTATCAACAATGGACTTTGGGACATGTACCGATCGAGTTGGGGGGGATTAGTACGGGTTTGGTATCCAAAGAATCAAACCATGATTGAGATCTCAAGGATCGTGGGACTCGTTTCGATGATCTCTCCTGATCGGTATGCATTATGAAGGGGAGAGAAAATAATAAAAGAAGTAAAGATAGTGAAGGAAGATGAGGTGTACTCGACCCAATAGGTGATTGCAATATGTGCCATTAGGGTAAAGGACGTGACGACGATGTGGTTGAGATTGTAGAATCAAAATGCATGCGAAAAATCTAAATAAGAAAACCTAGCCTACACCCACCCTTGTTTTCCTTTTATATGAATGAATGGACAACTACGCCCACCGTCCATGCCCTGCCCTGCCCGGATCAGACATCGCCGATTTTATACCGACCAATATAATTTCTCTGTAATCAGCCAAAAGACTAATTTTATTTTGGTGGGTTATATGTTATATCATGATGGTTTCTGGTTCAGAACTGAGAGCAGCATCAAGCCTTGATGAAAAATCAACAATACAAATGCCAGCCAATGTTTAAATTTTAATGTGCATGTCCTATTCAGGATTCCAGATTACCATAACTAAAATGCGACTCGATATTATCTATCATATATATGCAACCAACCATCAGATCAATCTCCAGATTGGTATTACATGGAAGAAACAGAATTGTTTGAGAAATAGAAAACGAAATCAAACTGGACATTAGAAGAAATACATGTCTATCAGTCAAAAGGGGATAAACACACAGCTTCCACCATTCCCAGGTGGGCAAACACTTGTAGTAAACAGATTAAATCTTCTGGATATAAGCAGATTTAGTTGTTGATTAACATGTAGACATACCCGATGGGTTAAGAGCTCAGTAATTAGCGGAGATTATGATCACTGTGGCCTTCTCCATTAGTGCAGATAGGCAGTCTGGTACTGGACCTGGTAGCCATTTCCGTAGTAAGTGGTATGAGTAGGGGAGATGGTGGTGTATGGAGCAGAATTCACCAGAGGAGGATGATGAGCTTCGGCTGCGTACACATACTGCCTATCGTAAGGATACAGATATCTCTCAGGGGGTGCATGGTAGAAGCTTTTGTCAGGCATGCTGGTGACACGAGGGGCGTAAAGGCTGCCACTGGCACGGGGTCTCTTGGATTGTGGCCTTGCAGCTTCAGCTGCCCTCCTCTTGTCAGCCTTTGCTTTCTCTAGCTGGAGGATTCGATTCTGAAGTGGATCGACAGGGTATTGATCTTCAAGTTTGTGCTCCTCGATGCACTTGATGACAGCTTTAAGGGCAGATAATTCACGTTCGTTCATTTCATTCTGAAATAGACACACAGCATTGATAAAAAGAACATACGAGTTGGACAATTAAAAATGCAGAAGCAGAGAAATGGCAAGTATTACAAGTTGTCAAATGAAGCATATAATTTTGCAATCTTTGTCGGATTGTAGGTCCAGCTGATCACGATACAATCAGGATGCAAGTTTCCCAGCTATGGTTTTTCATTTTTAGTTAACTCTGGCTACACGAATGGTCAGTGCTGTAATGTCTTAATATCAGCGGCATAGGATCGCCACGGTGACAAAGAAGAAAAGAAAAACTAAATGAAAAGATCAGTCTCGAATGGGGAAATGGAAATATATATTGCCATTAGTTTACAGGTCAAACAAACAAATCACTGTGGAGGCAATCCTGGAGGAATAATTAAAAGAGAAGCACTACATAATACACACATTAGTGCTAAAATTGACCTAAAAACTTACCACATAAAATTCTCAAGTTAATATTCATAGCTGATGGCATCTCAATGCAGCTAATGTCAATGCCGTGTCAGCAACGATTGCAAAGGACAAATATGTGTGCACAAATCTAAAAAAAGACATACCCAGTGCACGAGGCTCCCATATGAATTTGTCCAGAAACTAGAAATTACCGAGAAGAGCAGATTTGACTAGAAAGTAGAATTTACTGAGTTTGCATCGTCACAAACTTTTAAGTACATTGTATTCCTTTCACATGAATTTGCCAAACTAGCATAAGCGCCTAACTACACAAACAGATGGCAATTAACATCTAGAAAATTTAGACATGTAGGTAAGGCTAAAGAGCAGGCAGTGCTCTCAATCGAACAAAGTCAGAACGGTTTATAAATCCACCATGTTTGAGAATAGTTGGCCCAACAACTTAACAAATATCAGGTTTCCAAAATTTCTTTGGAGAAATACACTCCATAAATAAACAAATATATAATATGAATAGCAAGTTATAAACAACAATTAGTATCATATTAGCAACACAAATTTGACCCAATAATAAGCCAACTGTATATGTTTCTAAAATAACTTTGTTGCAACATTAGAATTAGAAGCTCCACCTAAAAGTACAAAAATAAAGTCCCTTCATTCCAAAACTAGACTCGAAGACAGCTAATTAGCAGATGGCAACATAACTCGGTGAAATATAAAATTGTAACAGGCTGGTGAAGGAAGACCTGTGCACCAGGAGACATGCTTCCAGCTTTGACTTGTGGTACCTTTTTCGCTTCCTTCAAATATGATTTAAGTAATGGCACTGGTGCAAACTGCTCAGTTAATTTGAAGGCATATGCGAGATTAACCACCTCAACTTGCCTTCCACTATTCAGTAGAACTTCGATCAAACCTAGGAATCAATTGACATGGAACAAAACATGTTTACCCATAAATGATCAAATTAAGTGCATCAGATCATTAATGTATTGATTTTTATTTAGGACTCTATAAACTTTAAGCATGCTACTTTTGGAAGGATGTGATAGAAGAGACTGAAAAGTAGCTAGCATGATAAGTATGTAACATGGCTCCTCCAAGGGTTTATGAAATTATATGTAGGACAATGAGATCAAGCTATTACAAAGGTTCATTTATCAACACCTGAAATTTGATAAGCAGTGTGGAATATACCATAAACAATTTCTAAATAGTGAATAATCAAACTAAAGTGAACCACAACCCTAGAAATTATGGCAGAGGTATTTTTGACAGAATAAAAACATACAAAATAAAGAACTCAGATATTTTTGTAAGAAAGAAAGTTCCCACTCAGATTAGAACCAAGCATGATTAAGATATAATACAAGTGATTTTAAACAGCTAATCTAGTCAAGTGACATCCTAATATGCCTGCTTCAGAACACAAAACTCGAGTAAAAAAAGACAGCAAATAGCTTAAATCACAAATTTATCTCCTTATTGCAAATAGAATATAGTTCAATACTTGATTAAGAATAATAATAGAAAGTAAACAAACTACAAACTAATTTAATTTAAAGAATGATATAAAGGAAAGTGAAAAATTACAAACTGATTTACTTTAAACAATGGTAGCAAAAGCATGCAGCAAAAGTACCTACTCTGAAAGTAACGACTTATCGGCCAAATTTATGACTCGGACCGCAAAACTAGAATATTTCAAATTTGTGAAATCAATAAAATATACTTCATGTCCTTCAAATTTGTGAAATCAATAAAATCAAGGTAAAGCATAATTCTGAATCTTCATGTCCTTCATAAATATGGTAAATTTCTCACCATTAAAATGCATAATGATGTGAGGCATAAGGATAGTAAGTCCAAGACAGAAGTGTCATTTACAAGAATAAGAATCATCTGTCCTACAAACATGAATATACTTTAAATATGATCAAATTAACATATAACCAACCTGGCATTTTATGTGACAAACCAAGTGAGCGACACAACTCAACAGTTTGACGACGCCGTGTAACAGCTGGAATAAGTTTGCAGATTTCATCTTGATCAAACTCCGAAACAATATCAAAAGTAGCCAAAAGCTGAAGAAATGCATGTGCTTCCAATGAGTTTCCACTGCTGGCTTCAGTGTCAAGATGATCTAGTTTTGGCTTCCATTCTTTAGCTACCACCTTTGCTTTCTCTTTAGTATCTGGTGTAAGTATTTGCTCATCAGAAAGAGAATCTGGAACACCATTTGCCAACAGTTGTTCAAGAGATTCCATCAACATGAGACAAGTCCTTCGCAGGCCCAAAAGGCTTCCATCTTTTTTTCCATTTAATCCTAGAACCTCTCCAGCATAAAAGCCCTTCAAAGAATCCAAAACTAAGCTGAAAGGACTGGGTGCACTTCTTAATGCAACTGGTATTTCTTCACGTATAGAGCTCAAGTTTTTACGATTGTCTGAAATGAACTTGTGTAGACCTTCTGCATCCATTTCTTCACACAATTTAATCAGCTCCGAAGGAGGCTTGGTGCATGTGTTTTCATCTTCTATAGGACACACATATTCAGAGCCAGATTTGGCAGCTGTATCATCCAAGTTCTCTCTTAAAATAGGATCAGCCATGCCATTGCTGACCCCTGCAGCAACGAGTTCTGGAGAAGAGGTCCTGTATTTGACAAACAAAGCAGATAGAACAGCATCTCTTTGTTCCTGCAATCGTTCCAGTGATGCAAGCTCCTTAGACACGACAGCAGCCTCCTGCTTCTCCAACATCTCTTGGGCTTCTGTGACCTTTGTAACGTATTTCTTTTCCTGATCTTCCAACTCATCAAACCTTTTCTTCAGAGATTTCTCAAGTCCATGAAAATGTTCTTCAAGTTCTTTCCATTTCAAGTTCAAGGATATGGCACTATGACTCTCAAGTTCAGAAAATGCCTGTTGCAATTGTTGCAACTTTGAAGTTGTAGAATCAATAAGTGTGACGACTGACCGTGTATCTGCCATAGAATAAATCCCTGCCAACAGAGAAAACAGATGCTAGTGCATCAAATAGTAAAATCACAAAAGTAAACTTCACATATATATACACACACACACACATATACATGTACATATATATATATATACACATATATACACACACACACACACACACATACACATATATACACTCATGTTGCCACCTGAAAAGTGAACAAACAGTACATGATAATTGCAGAGTGCTCACCAGTAGATGTATTTCTAAGAGTTGCTCTTTACCATGTGAAATCTAGTATCTATTGGAATAAATGATAATTGCAGACTATTTTTCTACTCATTTTACTTTGTAAAACCTGGTTTCTAATTCTATATGAATAGAAAATCATATTAGAACGATAGCACAGCATTCAATTCAGCACCTGTAGACCTGCTAGGCTTAGCCAGTGAATTGTAGCATCTCTGTATATGCTTTTTCTTTTATGAGCTCTAAAATATATGATTCCACAAAATCAAAAGTCATAGGAATCTTTAACAACAGTATCTTATACTTGGATTATTCAAAGAATGTTGGGTGAAAGCTTTCCATCACTTCATCTTGTTACATGGGTTGTGATTAGTTGCAGATATGCTATTGGCCAATGGAAACTTTTTAAGTACTTGGGCCCTGATCAGGAACCAGATTTATGGCAATCATAAAACCTACAAACCACAGAGTTCCTAGTTGCGTATGGAAGCATTTTCAAAATAATTTAAATGGATCAATAGAGAACCAAAATACCCACAGACTTAACCAGAATGAATGTACAAAAACTACCAAGAGATAATGGAAAAGGACGACAAGAGCATGAGGACACAGAAGTTCCTATACTAAGCGCCAAAAAAGAAGAACTAAAAGGAGAATTAGTTCAGTATACTTCCAGAAAACATAGAATCCCATTATTAGTGGAATCCCATTATTCACCAATATACTTCCAGAAGACAGAGAATCCAGATGCAATTACTTCCTAAATTGATTACATTCTATAAATAAACTTGCAACCCCCTACCCTAAACTAGCTCCAAGGCCAAGACGAAGAAAACCAAGCAATCGTAATGGGTTGAAACTTGAAACAATTCAGACATCAGAACCACATTTCTATACTGACTAGTGTAACAATAACACTTGCTTGCAACGCCAAGCTATACTCACTTGTAAATTTCTCCCAGAAAAAAATGCTCCCATTTTAGACTTAGTACTTAATCCAACCCTCCTAAAACTTATACGGTCAAAACTAGCCTCCAATCTGCCCTCCCAATATCAAGGCCCGCACCATCATCAAATCAAACAATGTAGAGCAAAAGGCCCACCAACAGCCTATCAAAAGGGGTTTCACCTTCAGCTCATAACCAAACCCTAGAAACGATACAAGAGAGGAACCACGACTCCCGGCCTCACTAAACCGACTTCAACAGAACAAAGCAACAAAGAACAGAGTCCACTAAAATCCATCAATCTGTTCCCCGAGAAACCTGCTTTCTGCATCAAATCCACCGAAATCCGTACCGAATCGGGGATCCAACCACGAACAAACTGAGAGCGAGAAATCCCTGTTGAAGACGAAGGATTCAGAAAGAAAACTCACAGGAATTCGCAAGCACGAGATCAGGCGATCACAGAAGGAAGCGGCGAACGGGATTGGGAACGGAAGCCATCCATCCAAATGACCAGTAAAAGAAAAGAAAAGAGAGAGAGAGAGGAAAGCGGTTAGTTGCTTCCACCTCTATATAGTGGAGGCTTTATTAAAGCGCGGGTACACGTTGTAATCTGGACTGTCCATTTCCGAATCGACGGACCAGATAACTGTAAATTTCAGCCGTTGGATGATGATCGGAACACTTTTGCTGTTGGGTTCGTGGGTGTGGCAATGATGGCGTCTCATACATAGCTCTGCGGTCCCCGTTAGGGAAGTCATCATATGGACACGTGGCAGACTTAGAATTCTCATGATCCGCAATGCTCTTCGATGCACACGTAGGTGAAATTAGCTGACGTAGATAAAAAAAGATAATCTATTAAAATATTAAAATATTTATACAAAATAAGATAATTCTATCTAGAGAATATTTATATGTAGAAAAATATCTTTGGTAGGTCAAATCGTTATATTTTTTGTTTTTCTTTTTAATTTATTACACGTGGCCGTCCTTATCTTGCCTTGAGACTGGTGATTATTTTATATTGTCTTTATATTGGGAAAATGATAATAATTTTAATAATTATATTTAAATTTAACATATATGTATATATATATATATATCCCTTTGGACACGTTATAAAGGATTTCTTTTAAGTTTGTTGCACCGCTTCTCTTTCTCGTCTTCATCCCGTCCCGTTCACGTTTACCTATGCTTCCACCTGCATTGTGAATGGATAAAAAGAGGGAAAACGGTGGGACCCATTATAGGGCTGTGCCGCGCGGCTAGGTAGAGTTATTTGTCGTGGAGTGTGGAGATCCGGAGTCAGTTATTGAACCGGATCCAGCTCGACCAGACCCGGATCGAGCAAACCGGACACGGTTGCCCGTTTCCATCCGTGAAGCACCCCCTGTCGCGTCGCGTTCGCCATCAATGATAGCAGCAGCGCATTGACGACAGACGGAGTGGTGCGGGTGAGGTCTCTCCTCCCAGCTCGTTTCTGTAGTCAACCGATTCGTAGATGAATCTTCGTATTTCCTGAAAGATTTCCTCATCTCCTGGAATTCGGATCGGCAGTTTCGATTAGGTTTCAAGATTTCTCTCGTCTATAACATTACGAACATTTTTGGGTTCTCCAGATCCGTGGTTACTGATTTGGTGGGGTTGAGGCGACGAAAGCGATCCTCTCTCGTGGTAGAAGGCCTCGTTCCCGATGGATCGCGCTGATGTCACGACAGAAGAGGTTGGTCATCTGAGATCCGACTCTGTGCTTATCGGTTGGGAAATGGTTTTCGAGCGTTCCTACATCTTGTTCGAATGCATGTGTGCGTGTTAATTTAGGTTATTTGTTGATAATGTTGAGAACACGATGTTTGATTTCTATGGTTGATAATGTTGAGAACACGATGGTGAATACGGACTTATTTTGATGATTTTTTTTTGGGTCTAGGATGTGATCACCACTTATCGAAAAAATAAAATAATAAAATAATATTCTGTATCTTAATATTCAAAATAGTGTCAAATTATTATTTCTTGCTCTTAGCCTTTTATGAATATCTTTTTTTTTAATTTCTTGATTTATTTTTTTTTCTAAATTGACTATTTATCCAAATTGACTCACTTTGTGTACCAAATGAATTTATTGATCTATTTTGGATACTTTATTACACCTTATAAATTGACATTATTTTTTGGATATCATGTTGCTTAATTGTCTAATATCATGATCCATGAAATAGTAGGTCGTACGACCAAGGATTCATGTTTGGTTGTATTGACCGGCTACGTGACTAGTGTGTGTGTCGTGAACTGACCAATAAGCCACTAATTTCATTGAGCCTGACCAATAGTTTAGAATGTTTAAGCCCAAGTTGATTGTGAAGCTCTTATAAGTCCTTTTAAATCTTCTCACACTTTGATGTGGAAATGAACCAGGGACTTATAATTTTTCATATTTAATGGGCTTAACGTCTTCATCAAGATCTGACACAACCTTTAAATCTTAACATGGTGCATGTGAGGCCTAGTCCAGTGGTGACTTCACATGGTGAAATGCCCTCTAGCCTCATCTATGGGTAGTACTTTCGTACACAAGTCTCTCCTATACCCAATACTAGGTCAACTCTGATAAGAGACACATTAACTTGTTGAGCCTTTGAACGACATAAGTTCAGGTTAAAGAAAGTAGACATATTCAATCATTATAAGTTCATTGAATTCTTCTCTCATTTCTATTGTGGGACTAATTCAGGTATTGCAATTTTCAAAGGAGTGCAACACAAGAACTTCCAAGGGTCCTAGTACTACTCTCGCCCAAGCGCACTTGACTTTGGATTTTTGATGAGATTTTGTGCAGTAGTGCTGGTATGATTGAACATCTAATATGATTTGGAAAGTGTTCACAACTAAAGGTGTTATGCTATATAGAATGCGTGACAAATTGAGTACCAGATTTGTTGGATCATCAGAGATTTTAGAAAAATTGAAAATATAGATTACAAACTTATTTTACCACCCATCCTGGTTGGAGTTTATAATATCTTTCTTATGTATATATGTCGAGATAATATATTCCAGATTTTGATTGTGTAATTGAACTGACACTACTATAGTTGGAGAAAGATATATTGTAAGGAAAAACTTATTTATATTGTGGAAAGAAGAGCAAAATTAAGATGTTGAATCCATTTTAAGGGCAATCGAGTGATTTTAGTGAAAGAAAAGTTACTTCAAAATTGGAAGATGTCATGAATGAAAATTTCTTAATTATTTTCTAATTTAGGTTTGTCAAGTCTAGAGGATTAAACTTTTCTGGGGGGGAAAATGTAATGTCATAATTTCCTAGACCTAATTGTAATTATATTGTACAAAAATAATTAATATGAAAAAAAATACCTTAAGGTTTCTTTTAGCTCTCTATATCTATCGAGTTATAATGATGCCATTCGAGAAAAAGAATTCATCCATTGGAGTCTTTGAGTTGGAAAGGAGATTTCTTTGAATTCGAAAGGAGATTTTGTTCTACGAATGAAAATAGAATATCAAGATCGTACTAAGGAAGATTGAGTTTAGGTAATAATTATAATTTTTATAATTTTCGTCAATCATCGAAACCTATGGGGTTGTAGAGAATGTAAATCTTGATCCCGATTTATTGTTTAGCTTAATCTTTAACAAATAGATTTATTCATGGATAAAAAAGATTTTAAAAAAGAAAAAAATTGATCATTTGTCATGGCTTGCCACAGGATTGATAGCAATCCGTGAAGAGCTAACTTTAAGAAAAAATAGGCAACAGCAAGTCATGGTGGGAAAGAACAAACGGAGAGAAGAATTTGAAGCGGTGTTTCCTCTTCACTTTTTCCTTTCCACCATCACTTGCTATGGCTTATGATTTATTTTCTTTTTCAAGGTTACCCTCTTCATGAATTATTGTCAGTCATCTGGTTATTCATTAATCAATCCATTCTCTAATGATAGTATCATTGCAGATTAAACTAAATTATAAAAAGATCAACATTCATATTCTCTATGACCCTATAGATTTCAATGATTGATGAAAAAACTCTAAAAACTATAATCCTTACCTAAACTTGATATTTCCGGTACATCTTTTGGTATCATTTCCGGAGCAAATCTTCTTCCTGAATCGAAGACTCTGGACGGACAGATTCCTCTTCTTGAACGGCATCATGATGACTCGTGAGAGGTACAAAAGGTTAAAAAGAAATTCTATGGCCGTTTTTCATATTAATCATTTTCATATTTTATAATTACAATTAGATCCTAGAAATTATGGGATATTGCATAGTCTGTGCCAACCAGTGTGCTGTGGAAATGGGAAACCAGAAAATAGGTATCTGATCAGAAAAATGATGTCCAACAAAGAGGCATGCACGCATACAAACCTATTTAATGTGTGCATGCAAATCCAGATTCATGACAAAAGACAACTCATAAAAGATGAAACTATTTCCAAAAAAGATGAAACTATAAATTTCTTACCTTCTCCGGTGGATGACTCTCAAGACCTTTTACTTATTTTCATTATGTGGGAGTTAGAAATCTTCTCTAAAGAATCCAACTTTAACTATTCTGAGTTGAATTTTTATTAAACCTTTTGTTTGCTTGTAAATTTTAACTTATTTCATGTGTTTATGTGGTAACTTCAAAAGGTAGTTGCTATATTCTATTTCCTACTGGTTTTTGCTGGTTTGAAAAAGTAAGTGGACTTTATTAGGTCTCTGCTGGCATTTCCATAGAGCAGTAGTGTTGGTTATGCTTGTTGAAGAAACCTGGTTATCACTTTAATTCAATCTTATGTTTTTGAAGGTTCTCAAGAGGGACATACCATGGGAAACTTACATGTCAGCAAAGCTTATTACAGAAACACATCTTCAGCTACTAAGGCGCTATGACAAAAAATCTGCAAGCCAAAGAGCTGCTTTGCTTGATGAAGTAAGTATTATGTTTAATGGTATCAATCAATAGGTATTTGGTGTTAAGGTATGTTGTTTTGGTTTCAGTTATAACCGTTCTAGTGTTCTAGGTGCATATTTCTCATGCTGTGTGTTAAGTTTGGTCATCCTTTTGCTTCTTTTGTATTGACTTCAGATGTTGTTTAGCATGTCTGGATGTTGGAGTAAAACATACTTAACTTGTGTTGGACACAATTTATACATTTTGAGTTCCATAAACTTTTATTATTCTCTTCTTATAGATGTCAGTGATCATTCAGTTTGGTTTCGGATCATGTTGGAGTCCTAGTTGAAGTGTATTGACTTAAACAATGTACACTATAAATAATGTTTGATCACCTGCCTGCTTTGTCTCTTTGTTATGATGTTTAACAAAATGTTGATATTAGCTTGGGCTAGGCACTCAAGTTATCGCTAGAAAGTAAATAAACCTTGGAAGGCCTAGTATTCACTCATTTGGACCAAGATATGTTTGTGGATTTGATTTTTTTTTTCATATAAATAAATGATATATTGATATATGAATGTAGTATAATATTTGTGATTTTGCATGTAAGAACATATATTGATTAATTGATATACACAAATAATTTTGCTTTATTGATAATAGTAATTTCTTTAAAGATGCAAAGGATTAGCTTATTTTGAAATGTAGCTCGTACCATGCAATATGTACTGATCCATGTCAAAACCAGTACACAGGCTGCTTGGTTTTATGTGAAGAAACTTAACTGACCAACCCAAATGATGCGTGAAATTTGCTTTCAGCCATACATTACTTTATAGTCATACATTACTTTATCATAGAACATTAACTAATCATTTGTGTTTACAAACCACAATGTTTCTCACAAGTGTTCTCTAATGGTATCTTTCATCCTATAATAATGATGCATATTATACTGCTACTCCTATTGAGATCTTATGAAATTAAATCAGAAAATGAAGTAATTTTCTAATAAGATTATTGTTTGGGCTATCACTTGGTTGCTTAGACTATGGATTAGGCTATTTCCATCCACATAGGGTAACTTATTTATGCCTGGAAGCTATAACAATTCCAATTTAGATATTGATTAAAATTTTCAGACATCTATCAATTTTTTGGAATTTTGATGAGAAATTACTCCATTTCTGAGCATTTATTCTAGGAAATAAGTATCTAGTCTGTTATAAAAGGACAAAGTGGCCTTATCTAGCTGCCAAAACCTCTCGGTAACAAGTGCATGAATCAGTTTAGACTTCTGATGTTCCTAAATATAGCATGCTTATTCCTTCAATTTTATTTTACAAAACTATTATATATATCTTGTATAATGGTGTTCAACCATACTCAAATCCTCATTCTACACCTATTATCTAACATACAAGTTGCCAATTCAACATCTACACTGTTCACCCACAGTGATGTAACATTTGGATACGTAGGACGAATATTTGCTTGACTATATATATACTTTAGCAGTATATTTAAGCTAACGGTTGCAAATCCATTGTTGTTAGATCATGTTTAATATTTTTCTTCTTTGAAACAGGATACATATTTTATTGACTTTATTGTTTAACGAGTTAGGTTGTCTTCCCATTATTTGTTTAGTGTAATTTTAGATAGCATCAAGGCTCTTCAAATAAAATTAGATACCAAGATTGTGTTTGCTTTCCTTGGGTTTTCAGTAGTTCCAAGTATACATATGACACAGAGTGAGTTAACAAACATAAGCATAGACCAAGACCATGTTTCACTGAATTTATCTTTAGAATTTGTTAAATGACTTGATAATGTGCATTGGTTCTTTTATGTTCTATACTTCTATCCCATATGAATTCTGAGTGGTATTGGAATTTGGAAAAGCTATCTTAGTTGCATGAATAAGTTCAATCTACACTACTCATTTTAAGTTGATGAATTTAACAGGATGGACCAGCTTTTGTACAGGTCTTCATGAACATATTGAGTGACGTTTCCAAGGAAGAAACGGTGGAATATGTGCTTGCTCTCATTGATGAAATGCTGGCAGGTACAAAACAGTGCAGCAATCAGATAAAAGTTTGCTCTTTCATGTAGAGATCTCGATGAAATTCTTTTTATTCTTTGCAGCAAATCTAAAGCAGGCTAGACTTTTTCATGATAATTCATTATCAAGCGAAGACACTTATCAACCTTTTTTAAGTTAAGTACAGTTTATCTTATATTCTCCAAATTCTTGTTAAGAATAACCATGACTAAATGCATCTCTGAGGTTGACATTTGGAACTAGTTGACCTACTTCTATTATCTTGTCAAATAAGCCTTAATAGACCTCAGTTAATTATTTATATCTTTTTGTTTAGAAAGATTTCCCACATTTTTTACTAATCACATTCAGAGTGGGATCTTATTGTCATTGTGTTTCTTTTTAAGTCACTAAATGACTTGTTAAAGACTTGAAAGACCTTTGATTAGTCCTTCCCTTGAAAATTAATTACTTTCAGGGTCCAAAATTTAAATTTCATTTTGAGTTATCCTTTTATCTTCTGGATGAATGATCTTACACTTTTACTATAGAATCCGTTATTTTGAGTATTGCAATTATTTTGCATTGGTAATTGTATAGATCTTAAGTGATTTACACATCCCACTTCCAATATTTCAGATGGCTCCAGGAAGGAAATTTGTTCATACAAGACAAGAGCAGTAAAATATTGACTCTGATAGTGAGGTACTCAGAATTTTCAGATGTTGCAAATACTGTTTTAAATATTAATCAATGGAGCATTTAACTAAATATGCTTGCAGTGCTCATCCTAAAGTTCAAGATGGTCTTGTTCCAAATGGAGAATCCTCACATTCAAAAAGCAAGATCTCAAAGACTGATATGGTTCTAAATGGACTACTTGACTGGCTGTGTTCTCAGGTTAAAGCTTCTATGTACTTCATGCAGTTCTACAACACAGTTCTTCTGTATTATTTCTTCTTGGAACCCCCTTTCGCCAAACCACCATAAAACCCACCACCATTACCACAAAAAAGGTTTAAATGGCTAAGTAACATTTGTATTTATTCTATATGCTTTACATTATTGTGTTATGTTTAGAACTTGGGAGAAATGACATTCAATGCATTTTGTTCTTCTTTACAATGAAGTATTACTCAAAGATGTATTTTCTTTTTTAGCTGAAGACTCCATCTCATCCTAATCGCTCTGTGCCTATGGCTATAAATTGCCTAGCCATTTTGCTAAGAGAACCCTGGGTTAGGGTTTCATTTATTCAATCAGATGGTGTCAAATTAATAATTCCTTTGATATCACCAGCTTCAAGCCAGCAGTCCATCCAGGTAAAATGATATTCATGATGCCTTCCAGATTGGATGGGCACATCTGATTCTTTTTTTTCCCAAAATCATGTCAGATCTTGTTGACCAATTATTTCTTGCCTTTCTTTTGTTGTGTAGATCTTGTAAATAATAAGCTTAATCGTACATATTCCATTTTCTGCACTTTAAGTTCTTTATGCATACGTCCTTTTAATAATTTTCTATGCAAAAGTGGTATTATGGGTGTAATAGAAGTGAGAGCTAAAAGATGCCAACGTATGTCTTAAAGGATCTTGATGTCATAGCACTCAGAGTGGTACTTGGGAAATTAGCTACTCAGAATCCAACAATAGGCTGTACAGTTTTCATTTGTATGAATTGAATGAAGGAATATGTTTTATAGATTTTCTCTTTCCATCGCTACGTGAACATATGTGCATTGTCCACTATGATTAAGTTTGACATGAAATTGCATATTAATTTTGATAGGGAAGTGCATTAGATCATTTATCTAGTATAATGAACTGCTTCTGAAGCATCCGCTATGATTAAGCTTGACATGAAATTGCACATTAATTTTGATAGGGAAGTGCATTAGATAATTTATCTAGTATGATATACTGTTTCTGAAGCTGGTATTCATTCATGCAGCTTCTTTATGAAACTTGCCTTTGTATTTGGCTCTTGTCCTATTATGATGCAGCAGTTGATTACCTGGCCACCACTAGGGTCTTGCCAAGGCTAGTTGAGGTTGTAAAAGGTTCAACAAAAGAAAAGGTTGGATTCTCTAACAATTTCTTTCTGGCCCAATTGTTTAGACTTTGTGATGATCATATCAAATCTTAAATGTCTCTTCTTTTTTTTTTGTAGGTTGTGAGGGTTATTATGTTAACATTGCTCAATCTGTTACCAAAGGCAGCATGTGGGGCCCAAATGATTGATCTTGGACTACCACAAATTGTCCAGTCTCTAAAAGCTCAGGCTTGGAGTGATGAGGTTAAGTTTCAATTGCCGTCCATGCTATTTATGATGCATATCCATGTTAAAATCATGATTACATAAGTAATTGAAATTTAGATGCTAGAGGGTGGATCTCAGAATCACAATAAAGTTGCTCTTTGTGACATGGGTGACAAATTCAGAATACAAAAGTAGCCTTTCTACTTGAGAGGGATAAGGCTGCACATGTTGACCCTCTCTTCATATCATGCATTGGTTGAAGAGTGATGGTTATAAATGACATTATTCTGCATCTTTCTAGTCCTTTGATCATATGTTTATTTTGTTGCTTTTTACCATCTTTTCATTCTTTGTAGGATTTGTTGGGTGCACTAAATCAGTTAGAAGATGGACTTAAGGAACACATCAAAACTCTGAGTTCCTTTGATAAATATAAGCAGGAAGTTCTTCAGGGTCATCTTGACTGGTATCCTATGCACAAGGATCCAGGATTCTGGCGTGAAAATATTACAAATTTTGAAGAAAATGACTTCCAGGTATGTCATGCTACTATTTAACTTCACATCAAGATGCATATCAAAGAACTCTTGGCCTTCGATTGCACAATAACACTTAATGCGTGGGATTTTCATGGTTGGTCTGCCACCTCAAGTTAGAACTGCACAGAATTCGGGAATCATTTCTAAATAAACAAAGTGCCTTTTTCATTTTCTTCTTATGCAGAGTAATGTACCATTTTATCTAATTGAGTAAAAGAATCATTTTATGTTTTTCAGCCATCTATCATGTTTAACGCTGGGCAAGCAGACCCACAAAGACACCTGATTGGTTCTTCTAACTCTAAAAATCTTTTCTTATTTTTGCAGATTTTACGTGTCCTCATCACGATCCTCGACACTTCCAGCGACCCAACCGCACTTTCTGTTGCGTGCTATGACTTGTCTCAGTTTATCCAGTACCACCCTGCTGGAAGAATCATGGTGGCAGACCTGAAGGCCAAGGACCGGGTGATGAAACTCATGAATCACGAGAATGCTGAGGTGACACGGCATGCCCTTCTGTGCATCCAAAGGCTTTTCCTGGGTGCCAAATACGCTAGCCTTTTGCAGTCTTGATCACTCTTCATGACCATCTCAAGTTTGAACCATGGCTTGCAACCGCAAATGCCTAGCAGACAGTGAGTTTTGTTGTTTGTTCGTAAAATCCGTTATTATTTTTTGCTGCATGTAATAAATTCTACTCTTTCGTTTCAAATGCTCTTTTAAGCATATTCGATTCTCGATTTGCCCAAGTTGGGCACATTTTTATGGGACTGAAATAATTTGCTGTGTGTGGTTGAGTTCATTTGTCACTCTTGTTGCTTGAAGGATGTCTTCTCTCTTTGTTTGGTCGGCCTCACAGCATGCATCTCCACTTGAATCTGCAGAAAATTTAGGTCTAATTTTCTGCCTATCAATGGGATTAGATTCGAATACAGAATAAAGGTAAGTAGATCAGATCCGGCTTACTTTAATGCATAATTGAACCCATGTTTCAGCTTCTAATATCTTAGATTTCAAAGGAATATGAGCTTATTCGGATTGCCACAGTTCAAGTGTTTTCTAATTTGTAACTATCAAATCTCTTGTCGACCTTCACAATTTGACTTCTCTAGCGTCTAAATAAAGATCAAAGAAAAGAGTGTAATTACAGAAAAATTACGGATTGCTAAAATATGCAGAGAAGGAAAAAAGGCACAGATTCTTCATTGGCTTTAACATGTGAGGCTTCTTTCCAAAGTAAACCAGTAGTCGGGAGGATTCAGCACATCTCTAGCTATATAAATCACAAACGCATGAACGCAACTAAAATCCAAAAGAGTCAGATCCAAGATTGCTGGATATTTGATCTGCACCACGCATATAATTACCCTCCTTTGTTACTGCTTGCATGATCCAAATTGAAGTTGGGGAAATAATTTCTCTATTCAAATATCGTATCAACAACAGTCTCAGCTCATTAGGTCTGCTATATTTACAATGAGCTTCTTCTTCTGCCTGTCCAGAGTGGAACTTCTTCACTAATTGAGGAAGAGACCTCAGCTGCTCAAATTGGAGGATAACAACTACTAGCACAACAATGAAACTATATAGAAAAATATGGACTACCACCATCATGTTGGCGCCGAGCAAGAATGATTTAATACAGCCACGAGATGATCCATCAACTTGGATGAAAACTCTATGATTTTAACATGGCAGCTAACTTACTCAAACACTTGTACAAGCATTTTGGAGTGCGGTACAGACTAAGATATGGCATAACTTGAGCAAATCCAGCCCATTTGAGGTAGGCAGCACATAGCTAATTCAAATATCACAAAAGATGGTCAATACCACAGTAAAAGGATCTGTACTAGCAGTGCTTGCAGCATTTGGTTGCAGTTCTTCAGCCAGCGAAAACATGGTCTCCTCCCTAATAACATGTACAGATGAACAAAACAAAATTAACCCATTCATGGGTGTTAATTCAGGTACAATAATGGAGATGGAGAACAGAGTAAATTACATCTATGTTTCTTTGTTCTTTGAATTTGCAATAACAGGAGTTTGTTGACAGGAACTGTATACCCGTCAGTCTGCATCCAGTTCTGCACCAAACTGCTCCAGCCTTGACATCTCGGCATCAATATCACGAATAAGAGCATGGTTGACAGAACCATCGTCCTCGCTCGCATGTATCTGTCTTCCACCAAACCTGTAAACCAAGTTCATCATGCAGGGAAAGTGCTTTAGAACAGGGAAAGTTCATTAGAACGATACCACCATTGAATAGTTGCAGAGTAAATAGAAATAGTGTAAAAAACATGCAAAGTTTACTGCCACTGCTAGAGTGAAGAATTACATAATTCTTTGTAAAATTCTACCAGTTAAAAAGAATTTGCTTTAAGAAGAAAACAATAACAATACTGAAATCAAAGTTCCCAAGAATTAGCTTTGCTAATTTAGTTATTTAAATCATCATCTAAAGACTAGAATGCAAAAGTTTTCTTTCAGTCTTATGATGCTTATTTTGATCCCCATAGTTGATTGTGGTAAACTCCCAAGATTCTCTACGTAACCACATATCAGAATGCAAAGATGGCACCAAAAATCATTTGGATATGCTCCCATGTTGCACTTAATTACGTGTTCCTGTGAATGCTTGAAATCAAAGGGTACATGTAAAAATGATTCAGAGATGCTCTTATGTTCGAACTCAATGAGGTGTTCTGCAAATGCTTGAAATCAACGGAGAGCTCAGGCAACAAACCATCTTCCATTCATCAGCTCGATGCACTTTGTAGCATCTTTCCGATCCTTAAATTTCACTAAAATCACACCTTGTGGATGACTTTCACAAACCTGTATGCCAATTTGTAACGAGCAACATAAGTACCACTGACAAATAACTATACAAAATATGAAATAAGCAAATTATCTCAAAAGTCTTTACCTAAATACAGTCCAAATTCCAAAATACTAGCTAATGGTGGTGATAATACTGACATGTTGATCCTCTGATTCCTCATTGCTAATGGCTATTGTGGATATGAAATTCCTGTAATTATAGTTTCTATAACAACTCCTGTAATCCACTAGGGACAGGAATATGCTGGGAGTAACCTTCAGTCGGTTGGTATAGCTCATGGGGATGGTTTGTGGAAGAATATGGATGGGAGTATAGATTTTGTAATTAGCGGTGATACGGCTAATTGTGTACTTTATGGATGCAGGGACTTAGAAAACAGAGATCGTCCTACACTGTGAAGCTGTTGTGCTAAGAGATAGATTGAAAACAGATTTGGAAGACAGCATTCATTGAATACATATTGAGACTGACTCAATGATGTACTGGCAGTTGTTGATGAAGAAAATTAGTCCACCTTGGGCCATTTGAATGTGATCATGGACCTTTGCATTTTGTTAACCTGTTTTGAAGGATGTAGAATTTCTCGTGTGTTTAGAGAGGGTAATAGGGCCACAAAGTGGCTTGCCACTTTGTTAAGAGTTAGTAGATGCAATCAGATATAGAAAGGGGAATGGCCTTCCAGCATACTGTCAGTTTTGAACTCAAATGTAAGAAAAGATTTTTTATACCCATTTTAACTAACTAATATCAGTTTGCTTTTCTGGAAAAGAAAATACAGTCTGAAAAATAATTTGCAGCACCCAAGCAAAATAGTCGGCTCCGTCTTCATCTTGAGAGGTTCTTAGTTTGAGCATATGTGAGTCACTGCCCATATAGTTTACCAGGTGTGTTTCTGGGCAGGGCACCCCCTCCCCATTATGCTCGCAAGATATAGAGCAACAGGCATCATAAATGAATTTGTGTACCGAGTGCTGCTGTTGCAGCATCTGCAAACATTATGTAAATTGGACTTCGGTCGAAAATAATAATATTTTGATGTTAAATGCCTTTTAACAGCATGAAAATAATAATAACAACAGCAATGTAACAAAGTCAAATCAGTCATAATCTGCCAAATTGACTTGTAGCCTAGTGGCAAATGACAACCACATTGCATACCTTAACTGAATCAATTGGGCCCAGTTTCACACATTCCTCTCTAACATCTTGCTCTAGTTCTGGCAGAAGACTCTCATCAGCCTGCTTAGAACCATAGACCACAATATAATATGTATTACTAGCGTAGATCAACCCAGTTCACAAAATCACAAATACAAATATATACAAGGCACCAACGGCTTACCCTTAACTCAGCGGGTGTGAACATGTTGCGCAAAACAACAGTAGCCAGAATTGTCGCCTTTGCATCATCATGTCCACCTAGAAGAAGAAATCAGTGATGCTATACAACAATTAGTTTCACAAGGTTATTAAGATCTACTAAAAGTTGCTAAGAGATAAAGCAGATGATTCTGAGAAACGACAGAATAAAAGGTTGAAATTTCTTCAACAATATTGTTAGGGTTAATAATTATATATGGAAGTCAAAAAGAAGGAAAATATCATACAGTAGGTAGCATATTGGCAGAATATACCAAACTCATAAAAATGGTCATCTGTCAGAAGTAATATTAACCGAGGAGGAAAAAAGGTTAGCATGGTCCTAGTGCTAAAACTTCTTTTTCAGGACAACTAGGCCATGACTTGCAACATTGATGACAGGAGCGGTGGGGGAAAGATGATGAACGTTCTTTTTATCTAATTCTGTTATGATGATTAGACAATATGTACAGTGAGTAATGACACAATTCAGAATATATAACAGAATGTCCACTGCAAAAACATGTAAAGACTGCCAGTCGGTATCATAATTAATTCTATTCTCCATTTGGACACTTTGGTCAGTGTCTTTTGTTGTCATTTAATGTATAGCTAATTGTTCACCAAATCATATCTGACAAACTGACAGTATAAAATTAATACAACTCTAGTGATATAAGAACAAGAAAAATGAACACTTTAATTTCATATGATGGACCATTCTACTAGAGACAGGAACCTTGAACCTTGTCAAATTATAAATTTATTCAAAAAGATTATTAAGACATGAAGCTTTAGAGAAAATTTCTTATCAGTGTCTAATGAAAATAGAACATTTTATATATCACATATTTAGATATTATTCTCTCATATGTCTCAGTAGAGTGATTTTCCTCGTAAGTTCATACCAAAATGAATTAGATTCTTCTAATCATACAATTTATAAGATGTGACATTGGTACAAAAGAATAACTGTATATATGCAATAATCATTGAGCTTCTAATCATCATTATGGAACCATTTTCATCAGGGGAAAGAAAGATTATAAGCAATGAGTGAATAGACAGTATTCTACTTTGGGACTATGTATCAGTTTAGCTATTTCTTTCACCTCAGATAAGTATATATGATTCTCTGAATCAAGAACTTACCTCCTGACAACAATATATTAAGAAATTTTAAGTCTAAGGAATTTTGGCCCAGTCTGGGGAAGGAGACAATAAATAGAAAAGGTTATTTGCAATCATGAACCTCCCTTAACCGCTAAGCCAAAGGTTTTGCCTATCAGGAATCTGGTGCCTTCCATTAGCATTGTCGACATCAATGGACCCCTCCAGTTGCTACCTACAAGGACTCTAGTTTGCTGGGTTAGGAGGCTTTGCTGTGAGCTCTTGCTACGTACCAAATACCCAACACTTGATGTCTGTGGCCACCAGTATCAATTGCTCTAAACAAGTTGTGAACCCTTGAGACAACCAGCCATTGGTTGACAATGTGGTAGATGGTGGTGGTTTAGGAATAGAGTTTAATTAATCATGCCTTTGGAGAGAAAAATTATTACCTTTTGAGTTTTGGATTTATTGTCTAAACCTAATCAATCTAAGGTGCTAACTCCACCCTAAAATTAGTGACTCGTGCATGATATGAAGAATTTTTCTTTCGGTTTGTGGTTGTGAATCTTAACTTATTTTCTTTCTTTTATATTTATTCTTCTTTTTATTCTATAATCTCTACACCATAACCGTATTTCTTCTATATGTTTAACAACTGCAAAAAAATCAGAAGTTTTCAACCTTCAAATCCCAAGCCAAATTGACATTAAACGACTAGAATATAAGGTCATTCAAGTAAAACCTCTGGAGAATTAAAGTACACTAATTTCTACTGTATATGCCCCACCGTGCAAACATGATAACTTGAAGACATAAAAGTAGTACTGAGGAAGTCATGAATCTTACACTACTACCATAGATACTAAAGAATATGATAAGTGCTAAGTACACAAATCATTAGAAATGGTTTTCACTTTGACTCAATGAAAAAAACAATTCATCTTGGTCATAGAACACAAACAACTCAATACAAGGTCAGAGATTACCCCATCCAAGAATCTTGTCTTCAACTCTCTTTAATTTCTTCTTCTTTTTCTTGTCTGTTTGCTTTGCTACAAATACTTCTCCTGTAAAAAATGACTCAGTAAAATGATTATTTTTGTGTGGTGTGAACAAACTTTCAATAAATATTGAACAAAGCATAACTCAACATAATTTTTCAATAAACCTTTTTGCTCAAACTTAGCTTGGCTTACAGACATAACTGTCTTCCCACCAGGACGGAGAGGTGTTCCATCCAAAATTTGTATTGCTAAGGCAACAGATGGTTCCTACATTTCAAACATGAAATAGTGTTTTAATTCCAAGTTTCCTACTATGTATCGGTCATCGAAATGGGAAGCACATTACTAATTTACCTTCAAGTATGACACAAGTGCATCCCCTTTTATTCTACCTGTTTCTTTGTCCGTATAGATCTTTACACGAGGCTTTTTAGTTTCAGGATCCTGTAAATGACAATTCACTAGCTTATAAAGTGTGCCAATAGGATGATCAAGACATGTAATATCATGAAACTATTAGGGTATGACAAAGACATGATCATGAAGGCTGCCAGTGTATACAACATCTAAAGCTGCTTCAGATTGAAGATAAATTGTAACAATGACAAGCCCTAAAATCTCAATCCGGTGCTATTACTAATGGACCACGAGACAGGTATGTAGTTGGCATAAATCAATGTACTAATCAACACTCAGTACAAATCAATACTACGTGGACCAAAGAGAATAAAGAAGAGGGGGAAAGAGGAGACGGAGGAAGATTAGGGTTCAAAGGCAAAGAAGAGGAGGAGAAGGAATCGGCAGCAGCAATGACACAGAAGGGAGGAGGAAGAGGCAAAGGAGAGAGTGTGCATAAGAGTGAAAGAAAGAAAGAAAGTGAAAGGAGAGCATCATAGGTGAGAGAAGAATTATCACAGCTGTCAAAAAATTGAAAATTTGATAACAATTTCAGACCCGAAGGATTGCTGCCTCGTTTGCTGCCCAAATACTTGTTCCCAACAGTAAAAACCGGAAGGTGCACTCGATAAGGTAACCGTACCAAAAGGTAAGCCCCATATGAAATGAAACATGGCAAAAATCGATGGTCCATGTACTGGTTCATGGTTAGACCAATAAATACTGACCTGTACTGACCGTTAAGCCAGATATTGTAAACCATGAACAACGGGAAATAAATCATATGCAATTTGGCAAATTTTTATGGGCTCATAAAGCATACGATACTAGTTCAGGAAGTGGTAATTAAATAAGGGTTAAATAATGAACTGACATCATCAAACTCGTATCTTTTTAAACACTTTACAGGCAGAATAGACCACCAAGTTACTTCTGGAAACAAATTGAGAGATATAGAATCAGCACCAACGAAGATGTTCATCTGCAAATAAAGATGATAACTTTCTATGATGTGTAAAGAGTTTCTACTTTCTACTAATATGTTACAATTAAACTTGACAAATACTGCAGACAAGTTGTCTTGAACATGTATTTATCCTATTCTCTATCAGTAAATTTCTGATTCACATTAAGTCTGCAAAGACAAGTACAAACAAACAGGGTGGCAAAACACTCTAGTACGATCCGTATTCCATACATGCCACAGATCTAGCAACTAGTAGGTAGCAGATATAAGGCACAAATTTAATAAGATAAAAAATTCCAACAAAAAAGCAAAAAAAAAAAAGACATTTATATTTAACCTCCTTTATGAGCCCGCATTTTGAGAATACTTCCACAATCTGCAAGATATTTTAAAAGCCAATGTCATGCCTGAGAAAGAGTCCATCTAAAAAGTTATAAGAAAACCAATCCTGGTAATAGATGAACACAGAGGTTCAATTCTTTCAGCTTGGACTTACTTCAGCAACAGTAATATCATCAGGCAATCCTGTCACATAAACATGAGTATTCACTTTTAGATCAAACCAACTCTCTGGAGGTTTATTAGCTTCCTGCAAAAGATCCAGCCCAGAAGTATCATAACTTTTACGCAAGCATATCTTCAACTAGACTTAGAGTACACAGATAATAAGTAAATAAAGCAAACTATTTACTAGCTATACAACATGAACTCTTCTAACTTGCTGTCCAGGTAAGTGATAGATAAAACATAGCACATTCTGATAAGCAATGGGCAAGATAGTTGATGAACTGCAGGTTCGAACACTCAGTTCAGTATGTAGAAATGAAAGAAATTAACTGTAGAAGAAATAGAAACTACACAAATGAAACAAAGAAGAATTGGAAGTAACCTTCTTTTCAGTTGGCTTATCAGGCAACTTCCTCTTCGTCTCGGGTTTTGACTCCATGCTCTTGGTGGAGGAATCTTTTGCTTCAGAGACTGAGGGCTCCGGAACCTCTGGTGCAAGATATACTTCCTCCTCTTGTGCAAAGGTCATGTCTTCTACTCCATACCCACTTTTTTCACTTAATAAGTTATCCTTGGTGAAAAGATATGGAACAACCATGAATTAATGGAGATGAGAAGGAGTAGGAATCAATTGGTTTAGAAAGACAATGGCACAAATGCAAGAGTAACTCATATAAGTGTTACCAAAATGCAGACAACAAGATGAGAAAATCAAACATGTATATCAAAAACTTACAACATGACGAAACTGTAGAGTTCAAGCACTTACTTGAGGAACCCATTTCCTAAGAGCCCGATCCCACTTATATGTGGATCCATCATCATCAGTAAATTCTTCCTCCCCATCAGGTGGAGTCGTGGGCTGATCATCAGCGCCTAAACCTGCTCCTTCCTGTAGACCCTCTCCCCCTTCAGCAAGGACACTAATCGTAGTGCCATTTTTCAAAGCCTCAGCCGCTGCCTCAGCCTCTTGAACCTCTTTCTGCCATTTTGTAAAGTCATCATCTTCATCTGGCAGATCTGCAAACAGAGTCAGAAAGTGAGATACAGAATCTACAGCACATTGAAGTGAATAATTAGATATCTTGTTCACCTGCAGCAGAACCATCAAGTTTCTTGATGGGCATCCCTGCATATAACTCCCGTATTGAGGATAGTGGCGCCCACTCACTCCTCCCCTCAGACCACAGAACGGTGTTTTCTGAGATATATCCATTTGCAAAATGTTCTGCCACAGTAGATCGTTCAACATGTCAAGCACTTCATAATCCAGAATTCCAATAAAAAATTTGGCAGTTTTCTGTCATAAAACGTATATTTGTAAGACGTGATGCACATTTCCAAACAAATTCACAAAATAAAAGAAGCTCTCAATTGAGCAGAGGGCTTTTTTTTATTTCTTTCTTTCTTTCTTTTATTTATCCGAATTGCCTCTGATTCAACTGGTCGATATGAGTCCTTTTTGCGTCTGCGGTTCCTAATGACTTCAATCCACAACAAAAGAAGCAAACGACGTCAAAGGAATCACCTTGCAACTCCGACAGCGCATAAGGGCCGACATGTTCTTGATTCTCCCCGAGGATATACCAGCCGACTTCCGTGGCTACGGCGTAGCTGGCATCACTGCTGCTTTCCATGACTAGAAATATTCACCGATCAAGAACAAAAGGAAAATAAGAGCCTCGAGTCCCCACAATGCGTCAATTTCAAGAATGTTCACTTCTTCCTATATTTTCTAGAGGGGATGCAGAAAGACGATCACAAAGTGAGAATATGATAGCAGAAATCATTCAAATCGAGAAGAACTATTCAAATGACATAGAGAGTGGAAGAAAAGATGGGAAAGGGAGTACCGATCGAGAGCGCTCTCAGGGCGCGGCGCGGCGGAGGAAGAACGGCGAAACCCTTCTTGAGTGCTCGAAAGACGGGCGAAATGGAGGGGGGAAATCGGGAGAAGTCTGTGGAAATCGCGCAATCGCGAGGGTACTTTGGTAAACTCGGCGTTCTCCTAAACGTGCGTCGCACGTGAAACTACCCGAGCAACCTTAAATCCCTAACCCAAGATGGGCTATCCGACAGTTGCATTAAGATTCGAAAACTAGGGATCAATTAGCTAATCATGATCGTGTGCAAGCATTATTTTGTGTGTGTGTGTATATATATATATATATATATATATATATATATATATGGCAGGAAATGTGAATGTTGCAAGGCTAAAAGGAAGGTCATGCAAATCACATTATACAATATGATTGATTAAAGTTGTTTGACTTGTTGTTATAAGTCAACTCCATCCAATCCCTTTGTTTACATTATGCTTCATGTTTTCATTGCATTAATATTAATTATATAAGGAGGATCTGAAAATTTATTTAAATTCGTAAATAAATTTCCAAGTGGTCTTAACTCGACTAACAAATATATAAAATTCATCCTAAATGGTTGACTATTACGATTAAATTAGAAATCAAATCATCTTTCAAACCATTAATTATATCATTTCAACCATCGATTGTCCTTTTTTGCAACATGTAAGAGAAGAAAATCATGTTATATTCATCATCTGTTTTCGCTATATTATAAGAATTATCTTTCTATAAAATTGCCCATGTACCGGCTCTATTGATGTTTGTAGTGATGATAGGTTTAAGCATCTGAAACATCGAGCAGAAGGAACAAAATGTATGAACAAGTAATAGAAAAAAAAAATATATTAATTAATTAGATTGAGAATTGCATTTGATGTCCTTAGAACATATAAAACCAGCTCGAGTAATTCGAGAAAATGCCAAAACCGAATAAGTTAATTTGCTCTTTTCTTGATCACCAAAATCTCTTTTTATTTATATGATCAATAACGTTTAGAGCTTAAAAACAATCATGGATCAAATCATAGAATATATGTAGGTTCATTCGGTCGATAAAAACATATCATAAAAAAAAAGTCAATAAATCTTATGAAAATTTTGCAAGGTAGAATCATAGGTTCCACTTTCAGTTTGATTTAATTTTACAAACTAAAACTCTAGGTATTGTTATTTAGTTATATTAGTAATGTTATTGAGTTTGAAATTATTTTTAAAATATAAAATATTATTGAGAGAATAAGTCATTGATGTTCTCATAAACTCAATATCATCTGGAACCATATGCGCAGGTTGTGCAAAGTGCCTCTAAGGTGAAAACGTCGAGCTCCCGATGTATCATCTACATAAAAAATTAAGATTGTGAGAGGTTTTTTGACTCAGTACCTCCTACACCCAAGCTAGTAAATCGAGATTTACGAGTATAGATGCGAATGGTCAAAAAAAGATAAGTCTCCTACCCCCTCCCCCCTCTTTCATTGTGTTAGAAATAAGCTTTTTATACCTGATTGTATATGTACAAAATATTCTATGAAATATGCTATGGGAAGGCAACATCTAATCACCTTCAATAACCTTCCCTTAGCCTATTATTCATATGGGAAATAAAGGGAGAAACATATAACCATCTATCTCAGACCCTTACTCACATAGGAAGACAGTCGGAGGATGACTTTTGTCTTCTCCGTCCACCATATATATCACCTGATAATATACATCGGATGACAATTAGCTAATGATATACTCCCTGTCATTTGCACTCTCCCAGGCATGCTTCGGAGCTCTAGTTAGAGGGGTACAAAGAATGGTGTATAAATTCATCCAACATGTTGAGCTCATATCTTTTCAATCCATTGTTGATATGGTGGCATGTTTAGTTTATTCGGCACAAGTTTGTTCGACATGTCTAATCCATCGTAAACCTTGTATCCTCCGAAATGAGTTTGTTCGGCACGTCCATCAGGGATCAACTCCTCAGCTTGCTGGTGGTGATCCATTGCTAACCTACTCCTCGTACCATTGAGGGACACACATTGGTTAGACGAGGTCAAGTTTTCTACCCTCCATACCTTTAGCGGAGGTAAGGGTCGGGTTTTTTGACCTCCGCACCTAGGCCAAAGGCGAGGGTCGGGTTTCCTAACCTTCATGCCTCGACGAAGGTAAGGGTCGAGCTTTCTGACTTTTGTGCCTGGGGTGGAAGCGAGAGTCAGATTTTCGACCTTCGTGCCCCGATAAAGGTGGGAGTTTGGTTTTTTAACCTCTACACCTCAAGCATATTTTGTCTTATACCTTTTGTTATGATGGGTTTCTTCTACCATGGGTCGAGTTATCCAAACTCATGCATCTCAGATATATTTTGTCTTGTGTCTCCCATCGTGATGGGCTTCTTCTAGTGCAAGTTGGGTTTTTCCAACTTATATGTCTTATGCATATTTTGTTTTATGTCTCTCGTCATGATATGTTTTTTCTAACATGGGTTAGATTTTTTCGATTCATGTGTCTTGGACATATTTTTATTTTCTACCTCCTACCATGCTAAGTTTTTTTTTATGCGAATTTGATTTTTTTTACTCACACACCTTGAGCATATTTTATCTTATGCCTTCCATTGGTGAACCAAGTAATGAAATACGCAATCATTTCCTCCTCCCCTTATTTGGGTTTGAGAAGCATTATTGTCGATGGCCTCAGGTATATTCTTGAATAAGTAAAGTTCAAACTCCTACATGAGTTGAGCAAAAGAACTAATAGAAAGTAGTTTTTGGCGGGCATACCATTCTCGTTTTGGGTCTCTTAGCATGGTCGGAAAGGTACAACATATTAGGGCATTTGAAGTGTCATACAATGATATTTGGGTACAAAAAATTATAATATGCTCCAGGTCGACACTATCAACGAATGTCTCCAACAAAGGGAGGTAGAAGTTTGCTTGAATTAATTCTTCTTTGATTTTTTGGGTGAATAGCGACTTACCTAGTCGAATAATACTTCTCCTTTGAATTATTAGAACTCTTATCGTATCTCCTTCAAATGTCGGTCCATCTATCATAGTTGGATTCAAAGGAAATTCTCCATCAAATTTATCCATTGGGTCTCCAATTTAGTTAAGATATAATAGTAATATAATTCATAGAATTTCATGGTTGAGAAGTGAAATGCCCCCTCAACTGATGGTTAGATAGGTCTCGATTGCTCCTAGGATGTCGACACAATATCGGGTGAGAGAACCTCGATGGGTGTTAGTGTCGATGGCGGTTGAGCCGATGATTGTGACTGAGTTGATAGTAATTAACCGAGATGTATTCGTTATCAAATACTAAATATAATATTTTTCATTTTACGTTTTGTACCTCAAAAGATTTGTAAACTATATTTATCAAACTTCTTAACTCTATTATTTCTCTAAAGAATCAAACCAAATTAAGCTTCCAAACTACACAATTCTACACCCACAAACGCCCGAAATTGGCTATAAAAAATTACATCTGATTGGTGGTTTTGTTAATCATTCCTTTAACATACTTAAAGATTGATAGGCTTGATTTAACTAATGTTAGTGGGTTAAAAAGAAATGATAAGAAGTTAAAGCTGAGTTCCCAAGTCATTGGTTAGTACCTATGGATGCATTAAGTTATAAGAATATGATCACATGTCCTTATAATCTAAGTCTCTCTCACACCAAAGTTGGGTGCTATCTATAAAACATAACTAGTAGGTTAGGCAATGCATCAGCCTAGGTTTTGGTTGAAAGGTGAGACTGAATGGTGGGAGAGCACAGCTTGCATGAACACTGCACACTATAATATGGCCCTATGGCATGCAAAATACACAAATGTTAGGCAACCACATGTGCTAAAGTCACATGTGGATCGATTATGGTGTTTCAAATCTCAACTTAATTATGGTCACTGTTCCCGAGTGAAGCTAAACCACAACCTTAAGTGTTCCAACACTGTTTAACTCAGCTATTAATTTCAGCATGCATCTACTGATGTTTATATACTAAAAGCCAAGGAAAAAAAGTCTCTTAGTTGTTGTTGCACTACAAAATTCTCACAAGTTTCGCATTACTTTGCTACAAACTTGTCATGCATCATTTGGATCAAATAATCATGTACATACCTTACTAAATAATCAAAGTGTTTAAGGAAAAGTTAAAAGAAAAGATAAGGGAGAGAAATTAGTGTCCCTCATAGTCCTTTGGACATCCACCACTTGCAGTGTCTCTATCTTGGGGAAGGTGTGAAACACAAAAAGATCATACAAATTATTGTACCCACTGCTAACTGTGCACTGCTATGTGCGATGCTACTGTACGCAACTCAAGAATACAATGATAATATATTTGCCCACAAGTCTTCTTCTGGAAGCAGTCTCTTGACACATTTTTCAGCAAATTCTCACTTGATGATGATGTCTTCTTCCATCAAGCCATCTGAAGCAAACAAGTGAAGCTAAACCACAACCTTTGGTGTTCCAACAGCTCTTGACTCAGCTATTACTTTCATCATTTCAAAGCCAAGAAAATAAACCCTCAGTTGTTATTAGTTTGAACCTCCATACTTTAAACTAAATCGATATTAGTTTGAACCTCTTAATCAAGTGACTCTAATTTTACAAAACTATTCAAGTGTTGTAATTTGGACATCCACTGCTTTGTCTCTACCTTAAAGATGATGTGAAAGCCAAAAAGATCATGCAAATAATTGTACTCTCTACTCACTGTGCACAAGCAATGCTGCGTGTGATGGCACTGTACCCAACTCAAGAATACAGTGATAATATATTGCCAACAGGTTTTGTTCTGGAAGCAGTCTCTCGACACATTTTTCAGCAGATTCCCACTTGATGATGATGATGTCTTCTTCCCTCGAGTCATCTGAAACCTACAAACGTTGACTACAGTTCCCAAGTGTCACCTGCTGAATTAAATACATTCCCATACAGAAAAAGACATGCATATGGTTATTGTATGACTGCAAACAATTCACGAGGTATGAACTCGTGGGGTCGACAGCTTGCTTGTGTTGACTCTTGAACAGCATATGGTGGTTTACGGTTTGTTTATGTTCTTAGCTGAGGAATTCTAATTTATGTTGACTCTTTCTTTTAGAATCCTATTGGATAGATATCATGCATACACGTCCATAAACCCCTTTGTGTGAGTTATGCACAATGCTTTAGGCACTAAAAAATCAAAATATTTTGTTTTGTATTATATTTTATTTTTTTAAGAAAGTATTAAACATGTGTTCCAACAAGTTGACTTGTTGGTTCAACCAGTGACACAATCTAATTCTTATTAACTATGGTTCTAATACATTTTAGTGTAGTTGGGAGGAGGTGTGGATGATAATATTTATATTCTAGTCAAGAAGAAGAAGACATCATACTGTCAATATGAATGTGATGCGTGCGATGGGAAATGACTAAGTCAATAAAAATCGAACCATTTCTCCTACGACATTTTCCTGTCTTATTCTCCTGTCAATATGTTCATCATCGATGCTGACCCACCCTAATCCAACTAGATTGCCATTACGTTGATGCTAACCATTCAGCTAATCTCCATTAGACCATAACTAAACACCTTCTTGCTCTAATCCCTGCATGCTTCCGTGCATCGCAAGTGCTGTTTCTCCTGCTGCCGTCTGATTCATATCATAGTCTCTTGCCTACTGTTTGGTATTTGATTAGGAGGAGTTCTTCGATCCACAAGTGGATCGCATGATAGAGATTACATTAATCTTCGCATTCACAAACTCGGCACGTTTTGTAATGCAATGGTCCCTACGTGGATCCATATTGACCATGTGATGAAGCATTCTTATCGCCGACACTTTTTATTTTAGTGCAGTTGTGGTGCCCGACAGAACGGCTGAACCACCATGGAGAAGTTTCTTGGGTGATGTGTTCTCTCGAAGACCTATAGAACGTGATTGCATGTCATCCCCAAGAAGCCTCCGGGGTGATTCGGTCGTTAGTGTTATTTGCGTATGATAGTGGGGTGCTCCACCCCCCGTCTTCCTTTTTGTATTGACAAGCTCCGCTTGAGCTCTGCCTATATATGCTGTTCTCCTTCCTCTCCTTGCCCGACGCATCTCGCGAGCTGTGCCATCATCCGGCGACGTTTTCACCGCGATCATGGATATGGACCTCAAGGGCTCCGCGATCTGTCCCTCTACCACCAGGTGAAGTTTCATGGGCGACCGTTTGCGGCTTGTAAATCTTTGCCTGTACCGTGCGTCATTCTTGTTGCGGGTGCTGTGCAGGTGGTGGTCGAAGGAGACGGTGGCCGTCGTCACCGGCGCCAACAAGGGAATCGGATTCGCGCTCGTCAAGAGGTTAGCGGAGCTGGGGCTCACGGTGGTGCTCACTTCGAGGGACGTCGGCAAGGGGAAGGCGGCGGTGGAGTCCCTCGACGGCCAGGGAATTCATGTGGCGTTCTGCCACTTGGATGTGGCGGTGCCCTCGTCGATCGTCACCTTCGCGGCCTGGCTGGAGCGGAGATTTGGAGGACTGGACATTCTTGTCAGTAAAGCTTGTAATCCTTGTCTTCTCCCTCTTCTCCTTCGCACGAATTAGATCTGATGAACTGGCGGCGCCTCTTGATGTGTAGATTAACAACGCTGCCGTCTCATTTAATGAGATCGACACCAACTCCGTGGAGCACGCAGAAACTGTCATCCGTACCAACTTCTACGGCTCCAAGATGCTGATAGAGTCACTGCTGCCCCTGTTCCGGAGATCCATCGCCACCAGCAGCCGCATACTGAACATTAGTTCTCAGCTCGGCCTTCTAAATGTAAGTCAAAGATGCTGCCTTTTCGACCGGAACAGATGTACCTCTGATCACAGTGATATCACTGACTGATGATTTAACCTAACATTCTACACCCAACATATCTTCCACGATGCAAAGCCTGCAGAAACACCATGTCCCAAACTTAGTCTGCATCTCTCTCTCTCTCTCTCTCTCTCTCTCTCTCTCTCTCTCTCTCTCTCTTTATTAGTCACTTCCTACATTGCCTTTTCACTCTCGAAAAGTGATGATAGGAGCATCAGTAGCTTCATGAGTGCTTGGTGCATGCCGAAGGGTTCGGTCTTCTCCATTTATTCTACTGCAGCAGGCCGTGAACCAAAGCCATGTATCTCTCTGTGCACTGCAGAAGGTGAGGAACCCAGCTCTGAAGGAACTGCTTCAGGACGAGGAGATTCTAACAGTCGCGGCGGTGGAACGCATGGTGTCGCAGTTCCTCCACCACGTAAAGATGGGGACATGGCGAGAAGAAGGGTGGCCAACGGTGTGGACGGACTACTCCGTCTCCAAGCTCGCCCTCAATGCGTACTCCAGGCTACTGGCGAAGCAGCAGGAAGGGCGGGGGCTGAGCGTGAACTGCTTCTGCCCGGGCTTCACCAGGACTTCCATGACTCGGGGGAGAGGCAGCCGGTCACCGGAGGAGGCCGCCGAGGTTGGCGCCAAGCTCGCCTTGCTCCCTCCCCACCAACTACCCACCGGGAAGTTCTTCAAGTGGTGCACCCCTTCCTTGTACTCGAAGCTGTAGATGTAATGCGTGTGATGACATTCGAGAAAGCTTTAGATAGTGACTTTACTGGTCATTAGAAGTGGCGATAGTGATCTCAGGTCAAAGCTATCGGATGAGAACGAGGAACAAAGCATGCATGCATTTACTGTTTGTTCTTCCCCCTGAGCATGATCTACCACCAATGCGGATCCCATGAAATCTTCCTGATCACCTTCTTTAATGCATCATAGGTAATAAATATCTCGGACGATAGGCATGCAGGGAGAAAACAAGTGGAAAAGGGAGGGACTGAGAACGTGATGGACGTCGTGTTCAAGATGAACAGCCAAGAATTCACATGAGGATGACATTGTTTTATGTGCGAGCCGCTCATGATATAATAATAATTGAGATAGAAGCCGGTCAAATTGACACAATAATTGTGATTTTTTTATATGTCTTGCATATTTTACATCAAGATAATTATAAATGGTTGGTCAAAGGAACAATTAAATGAGAGATTTCGGATTGCTATTATTGTTATAGATTTAATCTACTATAGGCTTCAACATGGCTAGTCAAATTATGAGTTTGGTCAACTCAGACCCGTCCTGCTGACTTATTTCAGTCATTCGATTGACTAAATATTTTTAGCTCTAATTTATGTATTAAATAAATGAAGTAAATATGCAAGTTATTTACTTGGGCGCCCAGTCAGGTGGCCACCTTCGATTGGGCTCGGGCCAGATCGCTAGGCTGGGCCCAACCTATCCACTGGATCTGGTTCGATCGAACCAGATCAACGAATGTTCACACACGTACCCCGAACCAACCCGAACACACGCACGCACGCACGCAACGACGCAACCTTCGGAAACCTAATCGGGCGAACGGCGACTCTTCCTCTGCATCGGCGAACGACGACGTCTTCCTCCAGCGGACTCGTCGTCGGTATGTATATTTCTCTCTCTCTCTCTCTCTCTCTCTCTCTCCTCCTCCTCCTCCGTCGTCGTCGCCCACGCCGCCGCAGTTTCCCCGACTGCCTCCTTCTCCTCTCTGATAGCTCCCCTCCCTCCTCCCTCTGCCCTTCCCAACCGACAACAACCCACAGCCACCCAACTGACAGCAACTCAACCGACAACAATCAGACAGCTACCCCATTGGACAGCAACACTCTCCCGTACCTCCTCCTCCCAGGCCTTCTCCTCGGATCCTTCATCCTTGCTCCCCTCCCAACTGACAGCAACCCCCTCTCCATCCCCCTCCTCCTTCTATGTTAATTTGAACAGTGTCATTCGGACCTTTAAATGAATAATTTGTTATTTTTTTGTTTTAGAGATTATATCTATTAACGATGATATATATTTTTTAAATTTTAATATTTGAGAGCATCTTACTTTGCTAGGGCGCTTTGGCACCTTGGGACCTTTAGTGCCTCTTGCCTTTGACACCTTTGGCACCTTGGGACACTTTGATCCAGTTTAGATGTTCATCCACAAATGGAAAGTTGATTCATTGGGTGTTCTGCACTCGTTTTCTACTGCTTGTAGGGGTAACTTGTTATGAAAGGATAATTAAATCAAAATGTTTAGTTGCACTCTAATACAATTCACTGGGGTAACTTGAGTTATCGATTTTGGTGCAATTTGTTTAGTTGTTTGGGGAGGATGATGCCGATTTCTAACAGTCTGATACTTGAATAATTTTAATAAGGTTAGTCCGTCCTCCACCTTTTAATCAAGAGGTATCTAGCAACCACAAAATTAAACTAGTTGATATCAAGATTGCATATCCAAGCCTTCATTTGAAGAGCACATAGAGAATGATTTTAGGCAGTCAGAGAATTTATTCTATAAGACAGCACTTGGTAGGATATGCTAATGTTCTCATTTAAATGACAAAAATATATGTTAATCTAGCATGTTTGTTTGCAAAGTTAAGAAAGAGGAGATTCTTATAAATTGGTGGAGGATAGAGATTGGAATTGCTTGTCATTCTTTTATGAAAATAAAGCGAGGTTGGTTTGCTTGTCTCTGCATGATATCGACAAGAAAGGTTCCTACTGTATGTTACTGTGCTAGCTGCTAACTGGTATTGTTTAGGGTATGCCGTGATCTATTAGGACCTTAAGCATGTATGTTTGCTTTCTTTGCTGCAGGGAAATATTATAGGTTTCGCTAAGGATTTTTTGTTTGTTGAAGAAAGAAAAGAGGTACTTCGTTGAAACCAATTTGAGTCCAAGAAATATCAACCCAATCATGCTCCAATCTAGGTTCATCTTGACAGTGCCTGATCATATTTTATGTTATTGCCTATGTTTATTGCATATATTACTATTAGAACCTTACATTGCCTACGTTTATGACATATATTACCATTGGAATATGAGGGGGACTGGAAAACAATAGGGAAAATTGCACGTCACTTTCATCAGGCATCAACTTACATCATCCCATGATATAACTTATAATCAGAAAGATTATTGATCATGTGTGACATTATTCATGGATTTTATTAGGCTGGATTTAGAGAGTGCAGATCAATTTATGGGACATGAACATAAGAAGGATTTCAATCTGAATCATATAAGAAGATATTAGATTTATAAGGTGTTCGTATTTGACAACTATCAGCTGATTGAGTATCAGATTTTAGCACTGACAGTGACTTGTAATTAATATTCCTATTAATCATACATGACAAAAAGCGAAGCTCTTGGCGTTCTGATAGGCACAAATTAGGGTACACCTTTAGAACATGCGACTGTTGACAGCATCTCTCTTAATCCATCCATGATTGTTGTGTCTTTCTCTTCCCCTTCATTCCGCCCTGTATTCCTTCTTCAACCTTCAATGCTTTTTAGTCCTATTCAATTGTTTTGGTTCACTGCTAAAGTTTAGTAACTGGCTCATAATCCATTTGTTATATTGCCACTGAAAATTTGATTTCATTTTGCTGCATATGACAAGGCAAGAAAATGCTTCCCATATAACAACTTTGGTGCTTATATACTGTCAGCTGATTTCCCTATCTTAACTGATGATATGGCTGTTCTAATATGTGTAATAGTGCTTATGCTGTTAAATACTTGTCATGAAAGTACAAAGGTCTTTTTTTTAATCTTATGCTTAGATTCTGTTGGGAACACTCGTTATTAGCAAGACAGTACATAATTTGTATCTTTTTTTCCAATTTCAGTGTCTTGAAATTGATTTATGTAACCTTTGATTGCTGTGTCGAAATTTACTTGTTCTTAAATGCCTATATTAGAAACATTCTTTGCTAGCATTCCGTCATCATGTAATGCAGGTTCTTGCATTGTTGATGAATAATTACTGGTGCTTTTCGATATTCATATTTCCATCTTGTGACCGATTGCCTATATTTGAATCTTCATTCTTGATAGCAAGACTTGCCACAATGAAAGGATTCAGCAGTCTCGCACCAAAGACCAAGAACCTGATTGTTGCAGGTGGATTATCAGGCTTTGTGCTCGGTGTTTACTACTACACAATGAGGGCGGTTGGCGGCACGGATGAGCTGCAGGTAGCAATAGACAAGTTTGAGCAAATGAAGAACAAATGAAGACGCTGTTAATTTCTAGAAAGACAGATCTGATGGTATGTCCGGGAGGATCCCCAACGAGAACACATCTCATCTTGTAATAAAATTGGTATTATGTATAAGCTTTCTGACATCATGCCATGATTTTCTGAGGATAGTTTTGTTTCTTTTTGTTCAAATTTACTGTTTGACACTGTAATCTGCTTCCAATCATGTGAAATACTCTTTTTAACTCGTCTCTGTGTTCTCATATTTTATTGGTAAATTAGATGTTTGACATCCACGCATAATGCATTCATGTTGATCTATATACATCGTGATTTCTATTCACTTTTTTTTGTTATATAGGATCTTACCATCTTTCTGCGAGTACGTCCAGAATAAATGTTAGGAAGGTTTGTATTTCACTGAAATCGAGTCTAGAATTTGAAGATTGTTTCGAAAATAAAAAACAAACAAATTTTAAAAATACTAAGTAGGAACTCATATTCCGGAGATGAAAATGTTTCTAATAATGGATGGAGATAAATCGCACTACGGATAGAGGAATCAACGTACTGTAGAGGGAATGGGAAACGAAATAAAATAATACATTAAAATATTTTTTTTCAAATATTATTAATATTAAATAATATCAATTAATCCTCGATTAACTTGCAATCGATCCAATTGAACTCGATTTAACTAAAACTAGTTGAATTGATTTCTAATCTTTATTTAATCAGTCTGTAATCATCCTAAACTAATATAATTTAGATTAGATTGAATTCAATTTAGGTAAAACAGATTTAAAGAAGACAAACAAATTTGATTTAATTCAACTAATTTTTGAATCTAATTTTAACAAAATAATGATAATAAGTTAAATGGTATAATATTGGGTTAGGTTTGACAAACCTGCTAGTTATGTGCATTATACTATATGTACCACACCGATCAATTCATAGCTCACGGGCTGGTCATGTGCGTTGTACGTGACTGTTCATATTAGGTTGGGCTAAGTTAACCTATGGGCTAGATCCTGAACTACGTGTTAGGCTTAGCTTATTAGTTGAGCCTGGTCTATTGATCAGAGTAGCTTGTGGGCTGATTTTGAATATTTATTAATAATTATTTTAATATAAATTATTAAAACATAATAAACAATAACATATTAAAAAGATAAGATGAGAAAATAACATTCTAAATCAAGTATTGTATAAATTTAATAAAAATCAATATATTGCATTTAAGATAAAAATTTTAGAAATATAGATGAATAATTTCAACATATTCCAATTCAAAAATAAATTTCTAAACATAAAAAGGGATAAAATAAGATTTTAAAAACTTCATATACATGTTTTAATCTAACAATAAAATTTTGACATTTAAAGGAATAAAAATATTTAGAACTATATATAATATATTTTAATATAAAAATAAAAAAATAAATATTTAAAGGAATAAAAAAATATTTTAAAGAAAGATAAGAAAACCTATCTCTCGCACTTCAATTTTTTTTAAAATTTTATATTTTTTAATAATTATTTTTATTTAATTTACTAACAAAAATAGACTACCCGAATAGTTATTTCTTGAATCTCATTAGCAAACAAGCAAATAAATATCATACTCAATTTAAAGATTTGATTTCAAATGTATAAATATATACATGTGTGTGCTTATGATGTATTCTTGTGGTTTGTATTAAGACACAACGCATCAAAGAAACTAGTAACAGATGTGATATAAATAAATAGACTTTTCAATTCAACTAATTACGATGATTAAAAATAATAATTTCTGAAATGTGTCATTTATCCGTTACCATTCTTACAATGTCAACATAATATTTTTTCTCTCTCTTTTAACTCATCCCAAATCCAATTTTAGAAAAAAATTAAGTTCAAACCAAACATTTAAAAATAAACACCTCCCATTCCATCTTAACTTGCCAAAATCCAATTAAGAGATTTCTTAATTTTTTTGAAACCCAATTATAAAAAAATACTTTAATCCTAAACAGATATAAAAGTAAAAAAAAAAATACATTCCCTCCATATAAAAGCTTCTCTCGTTATTATTATTATTATTATTATAGGCCATCCCTTTTTTAAATTTTCTACATGGTGTCCTATTTTTTATTTTAGAAAATATCAGTGTATTATTTCTTTTTATTTTTTCCACGTGGAAAAGAAAAGGAAAGAAATGAGAAGCTTTTCTCATGAATTTGTCCGATAAAAAAATTGGTTGTAGGTTAATTTTAAATTGTTTATTATGAAAAATCTGTAGCCGTCGGAAGTGAGTACTCTATTTGGACGGTCGTGATCCCATCTTAATGGTCGTGTGGCAACCATCCAATCGTGAGACGTTGACGAGATATAATAACCTCTCCTTTGACCAAAAGAACAGGAAAACAACAACATTTCCCCTTCCGAGCGCTTCGCCGCTCTCCCTCTCCTCCCCTTTCTTATTCCCTCGTGAAGCTCCATGTCTCCATGCCTTGATGGATTTTTCGTGAAGGTTTCGTCGTCAGAATCCGATTTTGGTGGCTGACGATGTCCCAGGCGGACGTGGTTTACAGGTATTGCTCTGATTGCAGCGTTTCCTTCGATCGGTGTATCATGGAACAGGGAAGGTTTTCCTTTTGGGATCTGCTTTTTCTTGTGATAGAAATCGAGTTTGGCGTGACCGGAACCTCTCTTGGATCCGCTTTGTGTTTTTATGGCTTTCTGGAACTTCTCTATGTTCATTGGCCTTTGCGTGTGGGATTTAGGGCTTCTGTTGAAATTTTTCTTTGAGGGCTGTTTGTTCTTTTCGGCCGATTTATTCTTGGTTCGATTTGCATGTGGAGTTAACAACCGAATTGGTTGATTTAGTGATTGATTATGCATTCGACGTAGAATGCGAATGTCTTGAGTTCTTTTACATAGATGGATAGATGATGAGAGGAAGAAAATGTGCATATTAGAAATTGCAGCGCTCATTTCATTGACGATAATTGGTATTCTGATTGGTGTTTCACAACGACTGTTGACTTTATTGGAGTGTAAATTTCATTCGGGCTGTTGCTTGAAGTGCAAACCAGTGCCTTAACCGAAGGGCATGTTCTTAGATCTACATGTTGGGCAAATGGAGGAACGCATGCGTCTAGCTTAATGACATTTAAAAGTGTTTCTACTATTTTCAGATTATATATATATATATATATATATATATATATATATATATATATATATATATATATATATATATATATATATTATGACGAATTGTTTCAGTGTTGTTTTTCTATCGACGATATTGATGGGAGCTTTGTAAATTTTTTTTGTTAGATCACAACATAAAAGGATAATTTTCAGACCAACATATATTTTGAAGGCTTTATGATAATGTCATTATGCTGGTACTTTGTTGAGTTGATGCTAACATCATCACATGATGACATTGGTAATCATTGTTCACGATCCTTAATTACTTAATTTTAGTTGAATGAATTTTGGAAGCTTTAAAAGGATCCTATGATATTTTAAGAAGCGACAGAGCATGGGATATAACTTAACAGCAGTTGGTACTGTGGATGCAATTTCAATATTATTTCTTGGTCAACCTACTGTAGAATTGAACACTGTTGTATGTTGCTCTTATCTTTCATGTTTTGAGCTACTAAGTATGTGTCAATAATAATTTTCATGCAGTTGCAGCTCTTGTGGGTATCCTTTGAATTTAAGTTCTTCTAATCAAGTCACATCTGGGATTCGATCTGATTGTCAAAAATCTAGCAAAAAAGGAGTCATTTCTTTTGTTTCTGTTGATCTTAGTCGTTTCACTCAAGTGGATGAGGTGAGTTGTCTTCCTATCATTTGCGGACGTTATCGATCAAAAACCAAACTTCTCTGCCGCAAATGTGGACTCCTAATTGGCCATGGATACAGTGAATCAGCTCTTCTTTGTGGCTTTGAGCCTGCTAGCTCAACCTCTCAAAAGTATTCAATAAAAACACGTGCTCTACAATCTTTGGAACAGAACTAGTTCATCTGTTGCTCATGTTATAAATAAACCAAAAATGGATGGTCAATTTGAGAGGGTTAATTTGTACCTGCCCGATGATTGTCTGTTAATGATCTTTCAGAAGCTGCAGAACAGAGCAGACCGTAATGCATTTGGCTTGACATGTCATCGTTGGCTCCAGATTCAAAACATTGCTCAGCGATCATTGGCTCTTCAGTTCTCATATGACCCAAATATATACAGGAACTATGTTATTTATCTTCCAAGGCTTTTGACTCGTTTTCCACATCTCAGCTCAATATCTCTAGCAGGGTGCACAGAGCTGCCTGATTCAGCCTTACTAAGGTTACGAGATTTTGGGTCAAACATTAGGTACCTGTCATTATATTGTTGTTTTGGCATCTCTGAACATGGTCTTGCTCATGTCTCTACAGGATGCCCCCATTTGGTATCTATTACTCTTTACCGTTGTAATATTACAGATATTGGGTTGAGAATACTTGCCAAACATTGCAAAGTTTTGGAGAATATAGATCTATCTTATTGCATGCAAATCTCTGATCGAGGGATCAATGCACTCTCGAGTGAATGCACTAAACTCCATTGTCTGGTGATATCATACTGCAAGGCTGTAAGAGGCATTGGTTTTGCAGGATGTTCATCAACTTTAACTTATTTAGAAGCTGACTCATGTATGCTTACACCAGAGGGATTGTCAGAAGCTGTTAGTGGTGGTGGGCTTGAGTACCTGAACATCTCTAATCCACGAATTTGTGTAGGTGCCGATGGCTTGGCTATGATTGGTGCTGGATCTGCCACAAAGCTTCGGTACTTAAATCTACGGATGTGTCGGTTCGTTAGTGATGACTCAGTGATAGCCATAGCACAAGGATGCCCATTGCTTGAGGAATGGAGTCTTTCTGTTTGCCATGAGGTACGCAATGATGGATGGTCCACAATTGGGTCAAGTTGTAGAAATTTAAAAATCTTGCATGTCGATCGATGCCGAAATCTGTGTGACCAAGGGTTGCATGCTTTGGGAGGTTGTGTCCGTCTCACAGTGTTGTATATGCATGGTTGTCATCGTGTCAGTTACACGGGATTGGAGACATTCAAGATGCTGAGGCAAGATGTGCAGATAAGAAGAGAGGGATGTGTTTCGGTTGGGCCTCCCATCAATAAATTTTTTGCTTATTAAGGTGGCATGCTGGGACTCTTTAGAATCTAGGGAGCATGCATATTTTTACCTTCTACTTGCATGAAATGATGCTGAACTTCCTGATAAGTTTGATTGAACAGGTATATATGCTAATGAATGAGGTCCTAAATCGAAATTATTAATAAAATGGTACTGAATATGAGCCCATTCATAATTCCAATTTGAATGCAAAGTTGATTTGATATATTATCGTTTTGAATATTCCATTCCACAAGTCATGAGCAATTCCACGATTTTATTCATCATCTGCTGTTTTGCTGAGCTCCAGTAATGCTGCCACTGTAATGCATTTAACATATTCTGCACAGACTATATAAACCATCCAACTGCAATCATGCTTTTACCGAGAGTTATTTTCTAGCATCTTTGATTTTGTTTACCGCACATCATTAGAGTGCAGCTGTACAAATTTATTGCTTTAGATCATGCAAAAACATTGGCAATATGATGTTGAATTGGTTGATTGTCACATGATGGATGGTGGGTTTTGGCTAATGGTCATGGAGCTAGCTTGATTCTTAGCTGGCAATAACATCAAATACCCTATTATGTCTGGCAATAGTTACTTCTTTCTTACATCTGCATTTGCCACATAATTTCCTTTTGTGGTTAGTTTAGCCAGTTGGTGTCCAGTGATATTTGAGGAATTTAGAGAATTTGTTCTTAAAACATCATTTAATTAGCTGATTTTTTGAACATCTGCAATTTGAGAATTGTATCTCCTGATTTCAACTGCAAGGTTACACCAGGTTTGTTCAGGAGCTAGTTACATGGAGAAACTATCCAAGTAGAACTGCTCAAAGGGAAGCATTTTTTGTTGATTAGGTATTGTAGATTGATGATGATCTGAGTGGCTTGAGTATGGTCTATCTGGACAAAAAAAATAAGGGAAGTAACTTGTTTAAATTCAGATTATTGGCTTTAATGTGTTCCACTATTAGCCTGCATAATGCATGATTATTCATTAAACCTAAATGAAGAAAATTATCATTTTAAGCCTTGCATGAGCCAACATTCTCAGGGAAACTCTTAGGCAAATAAATCAATTGAAAATTTTGAAATTGATATTTGTTTATAAAAGCTAAAATAGGCTTTTGGATAAAAGAAGGCAGAATTATGAAAATAAATAAATTTAACCTATCCTTTGTGTGCATCAACAAGAGATGTATAGGCAAGAAAATCAGAAAATTGGAACAAGTTTGACACTTTTTCTTTTTCACTCACATGGATATTGAAAAAATAAGGCAATTTACTGTAAGCTAAATTTTATAACAATTTCACTGATTTTTTTTTTAAATTATAATATATTTTCTTCTGCCATATTTGTATATTAACAACTTCATATGTTCTCTAGTGCTTTATAGAAACTAAAGAAACTGGTGCTTTGTAGAAACTAAAGAAAACATGCACTTACTTTAGCAGGACTTTCCAGACACCTTTATCTTGACAATTTTCACATTAACCTCCTTTTTCTGTGCTATCTTTTCAGCAACTCTGTTGTTACACTTCAAGTTAAAGATGTGGTAGGTGGAGGGCCTATCAAATCTTCCTTAGATATTGCTTTTATGTAGTGTTGTTGGAAAATAGTAACATCTCTGGTTACTGCAGTATAGTTGTGTCTAGTTTGTACCATTTTGATTCATTGAGTTAACAGTGAATGCTATCAAACAAGATCGACCCTAATAAAATGATCTGTTGGATTATGTACAAAGTATTTTTCATTGATGTAGTTTGAATCTCATCATAGTTAATCATTGTGAAATAATGATGTGTTCTTTGGGAGTATGTTCTTTCTTTTCCTTGTCAACTTCTGACTGTGACTAAAGTGAGGCCTAGTGACATGATGGTGAGTGAGTGTACATGATCCCTAGTGCCAATGTACCCTTGGAGCTTTATTGCAGATCTTAAGAATGCTCTCTCTCCCTCTCACTCACACACTGACACAGTATCCTTGACTTGAATCTAGCATCATAGTGTATGTTTGCATAGAGAGGATCCTGTAGGAACAGCATAGGATATTGCATTTAGCTTTTGTTCTAGTCAACAATTCTCTACATGAAGTTAATCAGATTCCTCTAGTAACTATATTTTCTTCATCTTCTTCAGCTGGAGAGGGATTAAATTTACTCCTTACTGTCAAGAATAACCATGTCTATTAGATGTTTATTGTACTCAAAATCTCCTCATGACTGTACACACTATGCTTTAACTAACCATTAGAATGTCCCCTCAGATTTGGGAGAATGATCATTGAACAATCAAGGGTTATTAACCACATTTCTAGTCATGGTAGTCTTCACCAATTTGGTAATCTTTTATTATGACCCCCCAAGAAATAAGGATATTAGGTTAAAACTCACTTGAACTTATTTACCATGAGTAGGATTTGGACCTGAACTGCTGACCAATCTATGCATCTCAGATGTGTTAATCATACTTGTATGTAGGAACCAATTTGCATAGTTTGTAATGTTACAAATAACAATAGTACAAGTTTTTCTATTTTCCAATAGTGTATACACTGGATCATGAAGTCAAACTTGGTTTTGTCCTCAAGTGAATACAGCTACCCCATTTTAGGCTTGTCAGCAACCTAAACCAGAGAATCTATCTGGGTCCTACACCCCAAGTTAGGGACCTTAAATGGAATTATATTTGTATGAGCAAAAGAAACTGACCCACAAGGAATGATAGATGTTGAAAACAGGTGCTGTCCTTAACAAAGAAAAGAAAAGGTGCCAATCTTTCATCTATCACTCCATTCTTCTTTATCTCCATCATTTTATCAACTTTTCTCCTTGCAGTCAGATTCATTCTTGTAAAGTGATGGAAAATAGAAAGAAGAGAAGCTAAACATCATTCATCTTTTGCCAAAAAGGCATTTGATTTCTCTAAGATTCAATTCATATGTCCTGATTGATCCTTACTAACTATAAGAGAGTCATCTGGTATAGTTTGGTAAGGATGTTATTTATCAATTCCACAGTCTATTGATTTTTATGGATACTTGAAGCTGATAAATCTGACAATAAATCTAGTATAAGGCTTGTACCATTTGGTACAAGGCATATACCACCTGTTACCAAATGATACAAACTTTATACTAGACATTCTTTTGTCTCTTCAATTTATTGTGTTGACGTATCAACACTCGATACACTGGTACAGATCGATATGGTACATACAATTGCTAACCTTAGAATTATGAAGTGGTAACATACAATCTCAATCATTCCCCAAACACAAAGTATGAAGAAGAAATGAAGATCCAAATGAGGAGTTTGCATACAAGCCATTGAGAGGCAGAGAACAGCAATGCAAGTATCACTACTTGTTACAACACCCCTGTAACATGTAATAAGAGCTATTCTTTTCCAGCCATTACCATCCTACTGAGAGGACTGGGTCCAATCTGTCTCCTCCTCATGGTACTCCTCTTCCTGATGAACTCCATTTGGTTCCTCCTCTTCAGCTGCATCATGGCTTCCTCTTCCACCACAAACCTTCTCATCATCATGTCATCTGTCAATGACTTCCCCCTGAACACTCTCCGGCCTTCACCGGATGTTCTCATGCTTGTGACACTCCTCTCTGGTGGTGCCGCGAAAGGCTTTGATCTCGAATAGCTGTAGCTTCTTCGCGGCAAGACTTCAGCTTGCAACACCTCATTGTAGGAAGAGATTGGAGCACAAAGACAGACTCGAGTGAGCGAAGAAGCCGCCTTCAGAGAGGTGCATTTTCTGAGCCTTGATTTGTTGGAGTTGGCTGTAATCCCTTCAGACTTTGCTGCTGTAGGTTTTACTACGGATTTCCATAGAATTATGACCTCCATCACTCTGCCACACCATGATTTCCTGGAAAGTGAGAAGCCATCGATCAAGATCTTCAAGTATCATGAATAGTTTGAAGGTCAGTATAATTCTAGTGCTGTCACTCAGGTTCAGAGACTATATGATGCAAAACATGCATGCAGGAAAGGAGAGGTAAAGAGTGCAGATTCTTGCTTGCCTTTTTTGTGGGTGCTTCTGCCTTTGCATCAATAGTGAGTGGAGAAACATGGGAGAGTTGGGAGGATGAGAGCTTGGAGTTGATCTGTGAACAGAGTGGTGCAATTTGTGCTGCACTTAAACAGATTCTAGAATGGCAATGTGGTCCTTTTCCTTCTTCCTTTCTTTATTGTAGGATGACTGTTCTTGGTTTGGCAGGCCTCCTTAGAATGTGGTAGAAAGAACTATTAGAGGAACAAATATGAACTGCAGAGGAAACAGATGGAGGGTCCTTCACTGTCACAAGGACTACCTGAGCTCCTCAATCTTGTGCAATGATTAGTTTATCTAGTTAGGGTCAAATCTAATGACCCTAAATCATGATTTTGTTGGTGCAACCACAAACACAAAATGATTAAATGGCAGTTTTAAATCATAACCCTGGCCCATCTCAAAAGTGTTCTTGGCTGTCCTTCACTGGAGTTGAAAGGCTCCAATTATGACTCCTTTCTAACTACAATGGGGTTAAGGTTACTGTGTTTCCTACTAACACTTGAAATGCACAGCATTACCAATACAAGAAGAGATGAGGTGCACCATAAAGTCTTTAGAGTGGGTGGCATCAGGATTTATCTTTTGGTAACCTGAAGCCTCTGAGATTGAGAAGAAGTGGAAAAAGAGAACATGATCACTACTGAACATGAATGCACTTTAATAATAATATCAACAGCAGGATACTACAGAAGCTGACAAGAATTGTAGTGACAACTTGAAAAGATTTTGGATGACAAAGTTAATAATTGCTAATCCACATATGGAGAGATTGCTGATGATATAACTCATTAAAACCAGCAAACACCAACTGTATAAGATATTGAACCATAATACGGAAACAGTTTCCAGAAGAAAATAAGAGAAAACTTATTTGCATACATCGGAGGTGCATTCAAGTACTTCCTCGAATTATCACATTCAAGAGGTATGACCCTATCTTAAATCAATAATATTAAATTTTCATCAACAATCTAATCCAGGATCCAAACTAACATTTGAGGACGCTAAGAAACATTCGAGTCAAAATTCACATCCGCATAAAACCAATACAGTTTATAATCATACATCACATCATTCAAACTTTATGAAAACCCAAGCCAATTAACAAAACGTTAACCACACTTATAAATCCACAAGCATAAAAATTTATACAATCAAAAACTCCAACCATTTACTATGAATTCATATAATCGTAAACTAAACATAACATTCCAAAATTTTCAAACGAGAGAGATCTTTTAAAATTTTTACACGATATATCAATTCAAATTTGTCGACAACATTTTATTACATATAAATTGCACTTATACAACAATAACGTAACAGCCCACAAGGACTTGCCCACAATCTGAAGGGTTAACCGCTGCAGCAAAATATAGGATACTATATAGAAGAAAGCTCCTCCGCACCTTTACTAACTGAATCATTCATATCCATTTTACATTTAGAATATGTAAACATGGTAATACGAGAGACATACTGGCATCCCTTAAGATAAGATTCCTATGTTGATTACCCACAACCAAAATGATATAGCCTAACCAATTCACAGACTAATGAGGCATCAGTTAACTCTCCTCTTCAAGGCTTCATGGGCCTTAGGCAGTTACTACTGGCCGAGCTGCCGATGTTACAAGGGACATCTCGGACTTGAAGCTTCACCGTCTTCGATCCAATATTATTTGGTACATTGATGCACTCCTGCAGATCAGAGTCATTCACCAACAGAACCCACTCTTCATCATTGTCCATATGCTCGAGCTGGAATGTTCCTGCCAGCAGTTTGAATCTCCTTTCAATTTCCTCAAACAGGTGGTGGCTACCCATGGACAGCAAGAACTTGAATCGAACAGTGTCACCATTGTATGTAGCCTTCACTGTAATCAATGGGCCTATTTGGGAGATCAATGCCTTGCTTTTCTCAAAACTAGGGTGATTCAATGCACGGCCGTTAGATGAATCTGTCATACCGGAAGAAGGATGACTGTGTTCTATGATTCCATCATTACACTCTACTTCCATTGCCATTTGATGCAATGCTACAAAACTAAAGTTTCTTGACATAATCTGACATTCATTGGTCATGAAACTTAAGCCATCTTTGCTACCTTGACAGACTGCTTCTTTTGAATTATATGAACTGTCTGAAGCATCTTTTGAATACGATGGCCAGCTCAACGCACCTTGCATGTTAGCATATGGTAACAGACCTCCATCAGAAGTAAAGTCTCTATGACAGTCATTCGAAGGGATACCAAGTTTATTTGTTTCACATTTTAACATGGTCCCCCTTAGGTTTCTGCCATGGAAAAAACAATCTTGCTCCACCTTCCCAATGGAGTGATTTGTTTCGCTGTCGTGTGAAGAAGAAGCAGGCATAAGATCTTGACCTTTTGGCTCTGAGGATATCAATGGTGGGTTTTCTGGCGGGGAGACGGATGCAACAAGGCACCTAGTAGAAGGATCATATTTTAGTGCTCCATCAACTCCTTGTACAGACCTTATCACTTTCTGGATCTTTTGCAGTGAGCGATTGACCTTTTTTATTTTGCGGGATGGCCATCTCAAAATTCCATATTGTCTGCATGCCCTTTTCAATGTTGTCGGACAAACTGCCACAGTTATCACATGTTCAAAGAAATGATCTCCAAGTGAAGAGTTTAAGATCTATAAACTACTGTTTCCAGGTAAAACAACTTTAAGATTACATTATAAAGGAGAACAATACCATTTTTATGTGTCATAATCGTGAAGCCAAGGAACTTCTTTTAGAAAATAATATCCAAGTTCTAAGGTACAGAAAGAAAGCTCACCACCAATACTGTTTGCAGCATCCTTCAGACTTCCAGAAAAATAACGCTGAAGAACACTGAAGCTAATATTCTTCTCAGCTGTGCTGCGTTTTTTCTCCATATGTTTCATTGAGATGGACTTTAACTGGAAAATAGAAAAGAAATGTAGAATTGGACCATATAGAACAAACAACTTTAATTTGAATAATAATAAGTACCAGTGCAACAAAGTGAATAAGCAAGATTCCATTAGTGTTCTTATTGAGATACTAAAAACACCAAGCATATCCATCAAGGTAACATACATAATATCTGGTTGATATAAACCATTAGCTCAACCTGCAGACTGAACTTTATTTATTATTATTAACCTTTTAGCAGACTGGCTTACTTACTAAGTAGTACGTACTGCACCATTGAGCACCTTACAAAGAGAGTACTCGAATCTTGGCAATCAATCAAGATGATGAAACTGACAATTCAAGTTCCAAAGCAACTATCTTCAAAGCATGACACAAAACAAAGGTCAAAGCTAAGACAAGCACCTGCTCATGATGAGCACCTGCACTTTGTTCATTAGACTCCATATTCTGAACACCAAAATGCATTTCAGCAGTTGTTTCACTGTTGCCGTCCATCAATTGAGAGGATTTCATTGAGAAGGCAGTTGATGAGGAACCTAAGGATGCTTCGTTATGATTGCCTACTCTCATGATCTCCGACCCACCTATTTCAGCATCCAGGACAGTTCTCAAGCTCCCATGAATTCTTCGCATGGTACTTGAGAGGTAACTTAGCAAGAGCTGTTGCTCTTCAATGCCTCTGCAATTGATTGGCAGAAAGAACTCTACGATGTAATCATCATTTCCAGTGTATGTGCTCTTCAGCCTAAATGCAACTGCAGCACGAAGGTCAAACCTACGGGCATGGTGTGCAAGTGGATATTCACGTATATCATATACTCTTACATCAGGGGAGAAGAATGGATAGTTTGATCGGAGTGCTTTCCCAGCAACACCTTGTCCTTTCTCGAGGTGATGTTCAGCACATGCATGAAGAAAATCCTTCATTTGTCTATCATTAACGTAGCAAGCCAACTTTTGGATGCAGAGGATAGTCCTCCTTGAAGTTGGCTTCATCACCCCTATGTCATCTTTCTCGAATTTGGCTTCGTATATTGCACCATCATCACACCAAATGGGTATCCATGTAATTGCAAGTGGCAACATGTGTGCATGGCAAATAACTCTCGAAACATCATGTATCTCCGAAAATATAGATATCTGACTCTTTGTGAAGCTCTGCAAAATGAACCTTTTTTCGTAAGCATCATTTAAAAGCTTCATTCCCACTTAATACAAAACATGGTCACTACTCGGTATTCATTAATACCTGTTGATGAGCCTGTGCTTTTATGCTCCTCAAGTTCACAGCCTGCAGAAGCAACAGAATAAAAACAGTAACATAAGGAAAAAAAATCTAAAACATCTGCTAAAATGTCCATTTTACCTACCCAACAAAGACAAGCATGTTCTCTCACAATGAGTTGTGGTAGCCAACAGCTAGTGAGATAAATAGACTTATACAACAAAAAAGTCATAGTTTGAGAATCTGTCTGCCTTTGAGCAACGATCCAAACAAGTGATCCCTTTCTGTCCCTGTGACCTCTGAGAAACCAAGGGACAATATGCAAACAGAGGAAGCAGTATACCACACTAAATACCCTTAACATGACTTTCATCATTATATATTGGCAAAACAAATCAATTTGATTATAGAGAAAAATAAGGTCCTATACAGCAGCACTAACCTGCAAAGCCTTGGAAACACTTTCCATCTCTGTATCAAAGTTTGGTTTTTCAATCGTTGTAACAAGCTCAAGTACTGCATGACAGGAACATCCATCAGGATCAAAAATAGGCACCGCGAGCGATCCACGGACATCATGAATGACTGCATAGTCCACTCTCAAGTACTCAAATCTATTGTAATAGATGACATTTGAGGTCCACTCTGGTCTTCCACTGATAAATACACGCCCAGGAAGCTCCAAAAACAAACCAGGTGCATCCTTGGTAGAAAAAGTGAAATGCCTTGAAACTTCACGGTATCCAGCAAGATTTTGGTCGCAGAGAAAGGGCTGTTCGGAGGTGCTTAATACATAATGGTTGCCCTGTCTAATGGGCATCCAGACCTGGGCGAGAATTGCACCACCACATGATGATTCCTTGAGCAAGGACAGTGCCCTAAGCATCCTGTCTGGAAGAGATACCCCTCCGAAAGGTCTAGGAACAGTGGAGTTCCCTTGATTCGATATGTCATCAAAATCAAAGCAACCAATCTTCCTACTTGCAATATCCATCCCAGGGCGATGCGACGGCAGCTCCAACAGCAAATTAGCTTTTTGTGAAGCCATCTTCTCCCCGCAGCTGTAGTAAGTACCAGCTGCAACGCTAGTGTCTCCAGCAATGATATCTTGCGCGGGGGAAGCCCACACACCAGGCGTTTGTTGAACAATCGAAAAGCTCATAGTAAAAATCTGGTCCACAATCGTAGCAGGACTGCAGGATTCAATATAACCATCAAAATTGACGAGCTCCGAGAGGGCAAAAGGATCACAAGGAATCGGGCTCCCACTCCATCCACAATCCGCAGTGGCGAAACCATCCGTACCAGGACCCATATCCATTGAGGTTCCTGCACAAAAGCCGACCTTTAAGCACTCTGTCCCACCAAAGACACCACCACAATCTTTTCCCCCGGAGGGAGCTCGATTCTTCCATTTATAAGATTTCTGCTGGAATTTTCGCAATAGGTTCAAAGATCATAGACCGATTCCCACCCGGAAAAAGGTAAATCCGCAGTACCGAAAAGCTGCAACCGCATCTCTCGCAGCGCGACCGATCCAAAACGCCGCCAGAACCCCAGTTCAGCTCTCAATCCATTTCTCCAGCTAAACAACAAGTCTTCCGATTCAAAAAATGTGAACTTTCCTCCAAATCGCCAGCAAATCAATTCTCCGACCGCCTCGCCTAATCCATCGCAACAGAACAAAGCGACAAACAAGGAGCACAATCATGGACAAAAGAGCATAGGTCGGCGGAAGAGGGTTCCACCGCAAGCGACACCCTAGCTCAGACACTTGGAGAGGGAGAGAGAGAGAGAGAGAGAGAGAGAGAGCAGGAGATTACCCGAAGGAGATGGCCTGGAGG